GAGGTATTTCATGAAATGGCTGGAAGCAGCACATGTCTCTACTTTTACAGAACTCGTCAACCTGATGCTTGTTGAAGAATTCTTGAGACGTGTGCCGCCTCCTGTCCGCCTCTACTTAGCAGATAAAGAAGAAACCGACTACCTGAAGTGTGCTAAGTCGGCTGACACTTACAGCCTCATCCACCGGCTGACACCTGAACCATCCTCCAGTAAGAAGTCGTGGTACAGTTACGAGAAAGTGAGCCCCGATCAAGCTGGTTCACAACTGTACTGCAAGTATTGTAGACTCTATGGACATACCATAGACAAGTGTGGTAAGTCTCAATACAAGGGAACCACTGACCAACAACGACCCAAACCAACTCCTCCTAAGTCCGGTAAGCCTGTGATGAATGTTGGTGTTGATGTTAATGATCTTTCTCTTTTCAGTAACCACCTGTATACTGGAACTGTCTCTGCCAACGGTTCAAATCCGGAGGGACGTTTCAAATTGAAGATCTTGAGGGACACAGCGGCTCTACAATCGATCATCTTGAAGTCGGCTGTGCCCAACATAGTCTACACCGGGGAAACGGTCTTCATCACTGACCTCACTGCTACTACTCCATACCCTCTCGCCAGAGTCCACCTGGATTGTCCCTACGTGAACGGGGAAGTCCAAGTCGCCGTCAGGGAAAAGCCTTTTCCCATGCCTGGAGTGCAACTTCTCCTAGGCAACGACTTGGCAGAAGACCTGCAACCAACCAACCTGATCGTCATGGACAAACCCCAGGTGTGTAACTCTGTGCCAAGTAACCCTATTCTTGAGTATGTTCCAGCAGAGGTTCAAGAGAGTGATGATGTTTCTCCTCCGGTTCTCGTGACCACCCGTGCACAAGCCGCACGTCCACAGCCAGCTGACTCTACTGCTACCGCTGTCCCTCAAGACCCTCAGAAACTACCCCCGCATCTGACCAAGTTGGAGTTCCGTAAGTTGCAGAGGGAAGATCTTACTTTAACACCATTGTTTTTCCAGGCTGAGACTCAACCCGACAGTATTCCTGGGTTCTTCCTAGAGAACGACTTGCTCTACCGCAGATATAGACCCAGTAAACTGAAGGAGGAGGACGATTGGGCCAACACCGAACAACTTGTGATTCCCACCAGCCTGCGGCCCACTATTCTACACCTGGCCCACGGAGCATTCTCCCACTACGGCTTCAACAAGACTTACCATGGGATTCGTCATGACTACTACTGGCCAGGTATGGTAAATAACGTCAAACAGTACGTAAAACAGTGTCATACATGTCAGATGGCAGGCAAACCGAACGTCTCCATTCCCAGAGCACCACTGATTCCCATACAGGTGCCTGCGGAACCTTTCCACAGACTCATAATAGACTGTGTTGGTCCTTTACCTCGGACCAGTTCAGGTAACGCCTACATCCTAACCATCCTGTGTCCTACCACCAGATTTCCCATAGCAGTTCCAGTGAAGAACATCACGGCTGCTACGGTTATCAAACATCTATTGAAGATCTTCACTCAATACGGATTTCCCAGGGAGATTCAAAGTGACTGTGGCACCAACTTCACCAGTGATCTCTTCAAAAGGACACTGGAGGAGTTCAACATCAAACAGGTATTGTCCAGCCCCTATCATCCTGCTTCACAGGGTTCTCTTGAACGTAGTCATCAGACCATCAAAGCACTCTTGAAAAAGTTTTGTAGTGAAACCTCAAAGGATTGGGATAAGCAGATTGACCTAATAATGTGTATTTTCAGAAGTCTCCCCAATGAGTCCCTAGGAGTATCTCCTTATGAGATGCTCTACGGCCGTAAGTGCCGTACTCCCCTTAAGGCTTTCAAAGACTCTCTCAGAGATGCCACCTTCAGTGAGCATCAGAATGTGCCCCAGTTTCTTCAAAACCTTCAACACATTCTAGAGAGAGTCCACCGCTTTGCTCATGATAATCTATTGAAAGCCCAGGTGAGAATGAAGACTCATTACGACCAGACCAGCAAAGTAAGAAAATTCAAGCCGGGAGACTTCGTCCTTGCTTATTTCCCTATCCCAGGTTCACCTTTACAAAACAGATTTTCAGGACCCTACTGCGTCAAAGAGTGCAGGAATAATAATAATTATGTGATAGAGACTCCAGATAGGCGGCGGAAGACCCAGCTGTGCCACGTCAACCTCCTGAAGCAATATAATGGTACTCCTCCCACTGTCTTGATTAACTATTCCACATTCACAGAACCCTACATCCACAGTGAGACCTTCCCAGCTTCTCCTCCCGAAAGCACTGACAAGGAGTCAGCGCTTTCTAATTCCGAAATCCTTAATGATCTTCCCAAATACTTTCAGGATAATCATAGTGCACCTCTCGTCAAGATCTTCAGAGAACATCAAGAGTTGTTCAGAGATGATCCCCAAGAGTGTAATGTTACCCAGCACGACATCCAACTGCTCCCCGACACCCGGCCGATTCGTCAACCCTTCTACCGAATCAGCCCGAGCAAGAAGGAAGTCATGCGTGCTGAGGTGCAATACCTCTTGGATCATGGACTGGCTACACCTTGTGAGTCCCCCTGGGCCTCACCCTGTATCTTGGTGCCCAAACCCCAAGGTAAGGTGCGGTTGTGCACCGACTATCGTAAACTGAACTCTGTCACTGTCAAGGATGCTTACCCCTTGCCAAGGATAGATGACATCCTTGATGCCATTGGTAGTGCCCAGTACTTGTCCCAAGTGGACTTGCTTAAGGGGTACTATCAAGTGTGTCTAACGGAGCGCGCTAAAGAGATATCTGCCTTCATCACTCCTTTTGGACTTTTCAGATATGAACGCCTTCCTTTCGGACTATGTAATGCCCCGGCCACCTTTCAAAGAGCTGTCAACCGTGTCATCCAGGGCTTGGATAACACATACGCCTACCTGGACGATATCGTCGTAGCCTCCAACTCCTGGAGTGAACATCTGCTCCAGCTGCGACGTCTGTTCTCCAAGCTCCTGACAGCCGGCCTCACCATCAACCTGGGCAAGTCCACTTTCGCGAAAGGTAAAGTGCGTTATCTGGGTCATGTTATTGGGAGTGGCAGCATAGCTCCGTTAGACTCACACACTCAAGCCATCCTACAGTATCCACAGCCTACCACCAGGAAGCAGCTCCTGCGCTTCCTTGGTCTTGCCTCTTACTACCGTAGGTTTGTGAGGAATTTCAGTACAGTCGCCACACCTCTAATTCTATTAACCAGTCCCAAGCAACGGTATAATTGGACCATGCAGCAAACCGTTGCTTTCGAACAACTCAAATTCCTCCTCTGTTCTAACCCCATTCTCGCCTCTCCAGATATCACCAAGCCTTTCGTCCTTCATGTCGACGCCAGTGGTACCGGCGTTGGTGGTGTCCTGATGCAACTACGAGGCGAGGAGGTTCTACCTGTCAGCTACTACAGCTACAAACTGAAACCACACCAGAGGAACTACAGCACTATTGAAAAGGAGCTACTATCCATCGTCCTGAACCTCCAACACTTCGCTCCGTACCTACAAGGCGCCAGGTCTACCACCATCTTCTCAGACCACAACCCTCTCCGCTTCCTACATCAAGCCCAATTCACCAACCAGCGTCTTCTACGATGGGCTCTGTATTTACAAGACTTCAACCTGGAGATCCGCTATATCAAGGGTTCTGACAACACCATAGCCGATGCCCTCTCCAGAGTTTATGAAGTAGAAGCGACTCCATCCATTACTCCACCACATAACGACGTACTTCTTCCAGAACCGCAGGCTTCGGGGGAGAGTTGTGACGATAATCTCCTTCAAGAGATTGAGCCTGCTCTTCCCTCCAAAATTACGTCTTCACAATTATATAAAAAGACTATGGAAGAAATGTCCAACAACGACAACACCACCAGCACCAGCAAGGCTTGCCAGGGTGAGCAGAAACGTATGCAACCAGCCACCTGTTCGAACTCCAACCACCAAACTACCCGTTGATCGCTACGACTCCGCTGATTGGTCGCCGGTCTGGCTGCACCTGCCTCGCCCCCCCCCATACTACCCGATGTCTGGGGTCGCCCCAACATCAGTCTTCAGAATGTTCCGTGCTTTCGTAGCCAGCACTCCTCCCAGCTAGACGTTAGCGTGTACTGAGAGAGGTGGTGGCTTTAAGCCAATATTCCAGCACCTCCCACTTACCTTTGTGTTGCACTTCTTGTTATTTTGCCTTAACGTAACTTTTCATTGTGTCATTTAAGTATTCTTATTATTTTGATTGATTGATTTTATTATACATATTTGTTTGTGCATTATTTTCATGTTTTGATTTATTTAACGTAATTAAAATTTCATTGTTAAAGTTTTACTTGTGTTTTGTGTGTCTTCTCCTTACCTTACCACAGACGAAGTTCCAGTTTTTCTATTTTTTTTTTATAACTATGTGACGAGGCCATACCCCTAGCCTTAAACAGCCGAACACCAACGCGTTACCGTCACAACATCCTTAAGCATTAACCTTCTATTTCCTTCTTGGTGTTACCAAGTGGTGCTTTAACTACTTCACTAATATCATACTGAGACTAGCTTGTGAAATTAATGCTTCACCAAATCACTGCTTCACAAATTCAGTGACATGTCAGGTTTAATTTTTATCAACATTTAGTTTTAAATGATATTCCAAAGCAGGCATTTTCAACAGGGGGCAATATTACTCCCCTAGGGGGTGACATCTACCCTTGAAATAATTCTGGGTCGAATTTTAGATAAATACACACATTTCGTTAAGAATTGAAAGGTGATGATTTTTGTCTTTGCTCTTAATGCTGGTTCAGTAATAAACATTAAACACAAAAATTATTACAAAATATATTTACAAATGTGTAGAATTTGCCTATTTATCATTATCTTTTGCGGAACCCCTAGATACCTTCCGCAGAACTTGCGAGTTCTGCAGAGCAAAGTTTAAGAAATGCTGTTCTAAAACATTATTGTTATTTTTCTTGTTTTGCAGTGTGGCTCAACTGAGCATACCTCTCGTGACTGCTCTCTCAAACCAAAAGGTTCAGAGTACTCCCATGCAACCTGCTACATCTGTGGGGACGTTGGACACATATCTCGAGAGTGTCCCGACAACCCCAGAGGTCTTTACCCTAATGGCGGGGCCTGTAGAGGTTGTGGATCCGTAGAACACTTGGTGAAGGATTGTCCTGATTTGCAGGTTTGTATTGAATCACTTTTTTATTCCATAACCCAATAGTATGCTACACGAACAATGTGGAATTGTTTTTGTTAGGTTACATAATGATTCTGTATTTTGTTGACCCTTTACACTTTCCTCAGCATTGCTCACTTTCATCAGTACTTTTTTCACTCAGTATTATCAACATCTCTCTCTCCCTTAACATTATCTATATCACTCAGCAGTCTCCATATTTCCCTCTGGTCTACATCTTTCTCAGTATTCTTTCCACTTATCTGGGGGTCAGTAGTTCCTTTATTGTAGCCTAGTCTGGGGCGAGCCTCCCCTGGTGATTACCTGCTCTATGAAGCTGTGCATTTTCATAACACCAGGTCACTATAGCAATCACAGGCAAGCTGTTCTGTTAACTCCAGAAAAAAATTCCCCCTAGTTCCTTCTTATAAGCTGCTGTTATTCTAGCAATATTTCTTATGTTTGTTAGCGGTAAACTGAAGAATTGTGTACGTATGATGTTTACATTGTCTTTGGCACCCCTGACTTTTTCATTGAATATACAGAAGATTATGCAAGAGCTAGGTTTTATCCAATAGTTGGTTACTGTGTGATGTATAAGGATGGGGTGGTTATAGATGGATTGTGTAAGGATGTATAAGGATGGGGTGGTTATAGATAGATGGATCCATCTATAACCACCCCATCCTTATACATCAACACAGTAACCAACAGAAATCAAAGGGCAGGTAAAACAGACATGTTCCAATAGCATGGAGGAGGCAGCAAAGCCACAGAATGAAATATCCCACTAGAAATGTAAAGATTCAGTTCCCTTCCTAACAAAGATTGTTTTATTGGGAACTAGCTGAGAAATTGTTCCATTAGGGGATCATGAACACTCTAGAAACAGGTGAACTCCAAGGAAAGTTGAACACAAGCAGCTGGCTAGAAATATCCCCTCTCCAGAGGAGCAATGAGAGCCATAAGTCGCACCAAACCGCAGGAACCCTAGGGGGGGAAAAATGGGCGAATTTAAAATTAGTCTTATCCTCTACCTCTGCCAAGTGGACAACAGTGTTAAAGAGAGGAAAAACATCGTGCCACAGGAGTGCTTGCACGAAGCACAATAGCTAAATCCCCACAGAGAATACTGCATGGCCTGCCAGCCAATATGAACTATGGAAGCAAATGCATAACCAAACTCTTAACTGAACTGGGTCTAGTTCAAACACATGGGTTCCTGATCTTCAAATAGAAAAAGCTTTAGTGCTACCTAGCCTGAGAGGCATGGGTTTGGGACTGAAATATTCCAAGTCAGATAATAAACTTTCAAACTGAGACAAAGGTTTATTGTACTGTACTGTACTTCTTTTCCTTGTACTTACCTCATTTTTTTTCTCTTTCTCAGAAGGAACAAGAAAAGTCAACCATAAAGTTGAGTCGAATAGATGGAAGTGCTGTGGAAGCTTTAGATATTGAAGAAGCCGATGATCCTCATGTGAATGCTGAGGTGTCGCCTCTCAAAACAAACAAAGTTAAAGTTATACAGTTTTAATGTAATATTTTCTTATGTAGATTTTGGACGTCAGGATGAAGGAACTCTGAGCCATGGTATATTTGTTAGTCTAGATTTTATTAGTTGTTTGTTATCTAATATTTTTACGATACAAAGTTGGTGGAATTTACTACAAATTTCTAGTTCAAAAGTTTATACTTAATTATGCAACTTGTACATTTTCTCCTAGATACAGCTAGAGATTCTATACATCAGGTTTATAGTTTGTAATAATAACAGCAACTTACTACAGAAAACACATCATATTTATCTCAAGAATAGTTGAAGAATACATTTGAGAGATGAAATTGACTCTAGAACCCAATGAAAATCTAAATTAACTAAGAGCCTTTGGCATGAGTGCCAGTACATTGCGGGAAATTGGAATCGAAGAAAGTGTTATTAGTGAAAATTGTATACATTTTCAAGTCCTTGACAATTTTTAATTGGTTGTTGCTAGAAGGAAAAAAAATAGCCTAAGTAAATATAGGATAGGTCAACGAATACATTAAAAATGTAGCTGATATAAAAATAAAAAGCACAGTAGATTATTATTTAACCTATCTTTTTTTACTTGGAAATAATTTTAGATGGTATTAAATCAATGAAAGAAAAATATGCAATATTTATTTTGCCAAAACTGTAAACATTGTTATTTATTGCTGGGAGGTTAAAAGTATGAATTACGCACGTCACTGTAAGACAGGCGATTTCCAGGCTTATTCACCATACTCGACACTTCTCCAGGAAACACACACACATCATCTTTGCCACAACATCGCACTGGAGTCTGCCACTTTAGCGTCATTAGTCATCTTGCAGTGTCCTTCATGTGCATCATATTCACTTGCACCTCTGGCTCGTTGTTGTTGTGAGGGGGCTTGGTGGGCGACTGCCGGAGTGTGATGCTCCATGGGACAGTCCTCTGTCCTTTTGTGGCCTTATACTCCTGCTGCTGTCCTCACTAATTTTGCTGGACAACTTTTCCTTTGTTTTTCCCCCCCCCCCCCCCCCCCCCCCCCCTTACCTCTTCTTCTTTCTAATTGTCATTTCCCGCTGACCTTGTGCCTGTTTTGATCATTCTTTTGGCCTTCTTCTGCTTTGACGCCCGGGTGTTTGAGGAAGCATACTCTTGCACCCGTAGAACTGCAGTACCCAATGTCTTGAGCGAGGGGAACCTTTTATAGTCGATCCACCTTTCGTCACTGAACCCGATCTCAACGGACTGAAGGTTCTTAAGGTGTCGTTTGTGGGGCGTATACTCATGACCACCCCTAAGGGGCCCCGGCAAGATCGGCAACATGTCTTTTGTTGGGTGTCCTGCCTCTAATTGAGGCTCCGTGTGGGGTCACATTCGTGAATGAACGTCTTTCCTCTCGTCTCTATGTTGAAATCTGTTCCTCTTATTCCTTCTCAGGCTCGCGGGTTGTGACTACTGCGCCTTTTAACCCCTCTATCTCTGGGAGTTCTCAACACCGTCCACACCACGGCCGCACCCGCACGATCCCTTCCTGTACTGATGCATACCACGCCTTGTTTGGTCTCGCTTCGTGGGCCTCGATCTTCTCCCTCTGGATTCTTCACCTCCTGACAATTTCTCCCTCCATAGGCACCTTGTTGATTCCGTAGATGCCTCTGTTACTTTCATCCCCACCTGTCTCGGTACACGTGTCGTTGCTGCTGCTTCTCAGGATGCAGCCACCTGCTTGGCCGCCTTATCCTGCCTTGGCAAGACCCCTGTTCGGGTCTTCAAGAATGCTCGGTTGAATGCCAGCATTGGCACTGTTCTCCCACCTCATGTTGCGACCGGTGTTAGAAATCTGCAGGCCTGTCGCGAAGATATTCGGCATATTCTCGAAGCCCAGGGCCATTCTGTCCTCCAGGTGGACACATTTACTCGTCCCCCTCGTGGTCGCCATCTGTCCCTTCAGGTTGTGAAGATTACCTTTGATGGTAGGGCCCTTCCATCTTGTCATTCTTGCTGGTGCCAGGTGTTCCGTCCAGGAGTACATTCCCTCTCCTCGGCTCTGTAATAAGTGCTGGAGGTTTCGGCATGGTGCCCTCCGATGCTCCAGTACTCTGTCTCTGTCGCATGTGTGGGGGCGAAGGTCACTCTAAGCCGGAGTGCACTTCTCCCCAGGGTTGCTGCCTCAATTACGGTGAGGCCCACTCTACCTTCTCCCGTGCGTGTATACATTACAAGCTTGAGGCAACCATTCTCAACTTGAAGCACTGGGAACATTTGTCTTTTCCTGAGGCGAGGCACCAAGTTCGCCGTCTCCCACCTTAAATTAACATCTCATATGCTCGTGTGTTGTGCTCTACCTCTCCTCGTCCTTCCCACCTTCCTCAGTCTCTCAACCGTTTCCGGGCCTTAGACCGAGACACGCCCACCACCACCTCCTCTGTTCCTTTGAGTTCTGTCCCGAAGGGGTCCCCCTCATGGTTCTCTATCTGGGGTTCCCCTTCTTTCTGCCCAGTCTGTCATGTCGCCTGTGACTTCTTCCTCGTCTCCCTCCGATCCTCCTTTCCATCCTTCTCCTCTGTCTGTTGGCTCTCCACGCCGCCTGTCAGTGCGAGCTGATGTCCATCGCTCTCCCAACGGCCATCGTGTTTGCTCTCGATCTGCTTCTCCTGTTGAGATGCTTAAATCTGTTGCCCAGTACTGTACATTGTTGCTGGGATGCCTCTCTCTTTGAGTCAGAAGCATAAGCCTGGCTCCTCTCCTTCCTCCTCCACAGCTGGTAAGAAGGCTTTGCTTTCTTCCTCGTCCCCTACCTCTGACTCTCTCGCTCCATCCCCTCTCGTTTCGGTGGTTGCGTCCCTTGTTCCTGCTATGGAGGTTTCTTTGGCTCCCCACTTGGTTGCTACCCTTGCTGAGGTGCACTCCCTGGTTTCTGCCCCCTCCTGCTGCTGTCCTTGACCCTTTGTTGTCCTCCCCCCTCCTCCTCCTCCTCCGGACCTTGCTCATCCGCCCCTGGTCGGTCCTCCAGCTTCCTTCCCTCCTCCTTTACTCAGTTTACCCATGTCCCCTAACCTTAACTTCGCTGATCCTGATCCTGCACTTCTTTAACGTGCTTTGTTCCTTTTTTCACCTTTGTTTCTTTGTTGTTCTCTGTTGCTGTCCTTTCTCTTCTTGTTGATGTCCATTCTTCAGTGGAACATTTGTGGATATTACGCCAATTTCCTTGAACTCCACTTTCTGATTTCACAGTTTTCGCCCCTTTGTGTCTGTCTCCAGGAGCTGATGCTTGGTGCTCGTCCTGGTCGCTTTCGTGACTATTCCTTTCTTCCCCCCCCCCCCCCCCCACCTGGTTGTTGCCGGGGCTCTTAACTCTTCTGCTCTCTTGATTCGCTCTGATGTTCCTTTCGTCCCCTTACTTTTTCCATCGCCTCTCCAATGTTCTGCTGCCCGTATCTTTGTGAGGAAATGGTACACGGTTTGTTCCATTTATCTCCCCCCCGAGTGTCCCGCTTTCTCTTCTCGATCGTAAACACCTACTGAACTCCTTACCGGGGCCTGTGCTCCTGCTGGGTGATTTCAATTGTCGACATACCCTTTGAGGTGATGTTCTGACAAACACCCGGGGTCGCCTTCTTGAACCGTTCATCCTCTTCTTCCCTGTCTCTTCTGAATTCTGGTGAGCCCACATATTTGGACTTTCGGACTCGCACCCTTTCCTGTCTTGATCTTTCTCTTTGCTCGTCGTCTCATTACTTGAATTTCTCGTGGCGAGTTCTTGATGACCTCCATGGCAGTGACCATTTCCCCATCCTTGTTACCCTTTTCTCCCTCCCCTCTCCTTCCCTAGGTGGCAGTTTGCCAAGGCAGAATGGAACCTATTTACCCTTCGTGCTACTCTCTCTGACCTCTCCATTCTGCCTCTTCCTCGCGCCCTCCTCCTTTTTCATGACACCGTCTTTGATGCTGCCCTCTGCTCTATTCTTCGCTCTTCCTCTCGGGGGACGCAGAAGTGTGTTTTCTGGTGGAATGTGGACTGTGCTTGGGCTGTCCACTGTAAGTGTGCAGCCTGGAGAGACACCGCCGTTGGCAGATGGCTGAGTCTTTCCTGTTGTTTTGGAAGGTGAGTGCAGTGGCCCGTAGGACTATCCATATGGCTAAACATGAATGTTGGATGTCTTGTCTCCTCCATTATGTCCAAAACTTCTCTGCTGCAGATCTGGAAGCATATCTAGCTGCAAGATAGCGGGTAAGTTTGTTCTCGATGTCTCGCCGGTCCTTCACCTTCGTGGTACTGTACTCTTGTGGCGAATCCGTTGCAGGTCGCGACCAAACTGGGTTCCACTTTTCTTCTGTTAGCTCTGGTTCTCATCTTCCTCATTCTTTCCTTCTTCGTAAACCTGTTCTTGAATCTCGTCCTTCGGATTTCTACAGCCATCTCCAACTTCCCTATAATGATCCCTTCTCTCTCTCTGAACTTCAGTCTACCCTGGCCCGCTGTGGTTTACGGCAGCGGGCTCCAATGGCATTCATTATGAGATGCTTTACCATCTCCCTCCTTGCACATCTCTGTATTTACTGAGTCTATATAATCGGGTCTGGGATTCGTCATCAGTCCCTGCGGACTGGCTCGATGCTGGTGTCCTCCCTGTTCGCAAACCAGGGTGTCTCGGGTCATCCCCCAAGGACTTCTGCCTAATTGCCCTCATGAGTTCTGTCTGCAAGCTCTTTGAACGTATGGTTAACATTCGTCTGATGTGGTTCTTAGAACACTATCACCACCTCTTCCCTTCTCAATTTGGTGTTCGCAAGTGCCGCAGCACAACAGATGATCTGATGAACTTGGAGGTCTATATTCGTACTGCTTTTGCTGCGAAGACCTCCGTTGTTGCCGTTCTTTTTTACCTGGAAAAGGCTTACACCACTACCTGTCAGTATTATATTCTGTCCCAACTTTATACCTTGGCCTTCGTGGGAATCTCTCTCTTCCTCCAGAGTTTCCTCTCTTGTCATTCCTTTCGAGTGAGGCTTGGTACTGCTCTCTCTGCCTCTTTTAGGCAGTATGAGGGTGTGCCTCAAGGTAGTGTTCTGAGCACTATTCTTTTTCTTGTTGCCCTCAATGGTCTTCCTCCCTTCCTTCTGGCGTTTACTCCGCTCTCTATGTCGACGATCTTACCCTTTGCTGTTGGGGTGATGATTCGCCTCTCCTTCAATGGCGGCTTCAACTTGCGTTTGAGGCCGTGTCATCTTGGGCCACCGATCATGGCTTCCGGTTCTCTACGTCTTAAGACTATGACTTTTACTCGGAAGTATGTTGTTCTTTGTCCCTCTTTGTCGCTTTATGGTCATCCCCTTGTGTACAGGGATTCCGCTAAGCTTTTGGGGTTAATCTTTGACACTCGTTTGTCTTGGTCGGCCCATATTTCTTACCTCTGCGCTGAATGCTGTAAGGCCCTTAACCTCCTTAAGGTTTTGTCCCCTACTTCCTGGGGAGCGGATAGGCGCATGCTTCTCTCTTTACATTCCTCTCTCGTCCTGTCTAAACTTGATTATGGTTGCCCTGCTTACTTGTCTGCTTCTCCTCCTACTCTTCGCTGTCTTGATGCTTTGCACCATGCTGGGTTGCGCCTCAGCTCTGGTGCCTTTCGTTCGACTCCCGCCCTCAGCTTGTATGTTGAGACTGGCTTCCTATCTCTCCAGGACCGCCATGATTGTTACTGTCTTCGCTATCTTGCATAGTCCTTGCAACATCCTTCCTCTCGCCTCTGTTGTGCTTTGACTTTTTTGGCTTGACTGTAGTTCCTGTTCCTCTTCACCACTTCCCTCTTTCTGTCCGGCTGTCTCGCTTACAGGACTCTCTTTCAGTTCGTCTTTCTCATATTTCTCCTCCTGGTACAGGGCCTGTACCCGGGCCCTTTCCGGGCCTGTACCCGGGCCCCTTCCGGGCCTGTACCCGGGCCCCTTCCGGGTACAGGTGATGTCATGGCAGAAGGGGCCCGGGTACAGGCCCGGAAGGGGGTACAGGCCCGGAAGGGGCCCGGGTACAGGCCCGGAAGGGGCCCGGGTACAGGCCCGGAAGGGGCCCGGGTACAGGCCCGGAAGGGGCCCGGGTACAGGCCCGGAAGGGGCCCGGGTACAGGCCCAGAAGGGGCCCGGGTACAGGTGCAGGAGTTGGTAGCACCATATTTAGGGTACCACCAAGCCATGGGGTTGGTGGTTTCATAGTGGTGGGGTTGGTGACACTGTATCGGTGGGATTGGTGACATCGTAGAGGTGGGGTTGGTGACTTCAGTGGTAGGGTTGGTGGCGTCGTAGCTGTGGGGATGATGTCATGGCAGTGGGGTTGGTGGCGTCATAGCTGTGGGGATGATGTCATGGCAGTGGGGTTGGCAGCAACATAGTTGACTGCTGATGATATATGGTTAATATCCATAGATCAGGATTGGTAAAAATTATCCACAGTTCATAGGAAATATGTTGCTGATTTTTTAAGAGACGAGTCATTTGGCTTTACGTTTTTTTAATATAAATGGAAGATAAAGGCAAGTGTCCCTTAATCATGTTATCAGATAAGCAGACTAACTAACTATGGCAGTTAATACAGGCACCCATTCATCGGGGCAACACACGCACACCGTCGTCTCATTGTCAGATCCTTCCTTGTGTTTGAGGTTTGTGAACTGTTTGTGTAAGTCGATCTCCAGCTTCTCAGAATTTTCAGTAATATGTTTATTGTTTGTCATGTGTGTGTATGTATGTATTAACATGATGTACTAAACGGGGTGAGAATAGCTTGAGCTACCTCATCCCTTTGTGTATATTTTACCTCAATAAACTTATTTCAATCTCCAGCTCATGGACCCCAACATAACCGTCAGCCAAATTTATATTTATAAATCCCAAAGTAGTGAAGATTACAGAGAGCACAAGAGGCTTTAACCAGATCCCAGTGGATACTGTTTGATAATTGCTAGTACAGTATCTATATACATTATTTTTGTTTAAATAATAATGACATTGCCTGTTCCAGAATCACTGTTTTCACTATAATTGCATGTATGCATAACAATTCAATATTACATATTTTAATTAGGTTAAGTTTAGGTAATATATATATATATATATATATATATATATATATATATATATATATATATATATATATATATATATATATATATATATGTCGTACCTAGTAGCCAGAACGCACTTCTCAGCCTACTATGCAAGGCCCAATTTGCCTAATAAGCCAAGTTTTCATGAATTAATGTTTTTTTCCACTACCTAACCTACCTAACCTAACCTAACTTTTTTGGCTACCTAATCTAACCTAACCTATAAAGATAGGTTAGGTTAGGTTAGGTAGGGTTGGTTAGGTTCGGTCATATATCTACGTTAATTTTAACTCCAATAAAAAAAATTGACCTCATACATAATGAAATGGGTAACTTTATCATTTCATAAGAAAAAAATTAGAGAAAATATATTAATTCAGGAAAACTTGGCTTATTAGGCAAATCGGGCCTTGCATAGTAGGCTGAGAAGTGAGTTCTGGCTACTAGGTACGACATATATATATATATATATAATTAAAACACAAGAGTTCTTACATTCTTGTAAAGCCACTAGCACACACATTGTTTCCAGCATGTCCTTAATCCCAATTTTCCCTGGAATACAATCTGCCAAATCATTTAACAACCAGGTATCCATTCACTGCTGAGTGAACGGAAGCATACAGTTAAGGATTGGTACCTACATTTTACATTACATTCTTATAAAGCCACTATTACGCGTAGCGTTTCGGGCAAGGTCCTTAACCCTAATTTCCCCGGAATACGACCCCGCCGAATCGTTTAACAACCAGGTACCCATTCACTGCTGGGTGAACAGAGGCTACAGTTAAGGATTGGCGCCCGGTCAATCCTCCCCGGCCAGGATTCGAACCCAGGCCAAATCGCTCACAAAGTGCGGGACAAGTGTTTTACCACTGTGCTCCATGGCACAGATACTTTACAAGATACGTGAACAATGGATATTATATTGTTATATATGTGATGTAGTTTACATGTTGAATGAGTATCCAGATCTCACTGTCCAAGAATTTCCCTGGGTTGCTGTGAAAGCTCAAAATGCTATACTACATTTCACTCTGTGAGGAAGCCATTTATGAATGGTACTTTGTTTTTTGCTTTTCTTGTTAGAAAAGCTTGTATGTTGGCAAAGATGAATGAGGTTACTCTGTTTGGGGATAGTTCGACTGGAAGACTTCTCTGGCAGGTCCATTATGTGTGGATATATCTGATTTGTTCTGACTAATATGTCAGCTGGGTTTGTCAGCTAACCCAGCTGACAATAATTGTTGTTGGGTTGTATGATTGTTGTCGGGTTGCTGCCTGTTGTAATTGTAGCTTGTGTTGTGAGGTGTAATTGTATCTTGTGATTCTGGTATGCAAGTGGGTCTTTCATCCAGTTTCATACATTCTCTCTGTTCCATCTTTTGAAACCACTTTCATCTGGGTATAAAAAATTATTAGAATTTCCTTCACAGCCATTTTCTTGTTTGCCACTCTTTATGTAGCATTTCATGCCTTTTACATGAAAGTATGGGCAGCCGAGGTCACAGCATTTTCTGACCTCGTGTGAGGTTTTGCATATGTCTGGATGAAAAAACCTACATGTTGGTCCAAATTAACATTTCCCTTTCCTAAGCATATTTAAACATTTTCTGGGATAATGGTACAGTAGCTGCATTCTAATCCCTTTCTATTTCTAGAATACTGTATCTATGTTTGCAAATGCTCTTTACATAGAATTTGCAAATGTCTGTCCTTCTGGTCTGTCTCTATTGAGGACTGTTGTAGTGTCCATATCTATTGAGCTGACAGTGCTGTCTGTTACACTTTCTAGTCTACTGTCATCAATATTCGGGCATAGTGAATCAGAATTTACAACGTCCTGAATTTCTACTTCAGTTTCCTCCCTGTCTATAGCCTCGGCTCCTGTTCCATTATTATTTGTTTCCCACTCTTTCTGGATGGCTGGTAGGCGTAGGCTTTCAATTACGTAAATTTTTTGGTATTGTGTCACCCTTTTGTCATATCTATGTCAATGACAGATGAGAATATTACAAATCACATCATCAAATTTGCAGATGACACTAAGATTTATGGTAATGGGAAGTGACTTCAAGAAAAAGAAGGTAGTGAAAATTAAATATTGAAGCCATACAAAGAGATCTACATGAACTCGACAAATCTTAAGATAAGCATCTTATTACTTCGTAATTACAATTATTACTTAACCTATACCTATTATAGGTTAGGGTCAGAAGACTTTCAAATGCAAGACAAATGTAGTCACCTATGCACATATTTAATAAGTCAATAAATAAAGAAACGGGTTGTTAAACATTAAGCAATGGTTTCAAGCTCAACAAGCCACAGTGTAGGACTGAAAACAGGTGATGCTTTTCAGCCACAGGTTTATAAACCCATGGAACCACCTACCTGCCAAAGCCATAAATGCTAAAACTCTGTTCAATTTTAAAATCCTGTTGGAAAAAATAATCAGGGCAAATTTGGTTAACTATCTTCTAACACTAAGGTTTCCTGTCCCCATTGAGGCCACTAGGATGTTAGTGGCCCTCAGGTAAATTCTGGTAAAGTCTGAAAAAAAGTTCATTTGTGGCTGACTAGTAAAAAACTTTTTTGAGGTTATCTTGAGATAATTTTATGGCTTAGCGGGTAGGTGGCCCTGGTCCTCAACCAGGCCTCCTTTTTGTTACACACCCCTAGAAAGCAGCCCGTAGCAGCTGTCTAACTCCCAGGTACCTATTTACTGCTAGGTAACAGGGGCATCAGGGTGAAAGAAACTCTGCCCATTTGTTTCCCTCTACTGTACACCGGGATCGAACCCAGAACTTCGGGACTACGAATCCGAAGTGCTGTCCACTCAGCTGTCAGGCCCCTATCGCTACATATACTGTAACAAGCAATTTTTGTGTATGTGCAATTTTCCACAGCATGCTGTATCAGGGTGATGCTTTTCCAAGAATGCGGTCACCTTTTCAAACATTCCAACACTTTCCTGATCTCACTGGAAGAGGCAGCATCCTCCCTTACCACCTCCTCCCCTTACTAATAACGCAAATTGTTGATGAGAACCTGCCATACTCCCTTGTGAGATCAGTCACACGGACATCACACTCATGCTTTGCTATAATTTCCTTCTTCAAATCCACAGTAATTGTGTCTTCCTCTTGACAACATTATCTCTAGCAAGCAGCTTCTTTGGCGACATCATGCATTACAAATTGTAGTCACAAAACCACAAAAAACAAACAAAGAAAAGCGTAAATAAATGCAGAGGGATGCTTGTCGTGCACGATACAACAACAACACTGGCGTCGGAGGCGTCCGAGAATTTGCAAGAACCCGTGAGACGCTAGGAAGCACCATGTGGTTTTGCTCGTTAATAGAGGTGAAGCTCGTCAATAGAGACAAATTTGCTGCAAGTGGCTCGCTCGTTACTTGAAATGCTCGTAAATAGAGCCGCTCGTTAATCGAGGTGCCACTGTGTGTGTTTGTGTGTGTGATGTTATTTCTTCACTTACTTCCTATTTAGTATTGTGTTTAACCCATTAAACTGAAAATAATTAATGTAATTATTTTGTTATGCCCAAAACACTGTGTATACATAGTGGTTTTATTAAATGTATGTACTTTATAACAATCAGTTAACCACTGTACCTTCTGTATATTTTTAAATATACAGAACAGGGTTTTAATAATTGATACAGAGTATGTCCATTTAATAAGGCCAACTAACATGCAAAGTGTTTCAGGCATTACTGTACCCACCTTTGTTAAAAAAGACAAAACATTTCACACACTGTAGGATGAGTGCAGGACACAGCAGACTTAGCCTGCTAGTGGCTGTGGTGATGGCAGTGCTGGGGAAGGGTGACGGAGAGGTGCTGACTGGAGAAATAGACGTCGCCCCAGATTCACTGCAGTGCCAACAAAAAGGGCCGACTCTCACATGTGATGCCAAGGATGGTACCATGGTCAGTAGTAGTGCTACTTACCAAGTTAACATACTGTCAGTATTAAATATGCAACATGATCTTCAACTTGTCCTATAGTGTGAAGTGTAGGCTACCTAGTCACCATATACTTATTCAGTTTCCCAAGCACAGTATAGTCACTGACCTGCTTTCCTAAGTAACAGCATAGTCAGTAGCTGGGTATGTTCAACCTCTCCTCTCACTTAATATACATAATATAATAGTATAATTAGTGAATTATACTGTACATACTGTACTAATATTTTATATTATTGACCAAAGCATCAAAATTATGGAGCTTTACGGAAATCAAAAGCATCATAATGCTGATGCTACCTTCGGCTAACAAGTATCAGCCCCAATAGGTTCAAAGACTTCTGCTTAGTAAACATTATGTTAAATGCTACCATTATGATTGTTCTCATGTAATGCAGTTGTGTGGGGGAACTCCAAGCCCTCCATACTGTATGGCTTTTTGTCCCTTAATTTGGTTATGAGGATCAGGTTTCTCTGGTTGCAGTCTCCCTCATGTGATGCCAAGTGAGTGCATCTTTTCTGTGGAGTCATTTGGTTTTTGAGGCTTGTTTTATCAGACGTCATTCCTCACTCTCTTACTAAGGTGCTGCTCACAGATGGCTGCAGGTGACTTTAGCATCCCATGAGGTCACTGTTCTGTAGCCCTCACGCCCTTCAGTTCTGCTCCGAGCTATTTCTCCCCTATATAAGCAGGGTAGTGAGTCAGTCAAATCTATCTTTGACCTCCTAACCTCGACAAGTTTGGTTTTAACACCTGTGTCGCCTTGGAATAAGTAACATACTCCCAAGTTCTTCACTTCAGCCTGGGTAGCATACATGTTCATAACTTTCACATTCACAGATACCCTTGTGTTTTCTTATTTTGATGACGTTTCCTTTTCAGGTTCACACCTTTTCTGGGGTTGTGCAGCAACCCTCCATACAAGGGTTCCTTGTGTGAGGTGCCATGGTGAGGAAGCCTCTGAAGAGCCACTCATGGTTAAGCCCCAGAAATAGAGCATATAGGAATACTGAAATGCCCATTTTTTGGGACTCCTTGCTCAGTGGCTCCCTATTTTACACAGCATTTTACCTGCTAACCCATGCATTCTTAAGATTTGCTCAGGTTACAGAGTGAAGGGGTCCCCCTTGTTGGAGGGGTTGATTACAGCAGCCACACACCGAGTGAGCGTGTTTAGTGGCTTTGCAAGAATATACCACTTAAGTCACCAATGTATGTACCTTCATAACCCATTGTACCTTCTTATATACAGTATATAAATAAATGAAAGTGGCAAGATGGTATTTGATTTTTTTTTTTTTAAGATTCAGCCACGGAACAAAAGTTCCAAGCAGCACGGGCTATGGTGAGCCCTTAGGGGACTTTTTCAGTTGTTTTGGGTAATTCTGTTTTCCAATATTTCTTGAATGGTTTTGGTTTAATTTGTATTTCTTCATTCTGTTATGAGTGCTTTACTTTTTGTTCACTGTTGTTTCTCTGTGGAAGCTTGTTTCCGTTTGTTAGAATATTTACGGTCACTTAAGCTTATCAGTAAGCCTCTTTTGTCTGTACTGTTGGCTATACACTCTACGTTAGATCATCCATCAAGGCATATTGGAAATGCATTTATTTATTTTTCCTGTCAGTAACCAAACTGTTGCTGTTAAATTTATTAAATACCTTCTCACAGTGTATGTTATTAAACACTTAGTTTAATAATGAAGTCATTAACACAATGAAGAAATTAGTTCTTCATTGTTTGTAAAACTAAGGTGTAGAGAATTATCATTCAGTCGATTGTTATTTGTTAGTTTTACGTCGACCTGTCACAGGCTGCCTCCAGACTCTCTCTCCAATATATATTACTACTATTACTATCCGCTATTTTTCAACCTCAAATTTGGGAAACTGAATATTCCTAAAGATAATATTTTGGTGATGAATGTCAAGAAAGCCTCTGATATTTATGTTTAGGGATTGTATAATGACAATTACTAGGTTTTTATTCTCTACTTTTATTTCAAATGTGTCAACAATATCCTCTGAGGATTTGAACAGTTCTGTGTAGGTAAAGTCTTTAACATACAAGCCTATTGTTCCAAGCCTTCTCTACTCAATCACATCTACAGTACAGTATAATATTTCCTCATATCCAAGTCTATTGTGAACTCAGCTTTCACCAATGTTCCCTTGTCCTACCTCCTTTCAGTATAAATTAGCTGCCCATGTCCATTCCTCTCAATATCTATGTGGTGGTTATCTGAAGGATCATATCTCCCATCTGTAATTTCTGAAGTTTACTTTTGTGCTTCACATGGTGTGGGTTCCATGCCAATACTGCAACCTCCACTATATGGACTTTAAAGCCTTTCTGTATATTTTGGGCCGTGGACAATGATAGTTTTCCAGGCTTGACACACTTCATTGATACTTGAAACCCTTTTAGTCTAGATTTTTAAATGCTGTTTTTATGTTTGCAAACTTCCCACATCCTGATGACAGTCTAATAATAATATCTGGTAACACTTTACTTATAGGAAGTATACAGGATCATATTACAGAGGATGCTTAGCAGGTACAGTAATTTTATATTTTATAAAACCCATTAATTATGACACAACATTTTGAGCCATTTTGTGTATTAGTCTTTTCTGAGGAATTGAAACAAATGCTTTCTGGCAGTCTACCCATTCTTTGATACTCGTACCTTATTTTAGTGACCCTCTCACATAATTCAATAAAGTTTGTTAGGCATTACTTTCCCCTCATTGAAGCTAGTTGTGCCTCATACAGTTTTTTGTTCTATCTTCATGTTTGTTGACTTTTTCCAATATTTTGCATGGAATGCATGTTAGTGACACTGTTCTATGGTTTAGTGCTTCAGGCCTGTCACCTTTATTAAATATTGGAACTTTTTTTTCAGTATTCTGAAAGTTCTTTTTAGTGTTACTGTATGCTACAGCTCTAGTTAATGTGCAGCACACAATCCCTGCAGTGATGTCCAATTTGGCGTGGCTGCTTTTGCTACATCCAGTTACTCCAGGCAACATTTTACCATTACTACAGTAACTTCAATTCTGATTAGTTTTTTTCTGGCCTCCTGTTGTCATTCCTCCTTGGACACCAATTTGGTTCTGGTTTGTAGGCCTCCTGGAACCTAATGTTGAGTTATTCACACAGTCACTCTCCAAGCATGTTCTTCCCTGCACAGGCTGATCATATGACTCTCCGTATAAGGCTATGCAACAGCCTAGGATGGTCCTTTGCTTTTGTTGTATAATTGTTTCAAAACTGCTGCTGCTGTTTACATTTCTAGCCTTCTTAAAGGACTCCCTATTTACTTTTATACCCATGTCCCAATAATTTTCTGTCTTTTATGTTTTCTCTTTTCTAATTACTCTGTTGAACCATGCTGTTCCCTCATCCACTTCCCTCCTTGAAGGAAGAAACTTCTCCATTGCTTTAATGCATTACCGAGTTACAAATTCAATCATCTTATCACAGACTTTCCTTCCAATTCAGGCTCCTACTGAACCAATGAGCATTCTGGAGATAGGTATTAACCCTCCTGTAGAATCTTCTGGAATCACACACACATTCAAAAGGTGACACCCCTAGGGTCAACACTTGCAGCAGAGGAGCTCCAGCATATTTCAACAATCCTAAGTATTGTAGTACAGGTTGATGGTAGTGAGTGGTGTCCCAGAGAACATAAAGGTATAGTGCTCTTGAAAAATAGGTGAGATAACAGGAAAGTGCTAAGGGAAGTGAAAAATCGGATGAGAAAAAGTTGCCCTAGTGTTTACAGTGCAGAGAAGAACATTCAAGATGGCCACTGGCAAGGGGAAAAACAAAACAGAGCTTGATTTTGAGGGATTCAATGAAGAAAGCATTGATATTAGTAGTCTACATAACAAGTTGGTAAATTTAGATACTATAGTGAACTCTCATGTAGAAATAATTAGTAAATTGAAAGAAAGTAATGACCATTTGAATAGCAAAGTTTTATGTCTTGAGGGTTTAGTGAAAGACTTGCGCAAGGATAAGAATCAATTGGAAACAAATTGCAAAGCCATGGAAGAAGAAAATAAACTCTTAAAATAGCTTTGGAAGAAGTTAAAGTAAATTTAAACATAAATGACTACAATAGGTTAGGCAAGGAAATTCAACAGGAGAAACAGCTTTTGTCAGCACAGATGGAGGAAGTTACACAGGGAATAGAACAGTGCAAGAAAGATATGCAACTCACTTATGCACAAGTGGCCAAGGAGAAGGAAAAAATAGAAGAAGCAGTAAAGGAAGTAAAACACTGCAGCAACCAAGATAAAACAAACATTAGGCTAGAAGTGAGGAAAGAATTGGCATCTAACCCGAAGTTGGTGCAAAACACAGTTGATCGGAGTAAGTCCCTGATCATTTTTGGCTGCAAAGAAAAGGCGATAACATCTAGGTCAGAAAGAGCTGTAGAAGAAGCTAAAGTAGTAGATAAAATTGTTGGCCTCGTGGAAGGTCTTACAAACAGAGAGAATGTGTGCGACTACAGGAGAATAGGCAGGTACGTAAAAGGGAAAGATCGACCTTTGAGGATCACCCTAAACGGTGCCAAACAGATGGAAGAAGTACTAAGGAATGCTAGAAAATTGCAAAGGGATGAGGATGGGAAAGGGTGGTCATTAAGACGAGATCTTTCAAAAGAAGATAGAGAGAAGCTGAAACTGAACCTCGCCGAGGCAAAACATTTAAATGAGAGCAGGAATGAAGAAGAAATAAATTCTTTTTTCTACAAAGTGATAGGGGTAGGCAAACCAGTAAAGTGGTACATAAAGGCAAACCAACAAAATCAATAGAGAGAGGGGGAGTGAAGAATAAGGAGAGGGGGAACAAGTTCCTGAAGATTGCATACACCAACATAGATGGAGTGAGATCGAAGATACTGGAGTTAAGTGATGTAATACAGCTGCAGACACCAGACATTGTTGCACTCACGGAGACAAAACTTGAAGATGTAATTTTAAATGAGGTCATATTCCCAAGGGGCTACTCAATTTGGAGACGGGACAGAAAAATTAGGAAAGGCGGTGGCGTTGCTGTGCTGGTAAAAGAACACCTAAAGGTGAAGGAAATAATGACTGCCAATCCACAAGAAGTTGACATAATAGCACTAGAGATCTGCTATGAGGATGATAAACTAATGATGATAAATGCATATAGTCCACCGCCAAGCAGCACATGGTCAAAGGAGGAGCTAGATAGTAAACGTGAAGGTCTTATAACAATAATGAGAGAGATTATAGCGAGAGCGGATAACGATAGATCACGACTGTTGATAGTCGGTGACTTCAACTTGAAATCCATAGACTGGGAAGCATATGAAGCTAAAACAGAAGATTTTTGGACCTGTAAATTTGTAGACCTCATCCTGGAAACATTCTTGTATCAACATGTTAAACAAGCTACGAGGATGAGGGAAGGGGACGTTCCCTCCATGCTAGATTTGATATTTACCAGGAAGGAGGAAGAGATATTTGACATTCAGTACCTTCCTCCCTTGGGTAAAAGTGACCATGTCTTTTTGGGAATAAAGTATGCAATGCGTTATAAGCTGGAAGAAAATAAGGAGGTTGAAGCAGTTGAAAAACCAGACTTCAGGAGAGGACATTATGGTGACCTTAGAAATTTTTTTAGTGAGTATAATTGGACAGACTTGATGCTAGGCAAGGAAGTGAATGAGATGTATGGCAAGTTTTGTGAAATATATGATAAAGGCACAAAAAAATTTATACCAAAACAGAGATGCAGAACTAGGAAACAGGATTGGTTCAATAGAAATTGCGAGAGGGCTAGAGACCGAAAGACACAAAAATGGAATCAATACAGGAAGAGGCCGAACCCCCAAACATACCAGCGATACAAAGATGCGAGAAACAACTACACGGCAGTGAGGAGAGAGGCAGAAAGAAATTTTGAAAAAGGGATTGCGGACAAATGTAAAACAGAACCAGGTCTATTCTATAAATTCATAAACAACAAATTGCAGGTAAAGGATAATATTCAGAGGTTGAAAATGGGAAATAGATTCACGGAAGATGAAAAGGAAATGTGTGAAACACTAAACGAAAAGTTCCAAAGTGTGTTTGTACAAAATGAAATCTTTAGGGAACCAGATACAATAAGAATTCCAGAGAACAACATAGAACACATAGAGGTGTCTAGAGACGAAGTGGAAAAAATGCTCAAGGAGCTCGGTAAGAACAAAGCAGCTGGCCCAGATGGCGTTTCACCATGGGTTCTGAGAGAATGTGCATCTGAGCTCAGCATTCCACTTCACCTGATCTTTCAGGCATCCCTGTGTACAGGAATCGTAGCAGACGTGTGGAAACAGGCTAACATAGTTCCAATCTACAAAAGTGGCAGCAGGGAAGACCCCCTCAATTATAGACCTGTATCATTGACAAGTGTAATAGTGAAAGTATTGGAAAAACTAATCAAAACTAAATGGGTAGAACACCTAGAGAGAAATGATATAATATCAGACAGACAGTATGGTTTTCGATCTGGAAGATCCTGTGTATCGAATTTACTCAGTTTCTATGATCGAGCCACAGAGATATTACAGGAAAGAGATGGTTGGGTTGACTGCATCTATCTGGACCTAAAAAAGGCTTTCGACAGAGTTCCACATAAGAGGTTGTTCTGGAAACTGGAAAATATTGGAGGGGTGACAGGTAAGCTTCTATCATGGATGAAAAATTTTCTGACTGATAGAAAAATGAGGGCAGTAATCAGAGGCAATGTATCAGAATGGAGAAATGTCACAAGTGGAGTACCACAGGGTTCAGTTCTTGCACCAGTGATGTTTATTGTGTACATAAATGATCTACCAGTTGGTATACAGAATTATATGAACATGTTTGCTGATGATGCTAAGATAATAGGAAGGATAAGAAATTTAGATGACTGTCATGCCCTTCAAAAAGACCTGGACAAAATAAGTATATGGAGCACCACTTGGCAAATGGAATTTAATGTTAATAAATGTCATGTTATGGAATGTGGAATAGGAGAACATAGACCCCACACAACCTATATATTATGTGAGAAATCTTTAAAGAATTCTGATAAAGAAAGAGATCTAGGAGTGGTTCTAGATAGAAAACTATCACCTGAGGACCACATTAAGAATATTGTGCAAGGAGCCTATGCTATGCTTTCTAACTTCAGAATTGCATTTAAATACATGGATGGCGATATACTAAAGAAATTGTTCATGACTTTTGTTAGGCCAAAGCTAGAATATGCAGCTGTTGTGTGGTGCCCATATCTTAAGAAGCACATCAACAAACTGGAAAAGGTGCAAAGACATGCTACTAAGTGGCTCCCAGAACTGAAGGGCAAGAGCTACGAGGAGAGGTTAGAAGCATTAAATATGCCAAAACTAGAAGACAGAAGAAAAAGAGGTGATATGATCACTACATACAAAATAGTAACAGGAATTGACAAAATCGACAGGGAAGACTTCCTGAGACCTGGAACTTCAAGAACAAGAGGTCATAGATTTAAACTAGCTAAACACAGATGCCGAAGAAATATAAGAAAATTCACCTTCGCAAATAGAGTGGTAGACGGTTGGAACAAGTTAAGTGAGAAGGTGGTGGAGGCCAAGACCGTCAGTAGTTTCAAAGCGTTATATGACAAAGAGTGCTGGGAAGACGGGACACCACGAGCGTAGCTCTCATCCTGTAACTACACTTAGGTAATTACACTTAGGTAATTACACACACCTATAACAAAACACAGGAACGTAATCTGTTATCTCATTTATTATGTTCACTACACCATCTTCCTTTTAGATAAACACCAGGTCTAGGGCAGCTAGGGCCGCTCCAAGCAACAGCCTGGTGGACCAAACTCTCACAAGTCGCGCCTGGCCTCGGGCCGGGCTTGGGGAGTAGAAGAACTCCCAGAACCCCATCAACCAGGTATCAACCAGATTCCCAACTCTTTCTCTTGTTGGCTTCTTGATATGATGCCACATGAAGTGTTTGTTTGTTGTGTCCACTAATCTTGCCCTCCATGTTATCATCATCTCCACGAAGATTCTTTGTTGACAAGTCTATTTCTCTTTGGGATTTTATCAGAGTACTAGGATCTTCCTATGACACTGTGGCTGCTTTTTTATTATCTTCAAGTATGTTTTAGTTGTAGTGGCATTGGCAGCTGGCAACTGCAGCTGTACTTTATTAACTTATTTCTGATTAAAAAAATTACTTGGGATTTTCTGCTTAGACATTATACAGGTCTTTTCTGTAACATTAACTGCCTTTCACAAGCAAAATTTGGGTACCTAAGTTATAGCATGTCTTTCATGCAGCGAGGTCTTCCACATTTCTGGGTAAACATACCAACAGTTTACTCCCAAGTGATGTTCTCTTTTTTAAAACATTCCCTTTTTTTATTGGCTATACTGTATTTCTATCTGCATAGTCCTTCACCTTAGTACCAGTATTTACTTATATTGACCATTATGGTAGCTTTGTGACATTCTACATTCTGCTATCATTACCTCTGTTTGGCTGTGCTGTTTCCACTTCTCTTTTCCATGTGAGAACTGTTGTGATAGGTTGACAGGTCAATCACTGCTAAGGGGTCTTCACTCTCCTGCATCTGACCCTAACCAACATGATCTAACTCATCCCTAGATAACACATGCTAATTTAGTGCTCTATAATCAACATGATTACTGTAACTAATTCTTCTGGCCACACAGATATTTAATTTGCGGACCGACCCAAAAACAGATGTGAAGAAGGTGTTCCTCTACAATGCCAGAGAGGTGAAGGTGTGGTCGAGCGTGTGTGTGGACCTAGTGGTGAGGCATGCTGGCCGAGTAATGGTGATTGATGATGTGGCAGATTTTGGAAGAAACTACACAAACTGCAGCATGAACATGTGGCTGTACAGATCTTTACTGGCTAGTGTACCCCCAGCTGTCCACCACCTACATGCTGAATACTCCAAACTTGAGAAGGTGATGTTTGAGGAGCTCAGCGGGGACCTCACATTTATATCTTGTCATATTGACCAATTATTGGTAAATCAAATAGTGAAACACCACACCCTTACCTTCCACAGCTCTATCATACACTCCCTTGTGCGACTGCATTTGGGAGATGGCACCAGACTGTATCTGCACAACACTACCATTGATGAGCAACATTCGCAAGCCTTGATGGTTAGCAGCGGAGTATCTGTCCACCTGAGTGGAGAACATGGGACAAAAACACTGCAAAATACAGTCCTTCAACCTGGTGCTGTGGTGAATACCAGCCCATACCAAGGTGAAGTGAGGATGGTAGTGGTAGATGAATCAGGCTGGCCACCAACACAATGCAATAAGACTCAAAATGCACAAGACTCCTCTGTTAGTACGGTGTACATCTGTGTGATAGTGGTGATGGTAGTGCTTCTGCTGCCTGGGAATGTGTATCTGTTTGTGCTATTAGCAAAGAGGAAGCTTCAGACTAAGCCACCAGACAAGAGAACCACAACTCTTGAAACAGTTCACCAAAATAAAAATCTCAAGGATGAAGAACAACATAACACTACCACAGAAACACAACAATTAAACAAAACAAATAAAAACGAAAATCTAGCAACAACAGCAGCAGCAGTGGAGATGGGTGGCATCAGCCCTGCTCTTCCAGAAACACACTTGCCTACAGCAAGTGAGCCTCTCCTATCTCAGTTCACGCATCAACACCATGCACCATCTCAAGAGAAAACAGAGCACCATAACTATTCAAAATGCAGTGACACTGATTCTAATGCTACTTTATTAAGACAAGTTATAAATGCATCATATAAAGCAACAGTGAAAAGTGTTGATCATGTTCTATCTTCTCAAAAGAAAGTGAACACAATAGAATATGGAGAGGAGGTGACAGAAACAACAGATATTCTAAAATCTTAACCCTTGAACAGCAGCTATGGAGAAATGGTCATAGAATTTTGTGCTAGAATTTTTTGGAATTCTATGCACAAAAAAATTATAGAATTCCCAAAAATAATTTTTCATGATAGGATTATTAATTTGTATGCAAAATGTAAGAAAAACAATACGTGAATATGTACCTTTTCATTGGGTGGAGGTGCTCAGCAAGGCGGCATCTGGCACATGTCAACATCTGCTGCTTGACTCTGACGATGCTTCCTGTTTTATCCTCGGATGTTTCACCAATTGTTTTTATCACTTGTTTTCCTTTACTTACATCCACAGACGACTATTATATCCATATTTGTATCATACATGACCCAGACCCCATTTCCAGACCGAGACAATAATTGGTTAAATCGACATATAACTCTGTATGTAAGTCAAACAAACTCTGTATTGTTTAAATCGTATATATGCCTCCTATTTCTTATATACACATCAATGACTTACCAAATGTCTCTAACATGCTTAAACCTATACTATTTGCTGACGATCCTACCCTCATCTATTCACATCCCAACTCACACACACACTTAATAATATTGTAAATAACGAAGAATAAATGTCCACTCATGGATGTCGACCAAGAAACTCGCACTAAACATAGAAAAGACCTACTACATTTTATATGGAAGTAAATCATCAAACCAAATTCAACTTCAGATTGACAATGATAACATCAGCAATAAAAATAATGAAAAGTTCCTTGACCTATACATAGACAAGAGACTAAACTTCAGCACCTACATACAACACAGCCAAAAGTCTCAAAAACTGCCAGTATACTCTCTAAAAGGGATATGTTCCCCACTCTGTGCTACTCTCCTTATACTACTCGCTAATCTATCCCTATCTTACACACAGTATCTGTGCATGGGGTTCAACCACTGCAAATTACCTCAAGCCCATCATCACCCAGAAAAAGCCTGCTAGCAAAACCATAACAAAATTCTCTTTTCAGACAACACACAGCCCCTCTGTTTAAGTCTTTAAACATGCTAAACATAAATTCACTCCACACATTCTCCTGTGCTATTTACATGCACAAAAACTTGTTCCTAAATCCTAATCCTGATCTGAAACTCTTCCTTGATAGGTGTAATAGAACCCATAAACACCACACCAGAAATAAATATCTCTTTGAAATCCCCAAAGTCAAACAAAATCTGTGCAAACACTATGCAAATAAAAGGCCCCAGTCTATGGAACTCGCTTCCTAATGAATTAAAAAATTGTTCAACCTATACCGTGTTCAAAAGTAAAACCAAAACCTACCTAATTTCATCCTCAGTTTCCTACCTTGTGCTTCAAATACCTCATCCACCTGTTGAAGATTCCAGGGATCAATGTTCCACAACCTGATCTCAGACCAGGCCTCCTGGTTGCTGGTCTGATCCACCAAGCTGTTTGGTGTGGCTGCTCGCAGCCTGACATGAGTCACAGACTGGTTGATCTGGTATCATTTGAAGGTGCTTGTAGAGTTCTTTGATGTTGATTTTGTTTTCTATCAGTGTGCCTATTGCATCTCTGCTCTTCACTGGGTCCATTTTGCACAGCCTGCCAAGACTTCTGGTCTCATGTGGTCTTATTTCTGTATAGATTTGGGACCAGTCCTTCTAATATTTTCCAAGTGTAATTTATTATGTATCTCTTTTTGCCTGTGTTCTAGGAAATTCAAATTTAAAATTTTTAGGCACTCCTAAAAATCAAGATGTATTATTGAGTGAATTCTAGTGGTAAATGATTTTTGCATGCTCTCCAGGCCAGCAATTTCTCTAGCTTTAAATGGGCTGTTAGTGTGTAACACTATTCCACTCTAGAGCATGAATTTTTGCACATCACACCCACATAAGAACTTTTTGCATATTGCACCCACCCACAAACATTTTGTACAATGCTCCCACACATGAACTTTTTGTATATCACCGACTCAAGGTATACTGCTGACTAGCTAGATAGACCAAAAGACACTGGGAATGAATTGAGAAAAATAGCCCCCCTGGAACTAGGAACCAAGGACACCTTATCAACAATCAATGTGGCATCCCAAGAGTTGTATAAAGAATAGCAGACTGCCACAACCGGGCCCGACAAAAGATACACCTCCGTCTGAACAAACTAAGAGACAAGAACCACCCCTCTGGAAGCCAGAGGGGTGGTTCTCCTCCAAGAAGAAGGATGCCACATCCTTCTCACATCTGGCATTTGGCACTGACAGTCAGTGCCAAATGCCAGAGGTTATACCTAGCCAGCGAGACGACAGACAAGTGAGAAACCAAGAGACCCGCCCCCTAGTGGGCCATGCTAATGGCAAAAATCTAAAGTGGGGGTGGGTGGGTTCAGAAGAGCCAAAAACAGTGCTGAGTTAGCCATCATAGAGCCATAGAGATCAACCCTGCCATCAGGAACCCCAGGAGCAACAGCTGAACCAGAGGAAAGAGAATGTAAAAATACTAGCTGACTACAACCAGTCCAGCCAAAAAGCAGCCACCAAGAGAGCACTGTGACCGGGAAGGAGGGCCATGAAGGACAGAAGCTTCCAGGTACAACCCAACACAACGTAAACCACCTGAAGGCATCTGAACACCACACAAAGCCAACAAAAGGATGTGATGTCAACTGCCCGCTACGTGGAGATGGAACAGAAATTGGGAGATAACGGCCACAGAACGATGGATACGTGAGTTGTACTGTACTGAGAGTCAACTCCAACAAACAAGAACCCAAAAGATGATCCACATGCAATTGTGATTCAGATAAGAACTATCAATACTAACTTACCTCTATATAGTTTTTGGGTAATAAACTGTTTGTAGAAAATTTGATATTTATTACTGTAATTACCTTAAATATCAAAAGCATTATGTACAATGTCACCAATATCTTCAGAAAAAATTACAAAACCAGTAGCATTTTATAAATGCCATCAAGAGATTCCAATACACCTGATGGGTTAGATTAGTTATTTTATACAGGTACTAGCAGTGCCTAGATCTCTCGCCTGAGTCTGTGTGTCTGTCTCTTCCCCCTCTCTCCCTCAAATTCTTTCCCCCATACTGCTCTCTTTCCCTCCCTCCAATTTTCTCTCCCTTCTGTCTTCCCATTCTCTCCTTCCTTCCCTTCCTCTCCCTATACTGTTCTCTTTAACTCTCTCCTGTTAATTCTCCCCACTCTCTATTGTTCTCTGTCTCCCTCCCTCTCGCCCTCTTCCTCCCCCCCCCCCTCTCCCGCTCTGAACATGCAATATATGTGCCTAGCAAGCATACAACATAATCACAACATTAGTCTTACTATTGTTACCCTGATGTAATGTTGTAGTTACATTGTGTGATGAACATCTGAAAATCAGTTAAAAGCTGTCTCAAAACCACCCTTTTGGACTTCATAGGAGTCATTGTTTGTTGCAATAGGAGCCAATCCTACTTAATGAGGGGTAATGGGGGGGTTGACCGTGACCTCCCCTATGACATCCCCATAGAATCACAAACCACTGTGGGAAGCTGTGTGTGCCTACCCACAAACCTCTAACCTTGGATATTCTTTTGGACAGACTCATTCCTTTACAGATATAGATTTAGCTCAAAATTAGCCATGAAGTCTGGCCATGTCCAGATTAAATGTAGCTACCTGCCAGTATTATTCGGCAAGTTCGTCTAGGTTTGTCCCAAAATCTATCATCATTAAGACTCACCGCCACGACAGCCACCAGCATTGGACACATTTATCAAGGTTTGTTCTGAAATCTGACTACAAAGAGACCAAACGTCACAATCACAGCCAGCGCTGTCATTACTCCAATTGTAGGCAGCAACCAGTCCGGGGAGGAATCTGGTAATGACTCTGAACTGGTTGATAAAGAACGCTCTTGTTTGACATTTTGTTTTTGTAGCAGAGGTCTCCTAGGGAAGCAACAGTGTGAGTGATCTGTGCTTTCTTCGTACTTCACATCTGAAAGTGAATAAAACATTTTTTATATCTTAAAACCCTTCTTGAGCTGATTCATTACCTACAAATTAGAAAAGATTATATATAGGTATAAGAAAACAATAAAAGAATCAAATCACAGAAAATTAAGCAATACCATATTCTATCAGTCCTCCTCAGCACCAAGCTACCACTTCATAACACCAGGTGTACAATGCTCCTCGTCACAATGTTATACACATTAGACACACATTTACTCCATACAAACTGCCTTGTTCCTTACCATATCTCACATGTTACCCACACTTCCTGTTTCCTCACACACTCGCCACGTCCCGCTACCTTCTTTCACTGAAATACACTCTTCACCAGTCTGCCGTCACGCATGCCTTCAACCAACCTCTCTTCTCAAATAAAGCATCACATTTTGATGTAAAAATACCCAAAAAACAAAATATGATATACTGTACTACAAATCTTAGGGACTCACTAGCATTCATGTTTTCTGTGCTTGGGTTTATTGGTTAGGTTAGGTTCCAGTAATTTAGTACTGTATATCATTTTTTTGTCCATTGTGAACCTTGAGAGGACAGGCTGCTTTAACATATTCAAACCATCTTGATTGGCTCTCCTCAGTCACACTGCTTATTGACTGTTGCATTTGCCATTTCCCCATACTTTCACATGTCTCTTAGATTATTCATTTCAACTGTTCTAACTGTTGATTTTTCCCATATTCATTCCACACCATCAATTTGCAAATGATACAAGAGTCAAATACCACTCTTTCATGCAGATCTTTGGCTATATTCCTTTCACTCTTGTTTTTCATAACCAGGGCATTCATTGCACCAGGCCCTTGCCTTTCCTCACTCACCCTACTTCAAACTTCAATTACACAAATACTTCTCTTTAGTAATTGCTCATCACAGCTATTGACCACATCCAGTACTTCACCATTCACATTGACCTCATACACACAATGTCCTCCTCAGCACAACTGGCAGTCCTGTGGTGCAGTGGTCAGTGCAGCCAGTGTATACCCAAAAGGTACCGAGTTTGATTCCCATACAGGATGTAGTAGTTTAGGCCCATTTTCTTTTACTAGATGCCTTTGGTTCACTTAGCAGTAAATAAGTACCTAAGAGTTAGGCAACTGTTGTGGGTTGTATCATGGGGAAGGTCACTTGTTTGGCCAAGGATAACCTCAATAAGCCTTACATTGATTTCTATCCCTGATAATGGGAAAGCATGACTTTACTTTTGTTTACTTCCACTTAACTTTTCCCTCACACACCTCCTGCTTGATACCTGCTTGGTGTTCTGGGAGTTCTTCTACTCCCCAATCCCTGCCTGAGGCCAGGCTTGACTTGTGAGAGTTTGGTCCACCAGGCTGTTGCTTGGAGCGGCCCGCAGGCCCACATATCCACCACAGCCCGGTTGGTCCAGCACTCCTTGGAGAAAACTATCCAGTTTTCTCTTGAAGACGTCCATGGTTGTTTTGGCAATATTGTCCTGGCAATACCTCAAGATCATCTTCAACTAGTCTACATAGCCTTCTGTTATTCTGATGAATGAACAATATATGCATAGTGTACTTACTTATTACTCACATTAGGCCTATACACTAGGTTTACCCCCCTAACACACTTATATTTACCCCCATACATGACCCCATCCATTTACATTGCAAGGTCATGAGCTTTTAAACCGCTCATAATCCTGAAGTACACTCAAATTAATATAAAACTGCTCACTCGTAACAACATTAACTATTACACCTGGTACTGCTATCTGAATAGAAACTGGAAGCAGCATTTATCAGCACTCTGCTAACTCCATACATGCTCATCACACTCCTAAGTCACCCTCAATTAACTTTGTGAAGTGCTTTCTTCCAAGTTCTCTTTACAATCTTTCATGTGGCCTTAGTATTTATATTAAAATAGCTTATACTGATCTCCACACCCTCTTTTACCAGAGAAGCCACCTTGCTCATCACTGATAATTTATAAATTAGTTTACTGTGCTCATCCAATCACTTTCCTGCCATTCACGCCCACTACACAGTAAACTAATGTCACTATCATTCTTATATTTGCAATGTTCTTCATTGTTTTTATACAGTGGTATAATTGCAGGACTTTTCCAATCGTCTCTTACAGTATCACAGTTTGGTTTAAACACCAAGTTAGTGTGTCACTAACACAAGGTTATAAAAGAATGAGAAACTGCTTAGTGGTCACCCATCCCACGAATCTGAAAATAAAGGCATTAACAATGTCTCGGTCTGTCCTGGATCATTACTAAGTCATGTAATTGTCCAGGATAGACCGAAACGTTGTCAATTCCATTATTTTCAGATTTATGGGTTGGGTAACTACCAGCAGTTCCTCATTATTTTATAGCTTTGTGTAATTCCACACAGTAACTTGGTATTTGGAACCAAATATTTCTTATATATATCTACGATACATTGGTTTATTGTCCATTTCTCCAAGATTACTATGAACTCAACTTCTCGACTTTTATTCATTTACTTCTTGGATTTTTGAGATGTGCTCAGCCTTTCATTACTAAGCTTATCTTCCATAACAGCAACTTGTGATCAGAAGACTTCAAAATATTTCTCTTGCTGCTCTCAATTTACACATTGTTAAATAGTCAATTAACCTCTTTTTTTGTGCAATTTCATTATTAATCCTTGTACCATGTATAATTATGAATATTCAAATGTTTAAAATATGTATTAATAATACATAACTGTGTTCACTGAATAAATCTTTCAATCTATAGAACATCATTTATTTAAAGGACACTATTACCACTCATTATGTTGTTCTTGGGACCTATTCCCACTCTACCATTAAGATCCCCCATTACAATTATTCACTAATTCTTAGGAATTATTCTGCTTACAATTTTTAAGTTAACCCTCACCAAAAACAAAAAAATTCTCACTTTTGCTGTCACGGCATATATGAACTAACAATTACCATCACCTTCAAGCTTTCAAACTTGAAATTCACACTCAAAAACATCTTGAACTGCAGTACAAGTCATTCACTGTCCCATACTGCACTTATTTCATTAATGTACATATTCCCTATCTTTTTCTTCTGTTCCTAAGATTTGCTATGTAATTAAGCCATTAGTCCCAATTAAAACAACTTTCTTTTTGCCAAGTGCCACCCCCTCACACTGATTCTTGCATGCCTACTTCACACTATCTCCACAGGTGCCACACTCCATACTGCCATCACCACTCTGCCCACCAGTTACCTGTCCTGCTATGTCACCTGTCTGCCCTCCCACCCTATTGAATATGCAATGTGCATCATGCATTAGTGCAACTTGCAACGCTACCACATATTAAAATGTTATGTCATTGAAATGTAATGTCTCCCTAGGCCAATGACTGACTTTTTCCAGCATGCAACCCACAACAGTTGACTAGCTCCTAGGTGAATAAATGCAATCTGGTGTAAGGAAAGATTTTTAAATGTCTCATTCAGTGTGGGGATCTAACCTGAGACAATTCAGTTGTGAGCCGATTGTGCAGACCACGGCACTATCATAGGTAATACTTACTGAATGTTATGTCCTTAGAACTGTAATAGTATCGTTTCTCATCCTTGGGTTTGTTCATAGCCAGTAGTTGTAGACCAGATACTATCTGGTACCCAAAGTTAAGCTCTAAATGTTGTTTGTATCCTGAAGGATCAATCTTTCGAGGGGTACGCTGCAACAACAAATGTATACTTTATTAGGTTGTGATTTTTCTTGGATACTAGCTCAATTCATAAAAGTAATAAGTGGGAAAATGCATGAAAGATTTTATTAATTACTCTCTAATCATGCAGTACAGAGTAGCATACATGACTCCATGTGTGCCTGCATCTTCCCCTTCACATACACTGCACCTCTCCTCCATTTGCACCCGCACCTCTCCTCCACTTGTACCTGCACCTCTCCTCCACTTGCGCCCGCACCTCTACTCCACTTGTGCCCGCACCTCTCCTCCACTTGCGCCCGCACCTCTGCTCTACTTGCGCCCGCACCTCTCCTCCACTTGCGCCCGCACCTCTCCTCCACTTGCGCCCGCACCTCTCCTCCACTTGCGCCCGCACCTCTCCTCCACTTGCACCCGCACCTCTCCTCCACTTGCGCCCGCACCTCTCCTCCACTTGCGCCCGCACCTCTGCTCTACTTGTGCCCGCGCCTTATGAAGAAGAGGTGTGGTCTCATGAGGAGGGAAGGTGCAGGCACACGTGGAGGGAGGAGGGGAGCTACAGGGTGCTCTCCTGTAGTGGGGAGCACCTGTAGCTCCCCACTGTCCTGGAAATCCTGGAAACATTCTTGTATCAACATGTTAAACAAGCTACGAGGATGAGGGAAGGGGACGTTCCCTCCATGCTAGATTTGATATTTACCAGGAAGGAGGAAGAGATATTTGACATTCAGTACCTTCCTCCCTTGGGTAAAAGTGACCATGTCTTTTTGGGAATAAAGTATGCAATGCGTTATAAGCTGGAAGAAAATAAGGAGGTTGAAGCAGTTGAAAAACCAGACTTCAGGAGAGGACATTATGGTGACCTTAGAAATTTTTTTAGTGAGTATAATTGGACAGACTTGATGCTAGGCAAGGAAGTGAATGAGATGTATGTCAAGTTTTGTGAAATATATGATAAAGGCACAAAAAATTTATACCAAAACAGAGATGCAGAACTAGGAAACAGGATTGGTTCAATAGAAATTGCGAGAGGGCTAGAGACCGAAAGACACAAAAATGGAATCAATACAGGAAGAGGCCGAACCCCCAAACATACCAGCGATACAAAGATGCGAGAAACAACTACACGGCAGTGAGGAGAGAGGCAGAAAGAAATTTTGAAAAAGGGATTGCGGACAAATGTAAAACAGAACCAGGTCTATTCTATAAATTCATAAACAACAAATTGCAGGTAAAGGATAATATTCAGAGGTTGAAAATGGGAAATAGATTCACGGAAGATGAAAAGGAAATGTGTGAAACACTAAACGAAAAGTTCCAAAGTGTGTTTGTACAAAATGAAATCTTTAGGGAACCAGATACAATAAGAATTCCAGAGAACAACATAGAACACATAGAGGTGTCTAGAGACGAAGTGGAAAAAATGCTCAAGGAGCTCGGTAAGAACAAAGCAGCTGGCCCAGATGGCGTTTCACCATGGGTTCTGAGAGAATGTGCATCTGAGCTCAGCATTCCACTTCACCTGATCTTTCAGGCATCCCTGTGTACAGGAATCGTAGCAGACGGGTGGAAACAGGCTAACATAGTTCCAATCTACAAAAGTGGCAGCAGGGAAGACCCCCTCAATTATAGACCTGTATCATTGACAAGTGTAATAGTGAAAGTATTGGAAAAACTAATCAAAACTAAATGGGTAGAACACCTAGAGAGAAATGATATAATATCAGACAGACAGTATGGTTTTCGATCTGGAAGATCCTGTGTATCGAATTTACTCAGTTTCTATGATCGAGCCACAGAGATATTACAGGAAAGAGATGGTTGGGTTGACTGCATCTATCTGGACCTAAAAAAGGCTTTCGACAGAGTTCCACATAAGAGGTTGTTCTGGAAACTGGAAAATATTGGAGGGGTGACAGGTAAGCTTCTATCATGGATGAAAAATTTTCTGACTGATAGAAAAATGAGGGCAGTAATCAGAGGCAATGTATCAGAATGGAGAAATGTCACAAGTGGAGTACCACAGGGTTCAGTTCTTGCACCAGTGATGTTTATTGTGTACATAAATGATCTACCAGTTGGTATACAGAATTATATGAACATGTTTGCTGATGATGCTAAGATAATAGGAAGGATAAGAAATTTAGATGACTGTCATGCCCTTCAAAAAGACCTGGACAAAATAAGTATATGGAGCACCACTTGGCAAATGGAATTTAATGTTAATAAATGTCATGTTATGGAATGTGGAATAGGAGAACATAGACCCCACACAACCTATATATTATGTGAGAAATCTTTAAAGAATTCTGATAAAGAAAGAGATCTAGGAGTGGTTCTAGATAGAAAACTATCACCTGAGGACCACATAAAGAATATTGTGCAAGGAGCCTATGCTATGCTTTCTAACTTCAGAATTGCATTTAAATACATGGATGGCGATATACTAAAGAAATTGTTCATGACTTTTGTTAGGCCAAAGCTAGAATATGCAGCTGTTGTGTGGTGCCCATATCTTAAGAAGCACATCAACAAACTGGAAAAGGTGCAAAGACATGCTACTAAGTGGCTCCCAGAACTGAAGGGCAGAGCTACGAGGGAGGTTAGAAGCATTAAATATGCCAAAACTAGAAGACAGAAGAAAAAGAGGTGATATGATCACTACATACAAAATAGTAACAGGAATTGATAAAATCGACAGGAAGACTTCCTGAGACCTGGAATTTCAAGAACAAGAGGTCATAGATTTAAACTAGCTAAACACAGATGCCGAAGAAATATAAGAAAATTCACCTTCGCAAATAGAGTGGTAGACGGTTGGAACAAGTTAAGTGAGAAGGTGGTGGAGGCCAAGACCGTCAGTAGTTTCAAAGCGTTATATGACAAAGAGTGCTGGGAAGACGGGACACCACGAGCGTAGCTCTCATCCTGTAACTACACTTAGGTAATTACACTTAGGTAATTACTGTGGTGGGGTAAGAGATGGTACAGGTACATGTGGAGCTCAAAGTCTCCTCCACAGCTTCCAGCAAGCACTATTCAAAACAATGTTTGGACAATGCTTAGCAGTGCTTTATAAATATATTTTATATATCTCTAAAGTCAATAAACAATACAGGTTGATATCACTGATGAACCTCAAAAATTCCTTTAGAACCTCAACATAATTCCAGACCTGGTCTGGATTTGCTGGAAATCTTTGAAGCTTCTTAAACCTGCAGTAGCAGAATATTGTTATGGTATTGTACAGTATGTACAGTTCAATACTAAGATTGAGCTTGTGGGAGTAAGGAATTGGCAGGTAGGATAGATCAGGTGTGTGGGATTGAAGGATATTGGGTGGGCAAGAGTTAGGGTCCCCAATTAGGGCAAGAGTCCCCTTCTGCACATGAGGGGATCAGGCAGGCAGGAGGTGGAAGGGAGGAATCAGGGTGCACAATGTATCAGCCAACCTGATACCTCGTGCCACAGTATAGTAAAACCAGGCATTACTTCACATCAATAATACAGTACAATAAAAATAAATTAAAATACAAACCTAACCATATGCCTTACATTATTGACTCTCCTTTTAAGATAGCCTGTAAACTCAAACCATCAATCCATCAATCAATTCATAAGGCCTAACCTTGCCTCTTATTTTTGGTGCCTTGGATAATTTTGCTATAGTGAGATGGGGGTGAAGAACCCGAGTGTCTGGCATGCACACGCCCTTCTCTGAGAACATGGTCCGAGCACTTTCCGCTACCTCCATCAATCGCTGGTACTGCTCATCTTCAACTATATTTGCAAAAACAACCTGAAAAACTTGTATTATTACTACCTCAATTACATAGAACTGGTTGAAAGGTATACACCTGCTTAAAAAAAAAAGATTTTATGTATTTACTGCACATGTTTATATGTTCAGTGCTCCCTCAAAAATGTGGATCATTCCAGACTCGATGCAAATTTGTTTCAGCATATTCAGACATACTGTACAAATAACATATAACAATACTTTTGTGTTCATATAAATAATAATAATAAATAAATTTGTCCATTTACCTTTTTGTAGCACAGGCTGGTCTTTATTACCTAGAGGCAGCAAAATAAACTTGTACAAAATACACCAACCCACCAACAGGGTGAACACGATCTAGTCTTGTTCAAATCATGTGATTTTGTGGGCCACTGAGGACTTGTAAGAGCCAACTCTCTTAACAGTGTCATCTTCCCAGAAACATCACCCCCATTAAGACTCCCTATACCCATACCCACCCGTTCCCGACACCCACACACTCCCGACACCTACATTCACCAACTCATTCCCGACACCTACATTCACTCACTCACTCCCAACACCTTCCCAATATCCATTCCTGACACCCCTCTTATCTCCGCCCCAACTGCATTCCCCACTGGTATCTGGAATATTCAATAAATCTGAATTTTGGCATAAAAATCTGGTGGGTGGATTTGATGTGCTCATTGTTTAGAGGGATTCATTATATGGAGGTCCAGATTATCGAGAACACTTTAATAGGCATCTGAAGTCACTTTAAATATTTATGTATACATGAACTTAATCAATCATTACAGAACTTAAAAAAAAATATACAATACATACTGTATTGTATTGCAATGTCAACAACTTTTTATTATGTATGACCAAAATAGTATCCTAGACTATCTACACAATATACAATTACTATCCTTAAAAATATTTGCATTGAACTACTGTTTTAAGTCATTAGTCTCTCTCTAAACTTAGTAAAACTATGTAATTTTAGACTTACGTGGTTTGAAAAATGGCTCACTCCAGAGAATGTCAACTTGAGCGGATTAGTGGTTAAGTCACCCATCAGCCTGCTGGCGCATTCGTCCATTGCTGACTGGGCTCTGTCAGGACGTTGAAAATTAAAAATTAAAACTGAAGTAAAGTTTTAGTTCCTCAATTTTATTCCAATCAATTTAGCTAATACAGACAAATCAAATCTGAACCCACACACTAGCATTGTAACTCATATCTTTTAAATCAAGTCTGATCCACACACTAGCATTGTAACTCGCATCTTTTGTAATAATAAATAGTCCTTTAAAAACAAAACACACCTCAAGACTCAGGCACAGAAACTACTGCAGATTTCCAAGGTTCTGTATTGTGGTAACCATATTTTAAGTAACGACCTAACATATCTCACTCATTTTTACTATAAATCTCATTCCATGGTCTGCAAATCTCCCACAAAACATTCATTTTATGTCCAAAAATACACCACAATACAGGCTAAATTCTGTAAATTAAATACATATTACAAAACTAAATAATATTGCAGAGCACATAAAACAACATATAGAATGAAGATACTCGCCATGGGTCAAGATTTTTCTCGACATATGATCTCGGAATAATGCCAGGGCGAGTATGGTGGTATGAAGGATGGACATGGAAGTAGAGTGCTAATAGTTTTAAACTTTCCATTTTAATGATTTAAAATTAATCATACTTCATTCTTTACTCTGCTCAAAATCCTTTAAAATATGCTTCCTCCTAGGAATGATGCTTGATGAAGTCCTGGCTATCTTCTATAGCCACAGCCAATACAAAAACAACAAAGTAGTCTGTCAAACAAAAATATGGGCTGTTTGAAAAATGTGGAAAATACTAGTACTGTACATGTAAAATGTAGGAATGCAGTCGGTCCAGTCTATGGGGAGACTTTTGTTTTGATGGACACCCTTTTCTATTGTATCAAGGTTGGAAAGCAGTTCTTTTCACGCCCAAGAGCTCTGCCCTACTGCAATCTGCTCTAGCATATCCCCACTGTATTGTTGTTGAGTCAATGAAACTTAATAGTTTAATGTACTGTATATACTGTACAATACAGTATTTTTTATGGCTTTATTAATTTTCTGAGAATGTAACTAATTTGTGTCATAAGCTTTTTACTAAAATACTGTACTATGTGGTATCTAAAAGAAGACCTTCCAATACATGATGGTTCCTAATGTGATTTTTATTTGCAGTGTTCACTTCTTTGATAATCTTATCTTATTCTCATTATTCATTACACCAAAACTAATGCATACTGCAATGCATACTAATGCACACCACAGCATTGGTAACATTTCACCATCAAATCCACACTTGGATAACATCTCGGTACACTATTTGAGTGCACTATTTAAGTGTACCAAACTCACACTTGAAGTGACTCCTCAGTGTCTATGTAGGCCACGAGAAGAGTGAGGTGAGAGGTGGCAGCATCCACAAATGATCTGGTCAGAGATTCATCGAATGCCAACATATCTTCCTGAACCTTGACAATGGCCTTGTGAATCTGTGGATAATAAGTACTGTACAACTAATATTAATAACTTGCTATAATATTATGTTAACTAGTGCTCTGGCAAATGCTTAAATTTAAAATTGTCATTGTAAGATAACCATAAACTGGGAAGTCTCACAAATGTGTGGAAATTAATATCAGCCCGTCGTCATAAACAAAGGCCCAACCCGCCAAACACACACCGAAACTACGATGTTGGTACAACGTTCGAACAAGTTTTAACCCCTCCTAACCAGTTATAACAACCAATATAGCAAGTTGTAACAACGTTCTAATACGTCCTAAACACGTTAAGCCAAGATGTAACAACTTTTTTACAAGTTGTAACAAGTGGAAAATAGAGACAGTTTCGGTTTGTTTCCAGGGAAGTCAATGCCATGCACCCGCCAAATCCTGTTTTTGAATGACAATGGTTTATACATGACTCAACTGACGCTGTTCAAACACTTATCGAACAATTGCTTTGCTGACAACTTTTCTTTGAACAACAAAGCTGTAAATGCTTCACCCACATACTACAAATACAAATAATCACCAACGGAACATAAACACCTAACCTAACCAATGCCAAAATACTGTATATACAGTATGCTAATATATAACAATATTAATATATATTTGAGAAAATTCCTATTCTGAATGAACAGCATGTTAAAATTGATGAATGCATCTTTTGGGTCGACCGCTAGATGGAATGGAATTGGTCTGAGAACAGGTTGATTAATATACACTTATAAACACAAATAAATGTCTTGTGCCAGCAGTAGCCACCCCATAGTATTTTAATTCAAATAAATTTTTTTTAATTTAAGCCAGACAAGTCCAGTACAGTCAAATGTCTTTAGACCGTGTTCACATTGTACATCACAGTACCATAGTACTGCAACATCTTTCTATATTTAATAAAATAGTTTGTACTATAATTCTAATTAGGAAAATATGTACATAACCTACATAATTTCATTCACTTTGGACCATTGGAGCTTTGAACCGCAGACCTAGGTTCAAGGCTCCAATAAACAGCATGAAGACATTTTAAGAACTTGGACAAAAATCAAACACCACTGTATTCACCTAGTTGTGCTTACGGGGGTTAAGCTCTGCTCTTTTGGCCCACCTCCCAACTGTCAATCAATCAACTGTTACTAACTACTTTTTTCTTTCCTCACCCCCCCCCCTTCCCAGGAAGCAGTCCATAACAGCTGTCTAACTCCCAGGTACTTATTTACTGCTAAGTAACAGGAGCATCAGGGTGAAAGAAACTTTGCCCATAGCTTCCCGCCGGTGCCGGGAATTGAACTCCGGTCCACAGGACTACGTATCCAGCATGCTGTCCACTCAGTCATCGGCGCCCATCATTGTGATAACTATCAGGTTCTACAATAAATTCTACACAAGTTTCTTAATTTATCAAACAAATTCTAAGAAATGTTGTGAATAACAGAAGCAGAAGACCTACAGTACAGTAGAAAACAGTACTTACATCAGGATTAGTTATTTGGATCCCCAGGAAATAGTTGGGCCTCAGGTTCACATTCTCACCATCCTCACACACTGCAGTCCCTCCAAGTTTTTTAGTTCGTTTTTTGCCTTTCTTTTTCTTTTTTTCCTCTTTTGACTGTTTATGTTTGCTTTTTTTAGCAGGAGGAACAGATTCTGTGATTTCGCTAATGGGTTTGTTTGAGTCGGTAACTTTTGAGCTTTCTCCAGATTTACCAAGGTTACCATCTGGAAAGACCTCACTGGTGGTAAGTGATTCACACTCGGTTTCAAAGACCCCAGATGAAATATTCCCACTTTCTGCTAAGGAAATATCCTGGTCAATACTTTCTGTCAAAGACGCATCCTGGTCGAGACTGTCTTGTGACACACTCATGCTCAGGGACAAATTTGAGCCGAATGTCTTGGAAGGACCCTTGATTGGTTTTTCTTGATAACTACCATCAACATCCTTATCACTGAAATCCTTATGTGGACTGACAAAGGAGCCGGAATCAACTGTACTCTCATGTGACAAGCTCTGTTTAAAAGTATTTTCTTCATCTTTTTGTACAGTATTCTCAAACAATTTATGGTCAAGTTCTGAAGACCCACACTCTCTATGCCTGTCATTATTTTTCAATAAACCTGCACTGACAGATTCATAATTAACGCCACCTATGCTTATTCTGTCATCCTGGAGATGCTTTAAATTCAATGACTCGGAGAGAGATTCCTCTTGCTGAGGCTTCTTGGACGGAGGGCTCTCGCCACTACTATCTATGGAGTCTCGCTGTCTCTTCTGTATTTCATTTAAAACAGCGTCAGTCTCTTCAATAGCATCTTCAATTTCTGAACTGTGATTACTATCCATTGTCCTTATAAACTTAAAGAACACTGAAAATTGTATTTTTCTTGATGTAGAAAACTTGGATATAATTACAAGTTGGTGTTTAGGCTGTGGAATGTGTTGAGTGTTGAATGAGCATGATGAGCACCTTCTTGATGCACAATTGTAATGGCCAAGACATATTCTAGCAGAGTAACTTGCCGACAGCTGTGTAGCTGGAAGAGAAAAATGAGACGTATATTTAAATTATGGAATATACAATACTGAATCATCGACATAACTGAATTTTCCTCTTTCCTGAGGTGAAATGACACTTGGCCTTAAGAAAGGAGAATAGAGATCCATTTCCAGGTGTTACCTATATTATGGGGATTTTGAATTTTCTCCCATTCCATTGAAATCAGACAACCTGGAGAAATTATCTGCAAGAACAATTGAAATCCCCCACGACCGAGGACAGCATTGAGGACTAAACACACACATTCCAGAAATGAGAATTCATAGCTAGTAGAGGTGTACCAATACCAATATTTCAGTCCATCATCAGGGTAAAGTGATAACACTGAGACACCAAACCCTCTCTCACATCACCTGGATAGTCATTTAGATATTTGGGATCATCTGTAAACATATTATGGTTCCACTAATAGCATTCTTGTAAATAGCAAAGTGAACCTTTGTCCTAAAATTGAATATTCTAAAGTTATAACTGTATTGTATTATAAATCAATGGTTAAAATTATAAAAAGTGTATGGTAAACTCGTTTTCTTTGATACAGCCACAACCCTAGGTTTTCAGTATAATGTGAACTCTAGGGGATGTTCAAATAACTTTCAAATTTCATATTTCACATATTTGAGAATAATACACTGTTTTAACCTAATATAATTTAACACTTTCGTGCCATCTTCACTTGGATGTACGGGCGGTTTATTTAAGCGCTTGTCGGATCACGACGTACATTTACGGTCCGTGTTATAGTGGGTATATACTACTCGATCGACTTGGGGTTTGTATGAATATGTTTGCCATTAAATTTCCGTTTTCTCTAATAGGCACAGTGCCTATTTGAGAAAACGGCAATGTATTGTAACTTAGAGGAGAGACTATTGAGTTGGTGACACAACGAGGGTAATCGCCCACTCCACACACTCTTGTGTTGGCCGCGATCATGATTCTACATTTATATGCATATGTCTGTGTAGAGAATTTTATTGCGAGTTCAGCAATATAAAATTTAACGCTGTAGGACTAATGTGGAGCTGACAACAAACAAAAGAGTATGAACATTTTGTAGCTGTTTGGGCGTACAGCGAGACAGCAAGTGATCTACGTTTTTATTTATTTCGTGATGGAATAGCTAATGCTTTGGTTACATTTTATACATATGATCTTGTAGAGAATTTTATTGCCAACACATTGATACCAAAAGGAAATACGTAGCTCGAGAATTGGTGTCAGGAAAGTGAAAAGATTACACACTGTTTGGTGTTTACGCTCATGAGAATAAAACGCCGCCCGCACAATGCGCAGAGTTTTTTCGCGGGTGCCAGGTGCATCAAAGTGTTAATTAACCTAACCAAGGACAGAGATCAGATAACAGCACTAATTACATTGCAGTTTTGGTTTTGAAGTGATTACACTGAGGGGTACAAACCCTGAGTGTTATATAATCATAATATAATTTAACAAAATGTTAGATTATGACAGCTTAATTTACATTATTTAGAAGGGGAAATAGCAAAGGACAACATAACTGATTAACAAATAATGAGTGACGGGGAGTAACATGGGGATATAGTAAACGGGTGTAAAATAGATCAACACAACAAATACAAATTGGATACTGGTATGTTTAGATTCATAAAAGACCTAAGTAAACCCTGGTTTGGCAACAGGATTAAAAGGTTATGGAACAAATTACTTGATAACATACAGTAATACAGGAGAATGCTGCATTGGCCCAACTGTAGGTTACACACATTTACCTGAAGGCCACTATCTTTCTAGTGGCCTCGATGGGGCCAGGAAAAAGGCAACTTGCCAAAATTTTCCCTATGGTTCCCGAGGATTTTTTACAACTGAATTTTGAGCTGGCATTATGTCTTGGCATTTATGGCTTTGGCAAGCAGACAGTTCCATGGGTTTATAACCCTATGGGTAAAAAAGCATCTCCTGTTTTGTCCTGCACTTTGGCTTGTTAAGCTTGAACCTGTTGCCCCTTGTGTGTGTTACATGTGACCTTTTAAAGAAGTGGTCTGGAGGGCTCAGCAGAATTAACCAAAGCCACCACAAGCTACCCAAAGCTTGCACAAGTTGGGTAGCTTGTGGTGGCTTTTGGTAATTCTACAGACCGGTCTGGAGTAATATTCTCCATCTAAATCTAAAATCTAAATCCAACTTGTTTAGTATTTTAAAGGGTCTCATTGAGTCTAGTTTGTATAAACATGTGCTACCTCGCATGTACCAAAAAGCCTAATGCAGTTTCTTCTATTCTTAGGCCCTGCCTCACAAAAAAGTGCACCAACAGCTATATAGAGCAACTTCTGACCAACCTCCCACAATTCCCACCCCCAATTTTACAACAACTCGCCACTGGCATACTAAGCGACACCCTCAACTTAGACCTAAACCCATCTCTTGGCATCAATCAGCGCCTCATCGCACACACAACACTAACCTCGTGAAATGAGAAGATTTATTTGTAGCAATCCTGAAGCAGCTGCCTGGCACACGGCCATCACACCTGCCTGTCTCGCGACATACCTGACACTGGCTTCGGATTGACAATACAGCTCGTCCACCTAATAATTTGTAATATCTAGTACATTTAACGTATTAAAGACAATAAACTCTTTATTAAATTATAAATAAATTAAACGCCTATGTAATATATAAGCCATATAAGAATATATGGTTGTATTTTAAATTTAAATAACTGCATTCGGACGCATTGTTTACAACAGGAAAAGCTTAGGAATTACATATTTTAATAAATCTATAAATATTAATTTTATTCCACAAATTCACTGTAAATATTTAAATATATTATGATGCCCAGAGATTATATAAAAATGTATGCTAATGATTATAATAATCAAATATTTTATTCATAAAAAAGTATACCTTACATACAAAATTAATGCGTAAATAAAAAATATATGATATAATAGTTATTATTATATAATATTATGTATGCAAATTTTATGATAATAATAATAATTAGTATAAACTTTTATATGATCTCTTGGGCCCCATTGAGCCAAACTACCTTTGTACAAGTTATTTACCCGTTTACTGGATTATTATTTCAGGGAAGGGGAGGGTAGTGTGTAATTACCTAACTGTAGTTACAGGATGAGAACTCTGCTTATGGTCTCCCGTCTTCCCAGTACTCTGTTGTATAACCTTTGAAATTACTGGCAGTTTTGGCCTCCACCACCTTCTTACTTACCTTTTTTTCAACCGTCTACCACTGTTTGCAAAAGAAAATTTTCAAATATTTTTCGGTACCTATGTTTTCTTAGCTTGAATCTGTGTCCTCCTGTTCATGAAGTTGCTGGTTTCAGAAATTCCTCTTTGTCAATTTGGTCTATTCCTGTTAGTATTAAGTTCCCCTGCAACCTAATATTCACAATCAATTAGTATGTCACATATGCACTTATTAAATAAGCCAATATTGACTACTGTATAAGCAAGTGCAAAAACGGGTTGCAACCTTGTGGTCTGCTTGACGTCTTGACACATGAATGTCTCCTGAATGAGGTTTATAAATCTGCCTGTTCAATTGTCCTTCATTCTTGCTTCGTGGGCCTCCCAGTCTATTGCTGTCAAGTTGAAGTCCCCCAGTACCAACAACTGTAACTTATCACTATCTGCTTTTACTATAATCTCTCTCATGACCATTATGAGGTCCTCTCATTTGTCATCCAGTTCCTCCTTTGTCCACGTGTTGCTTGCTGGTGGGTCGTAGGCATTTATGATTATCAGTTTATCATCCTGATTCCAGACCTGCAGCGCCAATATGTCAACTTCTGGAGGGAAGTTGACATATTTACATATTGAGGGAACTTCTTCTCGAGTCTCAATTATTAACTCTCTTACCTTCAGGTGTTCTTTCACCAGCACAGCCACTCCTCCCCCTTCCTAGTTGTCCTGTCACGTCTCCAAACTGAGAAGCCCCGTGGGAATACGACCTCATTTTAAATATTTTCAAGTTTCGTCTCTGTTAGTGCGACAATATCTGGGACTTTAAGCTGAATTATATCTCTTAGCTCCAGTATTTTTTTTATCTTACTTCATCCATGTTGGTATATACAATTTTCAGGAACATGTTTCCTTTCCCTTTGTTTTTTATTCCCCCTTCTTCTAATGGTTTTGTTGCTTTGTTTTTATGTACCATTTCAATAGATTTACAGTCCCTGACACTTTGTAGAAAATAGAAATTCTTTCTTCTTCCTTTTTTATTCCCATTTAGACGTTTCGCTTCATCAAGGTTTGTTTTCATCTTTTCTATCTTCCATTGAGAGGTCTTGTCTTATTGACCAAACTCATCACTCTGCAATTTCCTGGCATTTCTAAGCACTTTTGTCATTTGTTTCACTCCATGAAATGTCTATATACACTCCAAGCTGTGTAGCAGCGTGCATGAGATGATAGACAAACAACTAACAAAATAACACAACATACTGTAATATTAGCCTTCATTGAATGATGTTCACTTGTGCTGGCATTACTGGATGATGTTCCCTTAAGTATAAGCTATATTGGACAGAGTTTAATTCAAGTACCACAAGTATTACTGGGCTATTGGATGATGTTCCCTTAAGTGAGAGCTTTATCAACATTCAATAAAGTTTCTTCAACTATTTTCTCCTGGGGATTTTTAATATGTACCTGTGCTTAAATATTAAAACTGTTTTGCATTATGTTGACCAGACCACACACTAGAAGGTGAAGGGATGACGACGTTTCGGTCCGTCCTGGACCATTCTCAAGTCGAAACGTCGTCGTCCCTTCACCTTCTAATGTGTGGTCTAGTCAACATACTTTAGCCACGTTATTGTGACTCATCGCCTGTTTAGCATTATAAATCAACACAATTAAACATTCATAAGTAATGCTTTCAAATATTTTATTATCAAAGTACCAATAAACAGGATATTCATTTATAAATTACATTTGGAAAAATATTTAATTAAAATTCCACTTCTGTGACTAGTAGCTGATAGTTATACACTTAAAATAAATTTACTTACTTTTTCATAAACAATTCAAGATTGTCTGAATGTGTCATGCAATGTGGAAAACATTAAAATACATAAATTGTAATCAAATATGAAATTCAAGAATAATTAACAGTATTCTTGACTCTGACATCACAATACCAGTATATGAAATAATAATAAAAAATAAATAATCAAAATATTATTCAGGATGCAAATACCAGGAGCAGAAAGACATAAAATGAGTGATGTCAATGGAAGTGGTGTTGGAGATCCATGAGAAAAACTTCTAGGGGTCATAATATCCACTTCAGTATGTGTAACAGTCAGTATTTATGAATCATGCCACATGAATCTTCAATGAATAAAACTTAGAAAAAAATAAACAATTTATCAAGTCTTATCAAACAAAAGAATTGATCAAGCAGAAGAATGGAAAGCAAGGAAGTAAGAACTTTAACCCATGTTAGTGTCTGGAGTGTTTAAACACTAAACAAACTATCCACAAAACAAAATAAATTTTGTATTCTCTTCAGCAGAATGCATCACATTGATAAATTAATGATGAGAATCACAAATTAGTGGAATATCTATATACAGCAATGTTAAATTATATTAATGACTATAAAGAGATTTCTTTGTAATATTTTGTTCTGTGTTGAGCAATCACGCCAGAGTACTATACTAATAAAGTTAGGATACCCTAGAGTACTTACATAGGGTTAAACAACCAACATCCTATATTCATTCTTCCAGCTGTGTAGGATAACACTAAAGCACGTAAGGTTATTTTGTCCTACATCACAGACACAAGTGCCCACATACATCATCATTATCAATCCATTTCCAGTTTCATGAGTGTGGCAGCATCAGCCCGAAGAAGAAGATACAAGAGTACAGTAATAAAAAACTAAAGTAATATTAAACAATAGCAATCATCTGGAAGGGGACGACAGGGATGGGCCCCATCTTCACTATATTATCTCCACTAAGACATAATACCTCTTCATCCTATGAAAATAGGATAGTGAGGATGATTAATTATACTTCCTAATTTGTAAATATCCTACAGCTATTTCAGTTACATAGCTGCCAGCCAGTTACTCAGCTTGAGTCTCTCTTGGCTAATGCAGATCATTTTCCAGAGGTTCATGAATACACATCTATAGTCGTAACATCAAGGATAATTATGGCAATAGCAAGTCTTTAATTTTTGGAAAATATGATTTTCAGTTTTCCAAAGCCTGTATGGGTAATATTAATCATGTTTTGGAAAAAAAAAATGATGTCAATGTAAAGGCCAACTGTTAACATATTTTTACATCTACTATATTGTACATGGGACACATCGGCTTTAATTAAATATTGTACATGTAAAATGAGATTATCTAAAAAAAATTATGCTCATTAAATCCTATAGCTTAGCTAAATGAATTGTGGGGTTCAGTCCCTAAGCCCATTATGTGGCTCTGTAACCCTTTCCACTACCGCCCACAAGATGGGTATGGGGTGCATAATAAATGAACTAAACTAACTAAATCTTATAGAAGATCACTGCAAAAAATAATGAACTATTTGATCATTTTAATCAAAGTGACTGTAAAGATGAAGAGGTAAAATGGCCCAAGATTCAGGTGCATAACTGGAAAGGAGCCAAGAGACCTCCAAGGAAAGAATGCAATTTTCCACATAAGAATCCAACCCTACCACCTTCACATCCAGATACTTACAGACCAACTTCACTTACCATACAAATATTTGTAACAACATGACTTTATACAATGGTATTGCACAATCTGTTTTTTTGTTATGCTATCATCTGACAAAGATATTTCCCACACTCCTGAGACATTCTCTATACCATTTCCAATTCCTTTTCTACAATGTATTTATCGTATCTTGATACAACTTATTTATACTTGCAGCTTTTTTATATAGTAACTTGTACAGTGATGCATGTACTTCTTCCAAAGATAAATTTCTTGCCATTTTATCTTGTCTCTTCATGTACCTTTTACTCTCACTTTCTTGGATCTTTCTCATTCACTTTATATCCACTTCTTTTATCATCAAGTGTAATTGCTACTTTCTGATTCCTTAAAGCACTTCCTGGCACATTTCTACCAGTCAATGCAACTAGCAAGGATAAGAAACTTAGACGATTGTCATGCACTTCAAGAATACCTGGACAAAATAAGTGTATGGAGCACCACTTGGCAATGGTATTTAATGTGAATAAATGCCATGTTATAGAATGTGGAATAGGAGAACATAGACCACACACAACCTACAAATTATGTGAACAATCTTTAAAAAAAAAATCTGATAAAGAAAGAGATCTAGAGGCAATTCTAGATAAAAAAAAACTATCCCCTGAGGACCACATAAAGAACATCATGCGAGGAGCCTATGCTACATTTCCCAATTTCAGAACTGTTTTTAAATACTGTACATGGATGGCGAAATACTAACGAAATTGTTCACAACCTTTGTTAGACCAAAGCTGAAATATCCAGTGGTTGTATGGTGCTCATATCTTAAGAAGCACATCAACAAACTGGAAAAGGCACAAAAACATGCAACTAAATGGCTTCCAGAACTGACAACAACAGCTATGAGGAAAGGTTAGAGGCATTAAATATGCCAAAACTAGACGATAGGAAAAATGAGGCGATATGATCACTACATACAAAATAGTAACGGGAATCGATAACATTGATAGGGAAGAATTCCTGAGACCTGGAACTTCAAGAACATTACCAGTCTCTTCAAGAGACTCTTCAACTTCAAGAGTCTCTGCAACATTTCTATGAACAGTAGCAGTCTGTGCAACACTTTCATGGTCATAGATTTAAACTAACTAAACAAAGCTGCCAAAGAAATATAAGAAAATTCACTTTTGCAAACAGAGTGGTAGACAGTTGGAACGAGTTAAGTGAGAAGGTGGTGGAGGCCAAATCCGTCAGTAGTTTCGAAACGTTATATGACAATGAGTACTAGGAAGATGGGATACCACGAGCGTAGCTCTCATCCTGTAACTACACTTAAGAAATTACTTCTACCAGTCTATGCAACACTTCCATGAACACTACCAGTTTGTGCAGCACTTTTATCAGTCTAAGCAACACCTTCATGAACACTTCCAGTCTGTGTAATAGTTTTATGAACACTACCAATTTCTGCAACACGTCCATGAGCATTACCAGTCTCTGCAACACTTCTATGAACACTACCAGTCTGGGTAACACTTTTACCAGTTTCTTTCACTTACTCAAATAATGTGCTAGATGAAGGACTCCATATCCTTCCACAATCTTCAGCCTTGTATGGTATGCTCCATATATTTATGTATACAGTACAGAAGTGTCAATTCACATGAACAAACTACATGGGGGTGAGGCATGTTCTCCAGTTCATTGCCTGGAGAATTCCAAAACAATTCTCCAGGCAACGAACTGGAGCATACAACCACTGTAACACATACAGGTTTGTTTGTTGGTTTACAAGTAGGGTAGTATAGTGAAATATCTTCATGATAACCCTGAAGCATATGAGGTAAGTACAAAACCATCATTTGTCCAAATTAAGAAAAAACTTAAAAAAAATAAAAACTTTAAGCATTCTTCATTTTGAGCATCACATATAAAAGAGCAATCACTGCAAACTTTTCCATTTCAGATGTATAACTATTTGACAACTAATGGTTGTGCACTTGTGACAATGAGCAAGATTTCCACTAAAAAATTGTCAGCCAGTCTAGATATACAAATTTACATCAAATAAATTTCTTTTGTATTTTTCATTATGACCATCACACAGGAGAGTGTCATGACGTGTGATGATAATCACTGACGAACAAGTTGATGTCAAAATTATATACTGTACTGTATATACAATTATTATAGGGCCCAAAAATATAAAATGTTTATACAGCGAGTGAGTGATGCAGCATCACATACAAGCACGAACTTACCTGAATTTACCCGAGGACCATTCACTCTACTGGCCTCAATGAGAACAGGAAGGTGGCAGCCTGTCAAGGGTCTCCCTATTTGTTCTGATGACTTTATCTAATTGGTTCTTAAATTGCAGCAGAGATTTGGCATTAACAGCTTTGGTGGGTAGGCAGTTCCATGGGCTTATAACCCTATGGGTGAAAAGGAATCTCCTGTTTTGTCCTACAATGTGGGACAGAAAACAGGAGATATTCTTTCACTCAATGTTTTAAACACTGTTTACAGCTCACAGCTGCTGCATATCATGTCAATTTTTTGCCCAATGGTAATATATTTTCACACTTTCTTACCACCTTTAACACCAAGGTTGCTGCTGTAAGACATCTGGTCAATTAAAAAAAACAATCAGTGACAACAGTCTAGAAGCGATGCAGCTCTGGTATTCGAAGCATAGTGTGACAGTGACTAGAGAATATTTTGACATTTGTTTTTGCTAATTTTGTGTAGAGATATTTAGTTATCATTGTCTGACCATAATATTTAGTGTAGTAAATTGTTGTATTTTAGTTTGTTTTATGTATTTTAGCAATATTTGGACTTTGTAGACATATTTAAGCATGGACGAGCCACATGGTGCAATAATAATTCACTTTTTGCTGTTCTGTGTACATCTTGTTTAATATTAATTGATAATATACTGTAATTTGTAAAATATCGTCATATCTAAGTTTGTTTTGGTTCAGCGAACTTCAGATAACCGAGCTTACAGTATATGGTACTGATGGTTTTGGTAGCCACCACCTTTTCACTTGAATTGTTCCATCATTCTACAATTTTATTCTCAAAAAGAGAGCGTTTGTATGTTTTCGCAGCACTTTTGTTTTCTGGGATTGAATCTATGCCCTCTTGTTTTTGAAGTTGCAGATTTAAAAAGATCTTCCCTTGTCTATTTTGTTGATTCCCATTACTATTTTGTACATAGTGATCACGTCACCTCTTTCCTGCTATCTTCTAGCCTTGTCATGTTTAATACCTCCAGGCTCTCTTTATAGCTCATGTTCTTAAGTTCTAGAAGCCATTCAGAAGCATCTTGAGGTTATCTTGAGATGATTTCAGGGCTTAGCGTTCCCGCGGCCCGGTCCTCGACCAGGTCTCCTTTTTGTTATACACCCCCCAGGAAGCAGCCCATAGCAGCTGACTAACTCCCAGGTACCTATTTACTGCTAGGTAACAGGGGCATCAGGGTGAAAAACATTTTGCTCATTTGTCTCTGCCTCCACCGGGGATCGAACCTGGAACTTCAAGACTACGAATCCAAAGCGCTGTCAACCCAGCTGTCAGGCGCTCGTCTGCATTTTTTATAGTTTATTGATGCGCTTCTTAAGATATGGACACCACACTACTGCATATTTCAATTTCAACTACTGTAGTGCATACAGTATTCCAATTTTAGTCTCACATATTGCATAAACAGTTTCTTTAACATTCCTCCATTCTGGTTTTTATACTGATGATACTAATATGGACATAACAGCTCCATATGGATGTAGTGGACTTTACTCTGACCCATGAAAAATCCTGCAATCGTTTCATGACTTAAGTACGTAAATGTGGTTATCATTGCAAATATTACTATGCCTATGCTAATGGGGAAATCCATCATAGTATAAAATTTCATGATATATATATATATACCAATTTTTGACCAAACCACACACTACAAAGTGAAGGGACGACGATGTTTCTGTCTGTCATAGACCATTCTCAAGTCGATTGTGATTGAAGGGAAATGTCGTCATCCCTTCACTTTCTAGTGTGTGGTTTGGTCAACATATTTCAGCCACATTATTGTGACTCCTCGCCTGTATATACCAATTATTTTCATATGGTTTTCACAGCTCTATATAGTTGTAATGAGGTATACCAGGTCAACCAATCATTAAACATAATAATAAAGGAAGTGAAGAAGGCCTATTGGCCCATATGAGGGACCTACTATTTATATCCACCCAAACTTATTCACAGCAAACATGAAAATGAAGGTTAATTGCAGAAGACCTATTGGTCCAGCAGAGGCAGCTGCTATTGGTATCCACCTAAACTCATTCATATAAATTAATGAGTTTGGGTGGATATGAATAGGAGCTGCCTTGTCTGGACCAATAGGCCTTCTGCAATTTCCTTACATCTTATTTATACTTATTTAGGCCTACAAATAATGTATTGTAGGCCTAAATACATTATCCTTATAGTAATGTACTCAATCCATGTTATTGAACACAAATACTGTATCAAATAAGTTAAAAAGTGAACAAATGAACAAATGATCATAGAAACATCCAAGGCCATAACAAGAGTCCACTGCCACATCGTGCTGTGTCAGCAAGATGTGAGATCAGTGTTGACACATCCGGCTAGAAGCCCCACCTGCCAGCCTTCTATAGATCATCTAACCAGTAAATATGTAAATATTTATTTTAATTCCACCTTTCCTTACATTTTGCATCCAAATTAACCAATCTACAAGGAAAATTTGTTGTTAATTGCTTAATTTGTTTTCACATGGGCATACATGCATGTATATCCAGTGCTGCACGTTGAATGTTAAAAGCAGTTCAGAAATTTGCTAGCATAGGCTCCTCTCAATGCCCTTCATGTGGCCCTCTGGTGACAGCCGACTATCCAGAACCACTCCTTGATCTCTCTTCCTTGTCAGAATTTTCCTGGTCGAAATCCATACCGATTGTCCATTATCATGTCATTTCTCTCCACATATTCTACTTATTTGGCTGTATATTCTCTAATGGTTTGAGTACCACACTTGTCACTGATATGAGTTTATAATTTATAGGGTCTTCTCAGTTATGGGGTTTTGGAGATTGAAACTATTTTTGTATTTTTGCATGTCTAACGAAGTTCCCTGTTCGTGTGAAAGGGTGTAAGTGCATGTGTACGTGCGAACGAGTTCATAAGAGTAAGCATGTGTACACATTTGAAAGGAAACAAATATATTCTTGTAAATCCTAAAATATTGTACTGAAATATTAAAATTAAAGCTTGAAAATATTTATCATCAAGGAAGACTGGTTAGTTATTTTTTCTAATAACTTTTTCATTTGAAACTCCTGAATATGTGTTGAATTTTAATCTGATCAACTTAAAGAATAAATCCACAAGGGCTGTGACGAGGATTCGAACCTGCGTCCGGGAGCATCCCGGACACTGCCTTAATCGACTGAGCTACGACAGGGTTAAAAAGAGTTGAAACAGGCCGAAATAGGCCGTTCTCCCTCTTCACCCTTACATCATTACACGCAGAGATCACACTAACGTGATGCATCAAATGAACATCTTCATTCAAGATGTTCATTTGATGCATCACGTTAGTGTGATCTGTGTGTGTACTGATCAACTTGTTTCAACAATTCCATCACAAAATGCTGCAAGTGTGATTAGTACAGCATATCCCATAAGAATGGAATCATAGGACTATGTGATGAAACCAGCTATTATTTTGTACAAATTTATTATACAAAATAATAACACAAACAAAATGTGGTAGCTACTTTGTTTGGGCACGAATCTCTCTTGTGTTTATGTGTCCACTATTTATGATCACTGCACAAATGCAGACGAGTAAGTAATTATTAGAAGGCGGCACCAAGCCTGGAAGACCATTAAGCACCATCTGTGTCACAGGATATCCAAAAGGTCCAAAATATCACTCAGGATGTGATATTACTAGAGCAAAGTAATAACAATACAACAAAAACACACAAGTCGAGCAACATCCAAGGTATTGGATTCACCAAGGATCATGCCGAGGGATAAATGACTCAAAGGGACATACGAGACAAAAGACCTATGATCATCCTGAAAATCAGGACTTTCTACAAAGAGGTGCAACAAATGCAAACCAGGTATCCAATCAGCACTCGCACAGAAAATGTTGTCAGGAGTGACAATACGTCACCCCCTAACACCATGCAATATGTGATTACTCGCTGAATACCTCATCTGCATTTGTGAATCAATCATAATGGTGGACACATTGAATACATTGTGAATAAAATAAAATAAACTAATAAAAAATAAAAGCCTGTTTCATCATTTTATCTTATGTTCCAGACACATGATGACTCCCTGTATAAGAATTTGTGCAAATTTTACTGCAGTGATTTGGGTCACCTTCTATTTTACTTTTTTACTTCATTTTTATACAATTATTTTACCTCTACAGTATTTGTAATAAGTTTACTACATAAAAGAGCAAGTATAAACTAAAAGATATCTGCACTTTTATATAACTGAATATACTTAGAGTAACCGCATAAAACATTTCAAGGGAACCTAACCCCACATGTAGAGGTACATATGGTAACCGGGATAATTTTGGTCACTTACTGAGAATGTAAGTTAATAAATATATCTTCTCAATAAAAGGAAAGGCAAATGGCTAAACAGGGGTGACAATATCAGTCCACAGTCAAGTTTTGTAGAAGATGATATGCATATTTATTCACAATTCATATATCCTTAACATATATACTGAACCAATAAACAGTGTCATCAGTATTAAAATATTGAATATCTACAGAAATACGACAAAGCACCATTGATGTTGATCATTTAACTATTATTCCTGAGCTGCTACTGCCCCTGCCTCTCCTCCTCCTCCTCCTCATCATCCTCATCCTCTTCATTTGAGTTTCTGTCATAGTCATCCAAATCAACATTTTGTTTTGATTTTCTTTTGCGCTTAGGTTTCCTGCCTCCTGTATTTACCCTCTCTTCAGAGAATTTGCTGTCACTGTTCTCATGGATGGAATCCGTCTCTTCCTGTGGAGAGTGCTCCTCCTGTTGCTCGGTCTCTTGCTTTTCAGATTCCTCCGATTTTTTCTTCCGGATCTTCTCGGCAAGAAACTTGAAGCGCAACATGCAGTCTTCCTGCAAGGTTCATCATAATTAGTCACAATAATTTGTCATTGAATGTGCAGATAATTCAATGTAAATAAATATGAAAAATATCTACACTTTAAATAAAGCAGATTGGTTGATGGAGCGACATGTTCAAGTTCACTTTCTTGGTTTATAGCCACTATGATGCCTCCTGTCAACAAGAGTAACCAGTTAGTATCTTCACACACATGTCAGCTGACTGCTGGCACACTGTAGGTCAGCAATATCTTTCTACCCACCTAAGTAGTACCTGTAGACCTTCAATGGTTATGGATAACCAGAAGAATATAAACAGATTGCCAAGAAAGGGGCAAGAGCATATTAAGCTCTACTGAGGTGGTCAGGATTCCTCCAAAAAGAAAGGATTAAATATGAGGGAAACCCTTCTGTCAACTCTTGGATTAAAGAATGACTAAGAGAATGCCATACAGTATTCCCAAGGAAGAAGGAACCTGATTCTGAAACCAGGAAATGGCAGAGGATCCATACTAAAAATGATAGGATCCAGATCAGAAGCATAGTTCCTATCTCTAAGCAGAAGTAAAAGCATGTCCCAAATAACTGGACAAGAAAGTACACAGTACTGTACTGCAAAGCCTCCCTTCTCTCATATATGACAAGAAAGTGCACCAGATAAAGAGCTGAGGAAGAATCAAACTCAAGCTTGGAAAGCAGATACGAGAACTTCCCAGCATGGAGTAATGTGCCTTCGAGTTTAGTAACCCACTCCTAATATGGATCAAATATAGTCTAGCATATATTGTTTGCATGCAATTAGCCCAAGTCCCCTTTCTACCCACTAAGGAAGAGGGGGGGTCAGTCTTAGAACCTAGACCCAGATCCATGCCCTCATTAAAGATGGAGAGAGGCAAGGAGTGCTAGCTATCATGGGTTCTATGGCATCCATAAGACAGACTGAGAGCAGTCTCCACCCAGAATAATGCCGAAATTGAAGGAATAGGACCAAATTCCACTTCATCAGACATCACATCATAGGTAGCCCATTAAGCCTGTGCATCCAATGCAGAATACCCATTATTATCTGTGCTTATAAAAACCAAGGCTGCCAATGAGCCTTAAACAGTGCAGGAAACCGGAGAGCTGGATGAAAATTCTTCCATATCTCAAGACCACAGGCCAAATCAGGAGTAGTAGCAGCTACATTGTCTTTTTTGCAAATAGCATGACTGTGAGATTAAAATACTTCTCATAAAATAACAGAGGGCACTTAGCCTCCATGCCAGCTAAACATAGGTACAGTATGACAACATTCAATAATACAGTACAATGCACCAAAAAATGTGAGCAGCTGCCTCATAAGCTGCCATACGAGATACCTCAGTCAAGGCCAACACCCAACCTATGACATGTGTAACACACGAGAGGGTGAAATAAACATAGAAACCAACAAAAATTATGTTAGAGGCAACAAGAATTACCAAAGTAAAAAATATATATAAAACCAGCGTTAAATGTAATGAAACGCCATTTTTCTGGGCGTGACCCGGAGGCTCCCCAGAGCTTACTAGGCTGATATGCTAATGTCAGACTTTGGCATCAGTCATGTGTATGGAGTTCTGTGGGCCTACTGGGGACCACGAACCAGAACCTGACCCCCTCAGAGAGGCATGGGGAGCAATGGCCTATAGAAACCCCAGTGTGGTTGGAAGCATTCTATGTCTGCCATCGACCGGGTTTGGTACCCAGAAAGGTAAGCATCCCAAAACAAACTCCTATTCTGGTGAAAATATTGCTACCAAAAGCCGAAGTAGTGGATAAAACTCCCCTAAAAGAAACGAGCAAATGAGTATGACGTCACACGTCACCGCGCTGCTGTCTGCTCAGCTCCCCCCCTCCCCGAGAGGGGGTTAGGAGGAGCTCCAGACCCCCCACGCCGGCTATCCACCCATCGGTTCTAAGGCTGGATGTCAAAACATGCGAAAAACAGCCGATCGGAGGGAGGGATGCAGGGGAGCTCTCCGGGTCACACCCAGAAAATGACGTTTCATTACATTCAACGCTGGTTTTCTTGGGGGAGCCCTGTCGGCTCCCCAGAGCTAACTACCCACAGAAGAAAATAAGAGGGACTTACCTGGGAGGCGGTCGCTGCTCACTCCTCAACTCGAAGTCGAGACAACTGGCTGCAAACACCAACCCAAAGGAACACAGGCCTGATTGGGCCCCGGAACGTTCACTAGGAAATGAGCAGCCAGGACCTTGTTCAACTGCCAAAAGCCCCATGCCTGAAAGGGAGGGAACCTGCACATGGAGTTGCACGACACCAACATCCCGGAGAAGGGCAGGGGCAAACAAGCACTCAAAGCCGCCCCCCAGGAAAACCCGAACCACCGTCGACGCCTCGCACCACTCAAGCTTGTGAGAACGACAGAAGGAATGCCAAGCCTCCAAGCCTGGGGAGCCGGTCGGCCGAGCGGACAGCACGCGGGACTTGTGATCCTGTGGTCCTGGGTTCGATCCCAGGCGCCGGCGAGAAACGATGGGCAGAGTTTCTTTCACCCTATGCCCCTGTTACCTAGCAGTAAAATAGGTACCTGGGTGTTAGTCAGCTGTCACGGGCTGCTTCCTGGGGGTGGAGGCCTGGTCGAGGACCGGGCCGCGGGGACACTAAAGCCCCGAAATCATCTCAAGATAACAAGATAACCTCAAGAAGGCAAACACAGAACAGTCCACCAGCCAGGACGACTCCGGAACCTCGTAATAGACCCAGAAAGGGAACGAAGTCCCAAACCTGAAAGACGACAGATCCATCACCGAGGCTTATTCCAGGTCACGCAGGAGGTAGGCCGCAAGGGCCGCCCGCACTGCAGACGGTTGGATGCGAGAAGCCGAGAACCTCCGGAAAGACAGAACCAACGCACCCGAGGGAACACTGAACCGAACCCGAGGAGTGGCAGACACCAAATTCAACTCGTACACAGAGGGAAGAAAAGAGAACCCCACCCCTTGTAACAATAAGCCCCGCTCCGAGGGCAGAAAAACCCAGGCGGGGTCCAGTGGGGCCCAAAGCCCCCAAGTCTGCCCCTCCCCTGCCCCAGGATCCTCCTCCCCAGGACCTGGGGCCGAGTCATCCCCCAAAGCACTGGCCTCTAAAGAAAAGGCCGGCGTAACTGAGTAAGCCGGACGGAAGGGGGCCCAATGGTCAGACCCGGAGGCTTCGGCTGGGAGATCGGAATCGAATGCTTCCGTCGCCACACCGGAAGGGGCATTCCCCGAGACTGCCCAAGTCTCAAGACCATCTAAACATCTGCCCTGACTCTAAAACCCTCAGACATTTCAAGGCCGAAAGCAGGGGAGAGGCGGGGACCAGAATGAAGCACATCAGGGGAAGGACGAGGGGGTGCGGACTGAACCAAGGTCGAAGCAACCCCCAAGTCCGGGTCCCTATAAGTAAAACGGGGCAGCCTCGGGGCATCCGGGTGAGCAACCAACCGAGCGCGTTGCAACAACCTAAAGTGCCCATGCAATGTCTGCACCGCCTGTACCCATAGAAGATCATTATTAGACTGGGTAAGCTAGGTCACCAGCAAGCAACAAAACTCACAGGACTCTGGGTCGAAAGTGCCACCGACCCAACAGGCAGCGTGACAGAGGTAAAAACCATGAGGGTCACCCTGAGACAAGGAGACCGAGCAACCCTCGAACTCACACGAAGTGAGGGGGCGGGGACTGTGGCGACACATCCATCTGACACACGCGCCCCCGTGGGGTTTCCCAGGGTCCTGAGACGGAACTCACGCTCAGGGAATCCCAGGCATGGTACTGCTAACCAGCGCCCAAAAACTACCAAGCAAATCTCTAAAGCTGAACCTCAGGGATGTGTACACTCACTGGGACCTAGCAGGGGGTACCACCAGAAGAACACCGTATCAGGTTGGGCACTAAGGGGCACGCAAGGCAGACCCCCCCCCCCCCCACAAGGCAAAAATAAAAATAAAACCCCGTAAGAGGACAATGTACTTCAAGGAACAGAGCCGGCTGCTATGAATGGTGAAAAAAAGCTGCGTAGCACCCTGTGCCCCTTACCAGTGCAACTGCCTCTTACCCTAAGGTAAACACGGGAGACAAAACACCCAAGCACCCAAAGGGTGGCCAAATAACTGAGCAGTTAAACAGTGCAGCAGCAGCAAGACCCAAGGAACTTGTGGAAGGTAGACCCAAGCCCCAAGGGCAGTACTTACAGGGCACCTAGGGAAGGTAACCCTAGGCACATGCAGCCCGAGTACTGTAGAAAAACTCCTGGCTCTTACACCCCTGGAAGACAGCCACTACACTAAAGCACAGTGCTGAATAACCCCGGAGTCAGAGCACACAACCCCTGCCTCTAGCACCAGCCTTAGAACTGACGGGTGGATAGCCGGCGTGGAGGGTCTGGGGCTCCCCCTTCCCCCTCCCGGGGAGGGGGGAGCTGCGCAGACAGCGGCGCGGCAACGTGTGACGTCATGCTCGATTGCTCGTTTCTTTTAGGGGAGTTCTATCCACTCCAACCAGAACTACATTCATCATAAAACATATGTTCTGGAGTTCAAGCAAAGTCCAGACACCTGTCTAAACACTACCTCCAGGGATACCTACCATCCCTCCCTTCATCCCATCGCAGGTGTGCTTGCCGGTGGACTGTTACACTGCCAGCTGCTCGTTATTCTGCAGGCGACTCATTCCCAGTAGCCGTCGACAAAGTAAGCGACGTCACCAACAGGGATATAAATCCTCCCAACTCACACTGACGACTTCAGTCTCTATCAGGTGCTCCAGGTAAAAACATTACAAGCTGCCATGATGCTTGCTCTGCCAAACATTTTGTGCCCAGGTTGTGGCGTTTTCTTTGTGTAATCATCGAAAGCCTCTATTTTTATAATTTAATTAACATGAGCTTTCCTATATTATTTTTGCTAATGTGTATCAGCCAAGAGGTGCAAATCAGGGGTTGTTGTAATCCAGTTGTTATTTCTTTATTGTTAAGCAAATTTGTTATATATTTTGTCTGAGTTTATTTTCACTCTTGTCCACTTTTCACACTGCAAAGGCCAATGGAGAATTTTTTTTGTGTGTTTTAATGAGCATGAGGTATTCCATCAGCCCTGTACAACCGCAGTATCATATCACATCACAAACCTAAAGTCTCAAGGAACAAGAGCCACTGGTGGGTGTTGGTTCATACACATCAACATCAACAAGGTAAGGCATTACACTAAAAAATTCAAGGATCTCCCCTGACTACTACATTCCTAACATCATATGACAGAGCAGTAAATTTCCCATCTCATTACCTTGGTCTTATCAGGTACAGCTCGGGCAATTTTGTCCCAGCGCTGGTCAGTGCCCTTTGGATTCTGCTTCAGTGCTTTTTCCAAGGCCTTCTGCTGCGTGGGGTTCCACATTTCATCACTTCCTGCAGCAAGGTCTGTCTTCTCAGCTTTAGTTTTCACTTTTACCTGAAAGGTACCCGGATAAACATTAAGAGACTTTAACAAACACCTCTGTGAAGAACATGACATACTGTACAGATGAACTTGTTGGAGGACACACTGGAATTTTACTTGAGATTGCAGCCAAATGATAGGGCTCAAAGAGAAACTTTCACATAAGCTTAAATTATAATATTTTTCAAGTCAAGTGCTGTATATTGATCAGTAACTGGATAGAAACCCACCTTAACTTCTGGTAAAGTTTCATCACTTTCAATCTGTGAAGGTTTTTGCATTAAGCGAGCCTTCACTTTACTGGACATTTTAGTAACTTCAAACACAGTTCTGCCCATTAAATCTGCGATACGTTCCCATCGTTCAACAGTGCCACCTGGAAATCTGTTAATGAGTGGAAAAATAAGTTCAGGGCAGAGTTGACAGGAAAAATGAAGTCAATAAAATACCAAATGATGTTTTCTTGGTGAAGTCAAGTCAGCGATTTTCATACACTACTGTACTTGACAATTTCTCATGCAAGCTAGTTGGTAACTAGCTAGTGTACGAGAGTTCCAGATTTTTTTTAAACCCCACATAATGTCTATACATGTACTGTACTTGTCTTAGTGTGCAAGTGGAGCTGTCAATGTGGCACTCAAACCTACAGTAATGTGTGTGTTTATGATTAAAAAAAAAATTCAAGCACATCATCAATCAGCACTGTCTCATTCCAAGAAAACAGAAACATCAGTTTATACAACTACTGTGCTGTATGTGGTCAGTGAGATCACTACAGGGGGGGGGGCCACTTCTTAATCCCCAACTACAGTATTTCTTACTTAGGCAAGTGACCTTCCTAAGGAGGCAAGCTCTTACATAATAATGTTTGTCAATAACGCAAAACTGATGAGAAGAATAAGGACTTAGCAGACTTAATAATACTACAGGAAAACCTACAAAAGCTGCATAAATGGGTAGACAAATGCCTATTAAGAGTTCAATCTCAGAAACTGTAAAGTACATGTAATGAATACACATGTAATGAAGTTTGAAAGAGAAGAAAGGAAACCAGAAGGGCAGTAAAGAATAAGACAGAAATAGCTGCAGGAGTCAGAAAAGGAGGACTTGGGAGTTGGTAAAACACCAGCTTTAACATGGAGGAGCCTGCAATAAATGGTAGCAGATAGCCTACATAAATACATTTATGTAGGCTACCTGCAGCAGCACCAATGCAGCAGAATATGCAGCACCAGAATGGAATCCAAACATTGTGGAGTGCATTAATGACACTAGAGGAGAAGAATCTAAGGCAATATGACAAAGGCTTCTGAGGGGAAGAGATGAAGTGAACAGAGGCAGCCATTTCCAGACAAGGAAAAATATTTTGAGGTAGAAGTTGGAGACACAAATTAGTCAAAGATAAGAAAAATTATTCTACTTATATGTAGTGCAAGTGGTAAGTGGAATGAGCTAGAAGCAGAGGATATTGAAAATACTTCCATTCACAGAGCAACTAAAACTGATGATAAATGCACCATAAACTAGAGTAACACCACTCGATGAGTGCTTCCTTGCATTTCCTGGTAAAGCACATTACAATATACAGAAATATACATAGAAAACATAAGCATATTAATTAATAATTACATGCCATGCTGTGATATAAACACTGAGCCACAAATGCATTCATACTTTGCCATAAGGCGAGCAAGTTCACTGAAGTCCTCATCCGTCCACGGACCCCCAGTGATCACAGGAACTGAAGAAGTGACTGGCCTAACTCGTCTCACTGGCTGAAAAGACAAAAAGGTGTGTGTGTATTTATGCATTAACACAAACAAATTATTAGAGTATGGACTCAAACAAAGCCAAGCTTATGTTGAAGTATATGTCATAAAGGAAATATTTAATAAATTATTTTCTAAATAAATAATTTAAAAAACTGAATCTCAATGTGAATGATGTAATAAGGTGGGGAAGAGGATAATGAAATGAGTGCAACACCAAAAGGTGTAAAGCTATGGTGGAAGATAACCAAGGTAGAGTCTTTTAGGATTCAAAGAGAATAGAGCAGATTTCGGTGTTGATTAATTGTTTTGTTGTGCTATTCGACTCTGGTCAAAATTTAACCAAAAGTTGCGATGTCAAACCAGGACCTGATCAAAACTGGCTCCGGCACTTGGTATGTGCAGCCATCTGCCAGCAACAGAATATTTGGAGCACAGGTGAGAGAGTTGCATCATAATTTTACACTTGTCAAATATTAGAGGAACTCACTTCAAAGCATCTCATCTAAATAATTTCTTGCCATGCCAGGAGGCAAGCCAGAATGTGTAAGAAAGCCCCATTGACAGCGACAACTCTAAGAGATAACTTTATAAACATTAATGGCTCAAGACTTCAACATTCAAAAGGAAACTTGATAAACATATAAAATAGGAACCTAATCAACTGTGCTGTGTGATTCATACATCAGATTGCACACAGCAACATCTAATAGCCTGGTTGATCAGTCAACCAGGAGGCCTGGTAGGAAACCAGCCAGGCCACAGAGACATTAATATTGGGAACCATCTTGAGGTCATCTCAAGATAGTGGCACTTGTTGAAACACCTCAAGAAATGTCGTTATTTCTCCATTTTCCGATGTCTGGTTTGGTCATCATATCTTCAGCCACGTTATTATGTCTCTATTATGTCTCATCGATTATCAGAACTAACTTAATTAAAAAGATAAATCAAACTAGAAGTCTGTTGGTGGAAAACAAATGCCTTCAGCTTATAGAAAATGAGCTCGAGCTCCTGGGCTTTGCATCTTGGAATAACAGTTGTATAAAGCAAAGTGTCAATTTGGCCATAGAGTCAAGTAAATCAGACAAAGCACAATTTATTACATAAAACAACTTTCTATTTATCTCAGTAACACTTATTTCTCATTATTCCAGATAAACCAAACTCTTTGGAGATTAATTTTGTACAGATGGACATTTCAGATTTATGGGTTCAAAACCATATTATAGTGAATATATGCATTTCTTACCTGTCCTTCAGATTCTGGTCCATCTACAGCTTCCAATACACATTCCCCATTAGAGAGGTCTGGAAGCAAGTTAACTCTCTTTCGTGCTTCTTTCCGACTCGCCTTCTTCTCTTTACGCTTCTCTTCCTGTAAAAATCCCATCATCAATGAAAAGAAATATTCTATTTAAAAAACAAACAGAACATTACGTAATTATATATATCATCATCATAATCATTTCATTTCCTACAATTATGAAAGAAGAGAACATAAGTGAGCATTATAGGAAGAGAAGGCAAAAGATACGCTAAAATGTACTCCTGCTTAAACAGTTAGATTTATACCAGTTATCTTGAGGTTATCCGAGATGATTTCGGGGCTTTAGTGTCCCCGCGGCCCGGTCCTCGACCAGGCCTCCACCCCCAGGAAGCAGCCCGTGACAGCTGATTAACACCCAAGTACCTATTTTACTGCTAGGTAACAGGGGCATAGGGTGAAAGAAACTCTGCCTATTGTTTCTCGCCGGCGCCCGGAATCGAACCCGGGACCACAGGATCACAAGTCCAGCGTGCGTCCACCAGGACCCCCTCTGCCGCAAGCACAATTCTACTGTAACTAGTTTCTTATTTTTGCTATTTTGTTACAACCATAATAATGATATTTCACACAATAAAACATACTTTTGCAAACAATATGATACATTTCTCAATTGATTTAAGTACATTTTTAAATAATTTACATTTTCTTAAATGCTTTGGCACCAAGTTTCAGTCCAGTGAATACAAAGGCTCACTCTACACAAGAACTTCAGATATTTTCAACTGCTACCAAAGATAAGGATTGCATTACTAGAATACAATCCTTCTGCTGCATCCAACTTTCTGCAATACTTTTACACTCATGCCAAAAATAATAATAAAGCATACTGCATTTTGAAGTGGATTGTAAGGCTTATTGCTAACCCTGTATGTGCAGCTATCATTGAAAGTGCCACCCTGACTTCATGCAAACTAACAGTCTAACTCGTTTTTCTTGTGAAATGGTAGATTTGTAAACAAAAGTATGAAAAAATAAATAAAAATCATACATTTACCCTTATTTTGGCTTGGGCAGCGGTCAACGTTATATTTGCATTCATCATAAACAATGTTAATTGATGGAGGATGTTAACTATGTTAATTTATGGAGGACCTGACTCCAAATAATTTTCTGACCTCCCATGATTGCTGGGAGATACCATTGAGCTATTGGAGACACGTGCAACATTGGTACAGTATTCAAACATTGATACTAAACATAGTCTTCATTTGATGATGACTGGAATTAGACAACTATTGTGGGTTGCATCTTGGGAAAGATCAGTAGTTGGCCTAATGAGGATCTCAATATGCCTGAGTGGCTTTCTATCCAACTTTGAGAAGCCATTCTACATTAAAGATATAGCAGAGGGTGACTAAATAAATAAAATAATTTATTAAAATACTGTACGAGGTAGAATAATTCAAGTATGTGGTATGGTACATACAAGGAGTCAAATGCAAGGTCAAATAATTGAAATACTGTATACCTCTTCTTGTTTCCGCCTATCTTCCTCCTCTTTATCCTTTTTTTCCTGCAACTTTCTCTCTCGCTGCTCCTTCATCATCGCCATGATTTCTCGAACAATTGTTGGACTGCTTGTCACTAGATACACCACGAGCTTCACAAGTTGTATGGGCAGAATATTCCACCAACTGAGAACAGCAGCAGAATTATAATTAAGAATATTGGAATATTCCTGGAGAATCATAACTAAGACTTATCAAACAGGTTCCTGGAGAGAATCATAGCTAAGATTATCAACTAGGTTCTTGGACAGAGTCATAAATACGTGTCAAACAATTTCTGAACAATATCACAGCTAAAACTGATCAAACTATTCATGAACAGATATAATTGTAAGGATTTTTATAAATGGAAAATGCTGTAACTCTACATTAAGCATTTAAATAAAAATACATAATCTAAAGCACTGTACAATACAAATATAAATAAAAATTGAGACTTATCGAACAAATTCTATACTGCTCTTCACCAGAGATGCCACTAGCTTTAGAGGTTGTACAGAGCGGGAATTAAATAAAGCTGTCATAGAGCATGTCAAAGCATGGCACTTCAAAAATGCCATGCAATTTGATATCTTGTATGGATGAATAAAACAGAATCGGTAACTTTACAAAGTCTCCCTGATGTTTGACATCTTGTTCCTCTTAAAAGAAATACTCTTTCTTTTCTAAGTGTTATCATACATAATCTTCCCCAGACATAACTATTCTGCCTTCAAGTTATAAATGTCGAGCACACACTAGAGTTTAAAATCTATGCAGGGATGTGTTCCCGACATCTATGTGCACATTCTGACCACATATTTTGAAATCATATTGGAAACCTAATATACATTTCAAGATCAAAAATTGTATAACATAATAAATTTAAATAACATATGCACTGTTTAGGTCTTCTCTCACAGATACATATCATATGAGGAAGTGAAAATAGGATTTGGTCAACAGATGCAAACACAGAGCATCGGAAATAGTTTTATGAACCATACAATCTTTAATACTGCTCTAATCTTATTTCAAAGTAATTCCACTGAGATGGTCTTTATGATAAGTTCATTGAAGCTGGATACATTGAAGATAGTCAAGGCAAGATAACATTCCACACCAGGACTGCAGGAATCTTACCAAAACACCCTTGCTTAGACATACTGGTGCTAGGAAAGCACTAAAGAAAAGCTCAATCAATCAAGACCAGCATTACCAGAAAGAACATCAATGAAAACTCAAAATTTTCCAAGTCTTACTTGGCATCACCAGGACCCAACCACTATTCTTGAGCCCAATAGACTCAAGAATAGTGGTTGACATAAGTACCCCGAATTGTCGTCTACTTTGGTCATCCTAATCTGCACGGTTATATTAGGCAGGAAGATTAGTTGAGAAATTGGATCCAGAAATTGAACCTGGGATCCCCGATTGTGAATCGAGAATTAAGTCAATTGTACTATGAGGCCCTGTTTTGTAAAGAACACTGTTGCACGCCTGAAGATGTGAATATCTGCCCCAACTCTCATTAACATGAGAGTTGATGGGACTTTTCCTTCATTAATGGGATATTCAGTGTGCTTGCATTAGGAAAGATCGATGTCTTGCTCAATAAGTAGCTTATCATATTCACTCGAAGCCTGATTTCTCACAATCTTCTTAGAAAGGAACAACATATATTTCGTCTGGATAAATTTGATACTTAATCGAACCTCAAGAAAGCTGTTTCTTACTAAGTAGAACTTACAGGTTACTCTCAGCAAACTACATACTAAGGAATTTAGCATATGAACAACTGCACACAGGAAATATAACTAGCTATGTCCTGTGTTACAAAGTGTATGTAACTGAAGGAACATACCTGGGCTTAGGGATCTCGCCCAGCTCCTCCTCCATCAGAAGTATGTTCTCCAAGTCCTCCGCTTTCTTTTTCTTCCTGTCCTTGATCTTATATTTCTTCATCAAACATTCTTCCTTTAAAATCAAACTGAATTAGAAGATACATTTAAAATCCATTGAAATAATTTGAACCCTTCAAATAATTTTCATGTCTCAAGGAATCCTGCATAAAATTATTATATTGTATCTAAATTTATTAATCTCAAAATATATATTTATTACCGTAATCACGAAAAATCAATCCTAATTGTAAATACAAGAAATAAACATTGACAATATTCTCGTGGAACCCTGGTTGAGTGGAACCCAGGTTGAGTGGAACCCTAGGGTTCCTGGGAACCCTGGTTGAGTGGAACCCAGGTTGAGTGGAACCCAGGTTGAGTGGAACCCAGGTTGAGTGGAACCCTAGGGTTCCTGGGAACCCTGGTTGAGTGGAACCCTGGTTGAGAAATGCTAACTTATATAATACAGTGTGAACTAAACATTAAAAACTAAATTACAAAAACACTTGTGCAGGAGGTAAACAAGGGAAGTAAGATTGAAGAAGTCATGAAAGCCACCTCCAGTCACAGCTTCAAGACCAGGTATGACAAAAAGTACTAGAACGTAGGGAAATATAAATGCACCAGGTATGAAAAAATATGATTCGAGGCCTAAGGGCTAGATTGTGTTCCTGAATGCAAACTTAGATAAGTACATACAATACTGAACACTGTATAGTTACAAATAAAAATAAATTGTAATAATCATTTCACAAACAGGAGAGGCTGGGTCAAAATATTTTAACTATGCTGAATGTAAAGATTAGTTAGCATTAACATATTTCTTTAACACATTATACAGTTCATGAATTACAAATATAATAAGTTGAAACAAAAATACTATACAATAAAATTCTCAGAATATAAGAACATTGTGTGGGCCAATGAACGTCACCCTCTGTCTCTAGAAAAAGATGCAAAAGTCTAGCCCACACAATATGTAATACATAATGATGTACATGTAACTAACCCTTTTTACTTTCAACGTCTTAAATGCACGATCCAAAGTACCTTCTCCATCTTGACAAGTGCTCCAATCAGTATTTCAACTACCATATACAGTTTGTTTTCCTATACTATACTATATACTCAGGCAATTATATTACAAAAGATTTTATATACATTTTTAATTTCATTATAATCCTGTTCAGCTTTTTTTATTGTGCATTATTTTCCTCAGTAGTATACTTTTCTAGTATTTTTTTATCTAGTTACTTGCACGATCCTCTAATGATATAATCTAAAAAAAAAAAAAAAAAATTTGGTTGTGTATTAGCGGACTTTGAATGTGAAGGCAGTGAAGTAGTGGTGCAGCCCAACTCGTGAAATTATAGGACCCGTACTCAACACTTACCATGCAATGCTTTTTGTCTATGTACGATCCCCAGGACATAAGGTACTGTGTGATGGATATAACGACTGTAAGAATAATAGATATCTCCACCATCGACATCTTGCGAGCTTTCCGATAGTAGTAGATGGCTGAACGCCAATCGGGCAAACCATCCACTAGCAGCTGGTTGTAACGTGCTCGCTGCTCTTCATCCCGAAGAATTTCATAAACAGAAACAAGCTGCAGGAAAATAAGGTGTTAAATTATCATAAGGTGCCAGTAATCCAAAGTCAAATATGCCTTAAAAAATACTGCATGATGTGTAAAGGAACTCAAGAGATGCGTATCCTTAATATTAACATGTCTCAAAAGGTAATGTGTCTACCCCACCAGAATGTGAAATGCAACATGAATACCTTTTCATGTGTCACATTTCACTTCAGTAATAAAATGGTACCTTTAAACCCATTTATTTAGTAGCGTACAACTCTGTTAAATGTACCAGTAAAACATAGCTGAGATCCATCTTTACTTATATAAGATTATATAGAGATTAAACCCACTTTCACAAGCTACACAAGAAGCTCCAATATATCTTAATTTAGGTGCCTTGGCACTAGTGTTTTGTCACAAAAATTTGATCAGTTTGTAATTTTCATGGCTGACATAACCACATGCTTCATGTTCTTATAAACATGATTATTTTAAAAAAGATTTTAATTTAATCATTTGTTAACAAAGATGACAATCAAAAAAGCTCGTGCAGAGCAAACTACTGTACATGGAACACCATACATCAAATGAAATGAAAAGCTGTTTTCTAGTGGGACCTCTGTGGTTTATCTTATCTTACATACTGGTGTAGCCAAGCCTTAAGAATTGCATTCAGAGATCTATGCTGCCCTACTGAAGTCAGGATCTGCTCTCCTATTTGATCTGCAGTGATGTAGATTAAATTTAAGTGGGAAACAGGGAAAATATGATACTGTATTACCTACATAGAATCTCATGACAGAAACAAAACATTCCATATTTAGTAGTGAATTTGTAATTTACATTGAACAACCATTCAGTACTAACACCCTGAGACGTTATTACTCTCACACTGCCCGAGCATTTATTTGAATAGTTTAAGAAACTATTCATACAGAAATACCAAATCAATATCCTAAGAAGCTATTCATACAGAAAAAATGAATAATGAAGATCTATTCATACATGTCAAACAAATATAAAAAAAAAATTATCAATGCAGTCTGCTGTACATACACCCAGAGCTTAAAAATTACTGTACTGTATATAAAAAGCAAATTCCTTGAATGTTAATGACGAACCATAGAGCTGGGTTTTCTTAACATAATAATTAACCTAAACACTGCTTTATCTCAGCATAGCCATGAACCTAAGGTCCGGTTTAACATAGCCATGAACCTAAGGTCTGGTTTAACATAGCCATGAACCTAAGGTCTGGTTTAACATAGCCATGAACCTAAGGTCTGGTTTAACATAGCCATGAACCTAAGGTCTGGTTTAACATAGCCATGAACCTAAGGTCTGGTTTAACATAGCCATGAACCTAAGGTCTGGCTTAACATAGCCATGAACCTAAGGTCTGGTTTAACATAGCCATGAACCTAAGGTCTGGTTTAACATAGCCATGAACCTAAGGTCTGGTTTAACATTGCCATGAACCTAAGGTCTGGTTTAACATAGCCATGAACTTAAGGTCTGGTTTAACATAGCCATGAACCTAAGGTCTGGTTTAACATAGCCATGAACCTACGGTCTGGTTTAACATAGCCATGAGCCTGGGCTCCGGGTTTACCTTAACACAGCAATGAACATTAGCCCTGGTTTACCTTAACCCTTAGATAGCAGCTATGGAGAAATGGTCATACCGACCTATGCACCAATAATATAACAAAATTCCAGAAAATTATTATTCATTATAGAATTATTCATTTGTATGCAAAATGTAAAAAGAACATGAAAATTTGTATGCAAAATGTAAAAAGAACATGAAAATTTGTATGCAAAATGTAAAAAGAACATGAAAATTTGTATGCAAAATGTAAAAAGAACATGAAAATTTGTATGCAAAATGTAAAAAGAACATGAAAATAAGCGAATATTTATCGGTTCACTGGGTGGAGGCGCTCTGCTAGGCTTCCTCTAGCAACTGTCAACGCCTGGTGCTCAACTTTGCTGACGCTTCCATTTTACTCTCTCATGTTTCACTTATTTTTTATCACTTGTTTTTCTTTATTTACATCCACAGAGAACTATTATGTCCATATTTGCATCATGCATGTAAAATCCAGACAATAATTGTTTAAATCGTCAAATGATGACATTTTCATTTCACCGTGAATCAACAATTGACGAAGCCAGCTGCCTAAGGGTTAATGTAGCAATGAACCTAAACTCTGGTTTACCTTCGACAGGAGTCAATAGGAGTCTTACCTGCCGAAATTTTTCCTCTGCATCAGGTGCATCATTCTTGTCAGGATGAGTCAGGAGAGATAGTCTTCGGTAAGCTTTTTTAATCTCTCCTAGTGGTGCATCCTGTTTGAAATTAAATAATATAAATTATATACATTGGCTAATAATAAAAACCATTTAAATATTTTACTACTTACATGCAGAATTTGCATGCAGTAATTTAATACATTTCAAAATAAAAAAGTTTCAAGCAAGTCCCAACACGATAGTACAGAATATATTTTTTATAAAATTGCAGCTTGCAAGTCTTAGTTGCTCTTTATTTTCCATTAGTGTAATTTTTGCTTTCATGCTTAACAGAAGTACTGTAGCTGTATTTAGTATTGGTACAACAAGTTGCCTCCTATTCAAATGCCAATTTTTTAATTTAAATATTTTTTCCAAGTTGAGGAAATGTTCAGGAAAAGTTAAAAAATCTGCTCGGTTACTAAAAACTGAAAAAAAAGTTGTGGGAGGCCTATATCAGTTTTCCAGCTCAACCACCTAGCAGTAAACACAGAATGTGTAGTTTTAATGCACACTTAATCAACACATGCTGTGGGAAAGGATAAGCTGGTGTTGTTTGTGCCATGTGGCCATTCAAGAAATATCTGTTCCACCTACATTCTCAGATTTCTAGCACAAACACTAAACATACTTTCAAAATTGCGGCTAAAAAATACATGTAACGTGTCAATTTTGGCTTCAACTAAAGGTTCACCGGGATGACTTAAATCACCTATTAATGGCTTTTAAAAAGTAAATACACAGGTTTTTAAGAAGATGCTATGTAAGAAGATTAAGTGGTGAAAAAGTTATTGTACCTCATAAGGATCCATGAGGTAAAAGAATAAAACTTGAAAAGCTGAATGAGACAGAACTGGTAGAACTGGTAATGTAAGGGAAGTGTGTGAGATGCAGCCATAATCAAGTTGACAATACTAATGAAAATTGTATTTTTATAAAAGTTTGGGCCTTCCCAAAGTGCATCCAGGTGTTATATAATAATACTTTTAGTAAGTTTAAGATAGTGATGTATTCAGTTTATAAGTACTGTATATTTGCTCTCCAATATAAGCATGTCAAAGATTACCTATAGTAGTGAAATTTTTCTTTATAGTATATACATTTTGATTACTCTCAAGCTTTCCCAGAAGGGTGTCAGGCTATATGTTTTCTGGTGTCATCAAAAAGTATTGGGAAGATGGGACATCACAAGCATAGCTCTCATCCTGTAATTACACTTAGATAATTACACAATAACCAGACATTCATATAAACACATACTCACCAAACATCCTCTCCATGTACACACATTTATTCATAGCTGAACATGATAATTTAATACTTTTGCCACTTAAAATAAAAATTGTATTTGCACACATATATAGTAGCAATCGCAGTGGAAAAATACCCTAAATTATAGAACACAGAATTTAAACTGCAGACAATAGACCTAGCACACTAAGTGAACTAGTTTTATTGTTTGAGTTAAACAAAATTAGTAAAAAAAAATAGTGGGTGTGTTATAAAAATGATTGGCAACCCACATTCAGATTCAGATGTTTATTCAGGTAAGGTATATACATACAAGTGATGTTACATTAATGGATTGATATATAGATAGAGCTAGTACATACAATGCCTAAAGCCACTATTACGCAATGCGTTTCGGGCAAGAAAAACATTAATATCTAGAACTTAATACTAATTGAGCATAAAGAATAAAAAGTGTTGAGAACAAATACAAATAAAGATAAAAAAAAGGGGGAACATGACTGAAAAAGCAGCACAAATACAATAAGTTGACAAACAGTGTTGATTAAAAAAAAAAAAAAAGAAAATAACAGACATGGGTTGACAATAGAGGAGTGAGGTAGATTACAGGGAATTTATTAGGTAGTGTTTAGTTTTTATCTTAAACTGGTTGAGAGAGGTACAGTCTTTAACATGGTTGGGAAGGTCATTCCACATTCTGGGCCCCTTGATTTGCAGAGCATTTCTAGTTTGATTAAGACGTACTCTAGGAATATCAAAACTGTATTTATTTCTGGTGTGGTGCTCATGGGTTCTGTTACAACCTTCAATGAAGCTTTTAAGATCAGGATTGGCATTATAGTTTAGCGTTTTATATATGTATAATACACATGAGAGAATGTGCAGTGACTTAATATCTAACATATTCAGAGATTTGAGTAGGGGTACCGAGTGATGTCTGGGGCCAGAGTTGGATATTGTTCTAATAGCAGCTTTGTGTTGGGTAATTAGAGGACGTAAGTGATTTTGGGTAGTAGAACCCCAAGCACAAATACCATAGTTGAGATAAGGATAGATAAGGGAGTAATAGAGAGTCACCAGGGCAGGGCGTGGTACATAATATCTGATCTTAGACAGAATGCCCACAGTTTTTGAAACTTTTTTCTCATCATCTCAACATCTCCATAAACTATCACTCCCAGCATTTTTTCAGTATGAGATTTTTTTCATTGACCTTTAGTGATTTGCCTGGTTTCCCCAGCCTCAAACTTGCACAGTGTTCTCTCCTTATGACACATTCCTCTAGACACTGAACAAACACTGTAAAATATTTCAGAATACCTAAATGTTGCAGAACTTTCCCATACTACTGAAGCCCCTCTCTCATCACTCTCATCCCACTGAGATAAGTGAGTTACCCAGATATCCTTAGTGGTGCTTGTGGGAACCAATACCCCATTTATCAGCTCTAGTCACTCCAATTTAGGGATCTACAATACTGTAAGTCTACCACTGATCAGAGAATGCTCAGAATACATTGTTATCTAGAATAAAAATACTGTAGTACTGAACCCCACAAACTGTTATTTTAAGCAATCTGTGACAATTTTTTTGTTTAATTATTTAGCATTTAGCATCAGGTCTAGTCACTGCATTAACAGATTGTTCTTTCCAGCCAACCACATTAATATAGATTTTTTTATTTTGACAAGTTATGATGATTAATTCTGGGAGAAGCAAGATTGCTTAATAACTAGCTAACTCCAGCGAGTGAAAAGTAATGAAGCTTAAAATGAGGTGGCTCATCGAGGAACTCAAAATATTTTAAACCAATATACCAAACGTAAAATTTCCTTCAACCTCACCTGTGGCACCCCGAGGAGCTCATAAAAATTTTGATTGACCTCTTCGATAGTGTCGAAAAACTGCATCTCCTCCGAACTCCAGCCCTGGGCCTGGCCAGACACCGCAACAACAACCACCACCACCACCATCAACCTCCAAGCCCCAGGCCCCATGATCTCCTCAATGCTCTCCACACACACAGGTTTTACATGAAGACTCGAGGTTGAGCAACAATCTGGACTAAGTCAGGTTGGTTGCACTCCCAGCTGGACTCGTCTCTACATGCTGCTCTCCTGATTCTGGCAGCTGCGTCTGGAACACCTCTGGAACACAAGCAGTGCAAGAGTACGCAAGATCGTGGTATAACCCCGCAGAAGACCCAGTATACAGCTTCGCAGGAGCCAGGAAAACGTGATGACAGCTTCTAGACAGCTTCACAGCCTCGCTGAACACCGCCAGCTGTGTTGTCATAAACACGCGCCGTCGTGCACTCCTGCTCCTCAACCGTACACAAGAACACGTGTCTCACTTCACCATCTGACAATGATAATGATAATAAAATATAAATAAAATAAATAAATAAATTATTTAGGTAAAAGTACATATATATATACATATGGAGTTAAAAGCAGAATGTTGGATTTTTAGATAGAGCTAGTATATATCATCCTCATAGTTTCCTCCCTAGTGCCTTAAACTCGCACTGTATCTTGTGCTATCCACTCCTTCAATATATGTGCCTAAGCCATTCAACTTCATCATTGTAATCACTGCTATCATCTTATATAATGGTTGTTATAGTGAACGCATATTTTACTACATTATACCCAGAAATAATCCTCAAATTATGCTACACTGTACCTGTTGATAATCCTCAAATTTTACTATAATGTACCTATTAATCTTCGTCAAATTTGCTTACAATGCAGATGAGGAGTCACAATAACGTAGCTGAAATATGTTGACCAAACCACACACTAGAAAGTGAAGATACGACTACGTTTTGGTTCGTCCTGGTCCCACCTCATAATTTATATGAGGTGGGCGTGGATCACCAGCTCAGTAGCAGGCCGGGGAAAGTATAAAATTTCAGTTGGGCAGCAGTTAGTAGCCTCTGAAATCGTTCTTGTTAAAAATGTATCCGCCGGCTTCCTGTCCTCGTCGAGGCACCTAGGGTTAGTGACCCTCAGGTAAATTAGGTAAAATCACATAAATCAAGTAAACTAGGTAAATAGTCTTATAGCACAGTGGAAGAGCTTCTGCTTTACTGCTGGAAAGTCGGCGATTCGAGTCGCCTAGTATCCAGATGAAATTATTTCGACTATAGTTGAGTTTGAACGAGACTCTGATTAATTCCACATTTATATTAGCTCCAAATTTGTGTTTTTGTTGCAGTACCGATTTGAGTATAACTAGTGTAGTGTTCGTGGAATAAAATATATTGTTGGAAATTGTATTTAATAACATGTCAATCAAACGTCCCTCTGTGAGTTGCCTGATGTACGATAAAATATGTTTCAGTAATACGAGACCGTGCCCCCGTTGAGCTTGACATAAATAAATCACTTTCACTCTTGAAGACTCCTGGTTCAACCTTCACAGTGAGCAGACGTCTGGACCAGGGTAGACTCTACTATGAAACTAATATAACTTAAATTTCAAGGGGCCCCCTAATTCTGGAGGGGCCCCAGAAGCAATATACAGGTAGTCTATATTGTTTACAGGTAGACAATACCTGTACAGGTGCAATACAGGTGCACAATACAGGTAGTCTATATTGTTTAAAAAAAATTGATCTACATCTAAGCTTTAATCAAAATATGTGATATAGTTGTAAAATAAAAACAAAATTGTGGTGATCTGTCGTGGAACAACCCAATTGAAGAAGATAAAAGTGGTTACCCAGACCTCGTTGCGGGTTGTGAAGTGGTCCCCATAACAATTCAACCTTCATGGCTCCACAAATTTTTAGTCCGCCACTGGCTCAGGCCATCTGTTCTGCTTGGGGTTGTAGCGAGTAAATTATGTCAATAATTTACTCGCTCCAAACTCATTAGCACTAATTATGAAGCTCAAATCTTTTCCATAATTACAGATGTAGCGAGTACGCTCCGTCTGAATGTCAACGACAATGCCAACAACCGACTACTGTAATCAAGACTACTAAATAAATATGAAACTCACTAAACACTGTATCTAATCTACCCAACAACGTACGTAACATAATCGTACGTTACATAGATAACATTCCTTCCATTCTTCCAACCTATTGGAGGACGGTGAGGTGTAGTCTAAACATACAAGCAATCGAGAAGCAAGTAACGACCTGTATAATTTCCACAGTGATTCAGTTAACTAAAGTACAGACGCTTCGGAGTTACCACACCTCTTCAACCTCAAGAATGTAGCACTCGGCGAGTACAGTTCCAACCGACCCCAAGACGCTACAGCTTCTACACAGAGCAGACAGCAGACTACAACCGCATCGAGCTACAACGCTCTCGATCCCCATGGAGTTTAGACATTCACCATTCCCGATCACTCCTGCATTCCGCGATCGGGCCACTCAGCTCACGACATCTCCCGTCACGCAGGGTGCAGTCCTCCACAGATCTCCATATCAGCTCTTGATACTGGTAATGGCTCGCGCTATTCATGCCCTGCCACCGGCTTAATCTTTATCAATCATCAATCAGCCACTCAGCTTCTGCTCTGCTCCAAGCTCCGTCTCAACGTCTACGACACTGCCAACCGACTGCTGTAACCAAGACTACTGAATAAATATGAAACCCACTAAACACTGTGTATCTAATCTACCCAACAACGTAACATAATCGTACGTTACATTGGTGACCCAGAGAGTGACGTAATACCCAGCCCCGACGGACTACAACACTGGCCTCTTACTGGACCTCTACTGCTGCTGCCTGCTGCAGACCACTCCCACCGGCCCTCGAACGCCGCCAGCTAACGGAACGCGATTATTGCCTTTCGGTCTCGATAGTATTGCCGTCTGGGACTCCTCAACGGCCCACTTTTCGATGCTTCCTGCCCTTAATGATTGCATGGGAAGTTGATATGTGCAACGTTTCTTTGGGTTGGGAGTTGGTGCCCGGCACCGGTTTGGCCTAGAGGTGTTGGTGTCCGGCACTGGCTTGGCCTAGAAGTGTAGGGAGTTGGCGAGTCTTGGTGTGCCCTTGGGATGTGAAGGCTCCAAGTGTGCGCTCGAGGTGTGGTGGGCTCCTGTTGTGCTCTCGGAGTGGTGGGCTCCTGTTATTCCCCAAGTGTGTGGTGGGTTCCTGTTATACCCTCGGGGGTGGCGGGCGCCTGGCCCCCTCTCTGCTGGAGGTTAATGGAAGACGCTTTTGATTTTTTTCTGACTTGGTTTAAGCATTAGTCAGCTTGTTGTGGTGTTGCATCCTGGGAAAGGTCAGTAGTTCGACCTTTGGTGAGGGGGGAGGGGGAGATCACGATATAAGCCTACCATTGATATATAAACTGGCTGCCTGCCGGGAGACAGGCAGCCAGTTATTTATTGTTAATTAAATAATTTATTTATTGTTAATAATTATTTATTGTTAACTATTAGAGGGGGTCTTCGTCATTTAGCCGCTTGGTTTCGATCACTTTGTTTTGCTATTCAGATCGAGTTACACGACTCCTGACGCATTATCGTCTGGGGTCACTAGGTGTCGATGGACAGTTTTCCAGGTGGTTGAAATTGAAATTGAAATAAGTTTATTGAGGTAAAATACACACAAAGGGATGAGGTAGCTCAAGCTATTCTCACCCCTCCAGGTAGCTGTGTGTAGACTGGCACTCGCCTGTAACCAGTGCGAGTGTAAGTGTATTCTGTAAACAGTAAAGTGTTTACAGAAAGCCTACGAATTATTTCTCTTATGTTCATTATTTCTCAGGGCATGGCTACAATGTGAAACAATCAATTTTTCCTCTATGTATCTAAGAGCTCTTAGGGTTGTTAGTTCAGAATTCTTGGATGAAGTGTTTAAGAATATTGATTCTATTGGTCTCAAGCTTTGTTATCTGCTGAGTTTTTTTAAGTTTGCCGTAGCAAAGCACGTTGTATATATTATCATAATATATGCAGGGAGAAAATTCGTCCAAAAAATGTGTCATGTTTATCATATTTTTTTGCGATTGAAAATATTGTTAGGCCTTGAAACTTTTTTATATACATGTATGGTTTAATTACGAAAATACTGTTGGAAAACTATGAGTTAGAAACCGCCCTCGAAATGATAACTGTGTCTTTTACAAAATACCTTGTAAAGACTATGAAGGTAGTCTTATAGTATAGGTTCTATGTAGGGCAAACATCTAAAGATTTGAAATTTACAATTTCGCAACATAAATACTCTGTAACCCATGTCCAATTGTTTAATGCTTTGATTGTTCCATTGTCAGAAAGTTTTCACCAAATTGATTGGGTAACGTGTATTAGGCCTAGGAAGGTTAGGGTCGGTTAGTTTAGGTTGTCTTTGCAACCTAAATACTAAACTTTTTCCGGTTTGTCCAGATTCAGTAGTAACGATTTCTACTTTCTAATTGTCCATTACATCATATATGTACTATGGTCCTCATCGTTACCTTAAGTACTAACTAAACAGGAGGATGGGTTGATATTTGCCCACTCTCTATTGACGCATGATGTGCGAATAATTATGTTTACATTTGATCAGGTCTACATCAGCAGGTAATACAAACTCCCACAGATACTTATATTTATTTATTATTTATTTATTTATTTATTTATTTATTTATGCATATACAAGAATGTACATAAGGAATGTGAGGATACAAATATGGTAATTACAGTCTTGTAAAGCCACTAGCACGCGCAGCGTTTCGGGCAGGTCCTTAATCTAAGAAAATTTTAAGGAGGTAAATACTTGCAAAATTATAGACAAAAAAATGATAACAGATTACATGAAATGAAAAAAGATGAGAGAAAATTGTAGGTACAGTATATTAAAGCACATAGGTAGCTAAGATTGATTGCAATGACAGCTTGAATGGTAGTTGACAAAAAAATTGGTAGGCATAATACAGCAGAAACAATATAAGATTGGTTGCAATGACAGCTTGAATGGTAGTTGACAAAAATTGGTAGTCACAATACAGCATATGGCTAGCACATAAAAGAAGACAGCAATGAACACAATGATAAGGTTGTTTGATATTACATAAAAATTAGGAGATTGGGTAACACTAGGTACAGAGCAAATTTAAAGCTCAGTGTAGGAAACTAAGAAGATGAAGTTAGGTACTTTTTGGTTTTGCTTTTAAATAAGGCAAAAGTTTTACAGTTTTTCAATTCACTAGGGAGTGAGTTCCATAAACTAGGTCCCTTAATTTGCATAGTGTTTACACAGATTAAGTTTGACCCTGGGGATATCAAAGAGATATTTATTTTATAGCCAAGTCTAAGCCGAGCACTGGTAACATCTAGGAGTCTCCTGATTTTATTGGATGATCCATAGATGTGTGGCTTTTCTTGCATGATAGTATGATGATACAATTACTAGTGTAGATTTCACTTTGCCTCAGATCTACAATGATTTGTTGAAGCTCTTGGTGTGCTATTGCTCTCAGACTGCTTATAGATAATCCAAGGTTATACTCAATCCTCCTTTTGAAGGCAAAATTCTTTGGACGGAATCCACATGAAATGAACTGTTTCCATCATTACTAATTTTGTTGAGTTCTGTATCTAGTTTCAGACACGAGCATGTTGCAATTTTGTCTTTCTTAAAGAGTGCAATTAAAGATGATAAAGAATTGCTTACAATAAATGTATCAAGTTTGGAGACTAATACACATTTGAGTGCAAGAAGTATGCAAATAGTTCGGTTTGAAGGGTAGAGACCTAGTTGTTTGAACGGACTCCCTATTCAAATTTATGACATCACCCAGGACAACTGCATTTACAGCTGCACCCGTAGGACGGTGTTGGGAACCATCAGTTTATATGGTTTGGAAGAGGGAGTGATCTGTGAGCAGAGTATTAATATGGCTTAATTCAAGTGTTGAACTTTGCCTCAAGACGAAGCTTGGGATGCTTTAATTTGTTTCTTGGGTAGAAAGGGAGGGATTGCAATTTGGAATGAGATAATCTCCCACGGTGCAGAAGAGTGCCGTTGATATGTTTCTTGGTATAAACTTAGAATCCGATATATACATTCTGAGTTCAGCTGTAGTTTTAGTAATCCTTTTTGAATAATGTTGACTTTCAATAACGATCGGGTCTGGAGGGCTTTTGGCCAAGGGGTAGGATGAGCTACCCTAAGCATTTTTATACCTATCAGAAAATTTATTTAAGTACGATCAAAGATGCTCTGAATATTAATTAAATTCCTTTCTCATATCAAGTATATTTGTGGTATATTGGCACCCAAGGATAATCCTCAAGTCTTCGTTCTGAATTTTTCAAGCCGTACAAGCTTTCTTCAGTCACTAAAAGTAGTAGAGGAACAGCAAAATCGACTAAAGATTTAATATATGCAAGGTACATCTTTTAATAATTGTGACATTTGTACCATAGCCTGAGTGATAGTCTGCCACTGCCTTGATAACTGTGAACCTCTCGTTATACTGAAGACAGTCTGATTACAACATGACCGTACAGGGGAGACCTCAAGATCAAGGTATTTGAGCCTGTTTATGTACTCATCAATCATAAATTTGCAGACGATGAATCACAATAACGTGGCTGAAGATATGATGAGCAAACCACACATCAGAAACTTGAGAAACAGTGACGTTTCGGTCCGTCCTGAACCATTATCAAATAACGTATGAGCTCCCACATTACTTGATAATGGAAACGTCTTCATTTCTCCATCATGTGATGTGTGACTTGGTCATCAGTCATACATATGACTAACCTGGCATGCACTATAATATTGCTTTGGTTCGACCACTTTCAGCTAAGAGAAATCAATTCTGCGTGTCATATGTAGTCAAACCTGCCCAAGACTCGTCTCAGCAATGTAATGTCTGGTAAAACATTCCTAGGCTCATGTCTTAGTGGGTAACTACGGGCTCACCATAGCCGGTGCTACTTGGAACTTTTTGTTCCAAGTAGCGAATCTTAAACAACAACAACTTAGTGGGTGATTATACATGGCCCAAAACACATACCATCATCAGACTCTAGTGGGTGGTTGTACCATTAAATATTAGAGCTGCGGTATAAATAGTGGATATATATAATATATAGGAATTTATTTTCAATTATTATTAATAATAGGGTAGGGTTTAGTCACAGGATTTGGCCTGTTATTCAGCCCGTTCTCGCGAACGTTCCCAACGTCAAGAAACTGTCGTACTAAAGTGCTTTATCCTAACCTAGCAGACGACCCACCAACAGAAAACGGGATATTATGTCAATTTCGCGGGCCGCTGCCACTTTCCTGTACGACAGTTTTTGGTAAAGTGTACGTCAAAATGCGACGTGCTATTATTATTATATAAATAATTATATATAGATTATATAAAACGTTTTATAGTGCTATCCCTGAACATTATATATTATATGCCAAGCCTCATAACCTCAGTAACTCCAAGTCTTATTGTACTCAAAGTGGTACATTCCACCATTACACAATACCGAGATGAGGGGTATGAGCTACGAGGAAAGACTACGGGAACTAAACCTCACGTCGCTGGAAGACAGAAGAGTTAGGGAGACATGATCTCCGCATACAAGATTTTCAGAGGAATTGATAGGGTAGATAAAGATTATTTAACACAGGTGGTATATGCACAAGGGGACACAAGTGGAAACTGAGTACCCAAATGAGCCATAAGAGACATTTGAAAGAATTATTCTAGTGTCAGAGTAGTTAACAGATGGAATACATTAGGCAGTGATGTGGTGGAGGCTGACTACATACATAGTTTCAAATGTAGATATGATAGAGCCCAGTAGGCTCAGGAATCTGTACACCGGTTGATTGACAGTTGAGAGGCGGGACAAAAGGTCCGAAGCTCAACTCCCGTAAGCACTATTCGGTGAGTGCAATCATTAACAAAGTTAAGAGCGCTCCAACAGTTAGGAGCTTGTAAACATCTTACACCACAATAAAATATCAACATGATACACTTTCTAAGCCTGAATATCTCAATCACTTCCTAATGCACGTTGCATGCACAGTGCGATAACACAAAAATCACCGCCATATTACACGTTCTCCTGAGGAAATTATCAACATCAACGCCTTATCCAGCGACAAAGTTCCTCCGTTGTTGACACCAATGAAATCACGTAGACCCTGACCCTCACACAGCTGTACCTGCGGGGGAAAGCTGAGCTCCAGCTCTGTGATCCCGCCTCATGTGGGAGGACTGATGTGAAGACAGGGCGGGAGGGAAGGGAAAATAGGAAGGGAGAGGTCCCATCACCCCACCTTCTTCCCCATGGTTTCCCTGATGAAGAAACTGGTGAAGAGGACCCCGAGGGCGGAGACGGCAGCGTAGAAGCCGTAGAGGCCAGCCTGGGTGAACCCTTTCCTCATTGGTGTGTAGAGCTGGAGCGACCCAAACGACGCCACCGTCGACACGGAGAAGGGAATGCTCGCAGCCTACGGAGGCAACAACACGTAAGTTACTAACCATAAAACTGTTTTCCCTACATGAACTTATTATTTGTTATATAAAACGGGTCTGGACAAACAAAAGGAGTTAACTTACTTGCAGGCGATGAGTCACAATAACGTGGCTAAAGTAAGTTGACCAGACCACACAAATCTGTATGGTCTGCTCAAAATCAACTTAATTTGCTTAATAAAATTATAAATTGATAAAAGCCAAATCGATAAAAGGCCAAAACGAGTACGAACACTCTGGCTTCCTGTCCCCCGACACAATGAATTAAATTAATGAATTTACCCAAAACTCTAATTTACTTATATAAACCCTTAATTAATCTCAAATCTTAATGTCCTATTTTAAAAACCAAAATTTGCATTCCAGAAAACATTAAGCCACGTCACCTGGGAGCGTATCCAGGTGGGGAAGTACTCGTGACTGAGGGTGAATGGTATAGGGTTGACCCCCGCTGCCACCCCTGCCTGGGACACCATTAGACACACTAAGGGAATCCAACCATTAGGCCTCGACGGCCCTGGATCCTCCTGATCAAGCCCTTCCAAAACACTATCAGTCACCGTTCCTCCGTCACCACCCTCATCGTTTTGCACCAGGCCCTCATAGATGGCCATGCCGGTGAGAGAGACGCACATGAGGCAGAATGAGAGGATGAGGGTCTTCCTGCGTCCTAGTTTGTCTATCAGCAAGACACTGCAAGCACCACCGGCCACCTGAAACCAAGAGAAATATTAATTCAAACGCAACAGAAGCCATGAAGCGAAGCCCTAGAGCCAGAGGCGAAGCCCTAGAGCTAGAGGCGAAGCCCTAGAGCTAGAACTTGCCATCCATAAGCACAGTTCTAAATGTATACAGCAGCTCAGCAGCGGGGCCTTACAACTAGAGCCTGCTCACTGTATATATCGGTATGAACTGCTCAGTCAGAAAAAACTGCATATTAGATATTTATTTATCATATTAGATAAATGGAATTTAATCATGTTAATCTCAGCAGATATATAACATTTAAGCCTTAGAACCTCTTCGGGACATTAAGACTGAATTATTTATCTTTGCGATTCAGATCACGTATATTTTAAGCGGGAGTCGTCCATAAAATAGAATGTCTGTCTGTAGAAGGCCAGATCATGGGGTTAGCCTCACCCAACTTTACAATTTAAAATATAAGGATAGGGGGGAGGGGATTGTGTCATAGTGTTTTACCCCCTCACACATTTAGTTATTATGTTTTTCTATATTATTTAATGTTTTGCCGGAAACGCTTTACGTAATTGTGGCTTTATTAGTATTTGTAATTTCTGTCTCTACAATTGTACACTACTCTTATATGTTCTTTGTACACACACTCTTTTGAATACAAATTATTATTATTATTATTATTATTATTATTATTATTATTATTATTATTATTATTATTATTATTATAAGTCAGGTGTAGTCGGCCAAAGTGTCATGCTTTAAGAAATATCACCATGATAAGAAATATCAATATATCAGAAATGTATTATGTTGCCCCCTCCGATTTTCATAGTTGAAATAAAACCAGGAGTTGTGTTTCCATGGAGTTTTGATGTTTACTCCAGCTGTTTACCCGGGTGAAATGGGGAAGGAGGATACTACCAGGCACCCTTCTAGTAAAAAAATACACTATGACCATTGCACTAAATACTTAAACAAGACGGTAAATAAACTGGTTAATATTGCATCAACTGACCTGGACAAGGAGGATGATAATAGTACAGAGTCTGTTGTCAATAGAGGAGTCAGCGTCCGCAAAAATCCTAGAAGCATTGGCGTTGATCACCAAATAACCTGTAATGGCATCATCAACAGTGAGACTACTGCATCTAATTATTCATGAAAAACTCCTCGTTATTATTAACAATATGATACTTACCAAGCAGAGGTAGTGTGAAATGTTGTCAAACAATTACCTTGTTGCTACTAGCCTAGTCCACTAATTGAGAGGGCGAAGTAGTTTTTATGAACGTTAACTGGACATTACTGGGCTTGCTAGGACAACAAATTGATAGTTGTTGAAGCTAATCCAAGGTTTGCCTGAATTTACCTGAGGCATTAGTCTAGAAAAGTAGCTAAGACTCTCAACATCGTGATGAATTAATAATATATTTGTATACTCATTTTCTTCATTAAAATAAATTTGCTTCAACAATTCTTACATCTCGCAAATTAATGACTGACTCAAAATAACATTAAACAAAATTCAAGTAACTGAAATATAACGAACATAATTCTAACTTGCAACAACCAAAAGAAATTAACATAATGTGGTGAAAAAATTGAGATAATGAATCAAATTATCATCATAATTGTAATTTAATCATTATTTAAATTATCATTAGTAATGAAGGTATTAACATTATCTAGCTAAAGTAACTCAACTTATGCCTCACCAGTGAAGTAGGCGAAAATGAAGAGAATAGAGGTAATGAGGATGGACTTGAGTATTTCTGGCTGTAGGAGGCCCTTCCAAGTGCCTTCACCTGACATAATGTTCATCTCCCGATAATTCTGTATCTCAGCCTCCACATCTGCATGTTTACTCCGTAGGCTGCGCAGGATATCCCTGGCTTCCGCCTCCCGGCCTGTTTAGGTAAGGCAAATGTTTTCTTTACACCGCAGTAATGATTTTACATCTAACTGAGCTTGTACGATAAACTATTAGAAACAGGAGTTTCTGTAATACAGTTTGGTTTTAAAGAAAATAACAGTGTTGTTGAAAGTATATGACAATTATGATGATGATAATCATAATAATAATATATATTCATCCAAAATATTATACACGAGTATGTCATGCTCAATAAAAAAACAAAAAGCCTCTTACGACGACCTTTGATGACGAGGAATGATGGACTCTCCGGCATCCACGCGAGGCCAAGAATAAAGAAGAGAGGCAGCAGGATATTGATGAAAGCCACCACATAGTAACGAGCGTCGTATCCCACCGAGGCCGTCACCACCTGACCTGTCACATACAACACAAAATCACAGTAGCGTGATGCATCAAATGAACAAAATTAGATTAAGTCGATTAAGGCAGTGTCTGGGATCCTATCGGACGTAGGTTCGATTCCTCGGCCCTTGTGGATTTATTCATACAACACAAATAACTCAAACAGCTAAACTCATAAATCTAACTATTATTATACAGAATTATAATTATTTGCTCTATATATTTGATCAATTATTACTATTATTATTATTATTATTATTATTATTATTATTATTATTATTATTATTATTATTATTATTATTATTATTATTATTATTATATATTGGTCCTCAAGGGGTATGTACTCTCATGGTAATCACTTCAAAACTACTACATAATTGTAGACCAAACATAATTACTACATAATTAGTGCTATTCTCTACTCGGTATTCATAGTTAGGTTAGGTTAAGATTACGTTACATTAAATAGGTTTGGTTAGGATAGATTAAGTTACGTTAAAACAGTATATAATTTTCAAACGGGAAATATGAAATTCAAAAATTATTTGAGTATCCGCTATATTATATTTAAAAAAAAAACTGTGCCTTAGGGTTTATAAAAGAAAGTGAGTTTACCATAGACTTTATATATTTGAAACTCGGGATTTGTAATATTTTATAATTTTAACTTGAGAATATTCCAATTTTAGAGAAAGGTTCACTTGTCTGTTTACAAGCTGACTATTGTTGGAATCGTAATACGCTTTCAGATCATCACTACTATCTAGATAACTATCCACTTAGTGGGCCAGCCAGAGGCTTAGGGCCCGCGCAGGATTATCCCTGCAAAAAAGAAAAAAAGAAAAAAAAAAAAAAAAAAAAAAAAAGGTAGTCTAAGAGGGAGGTTGATGTCTCGACCTAATTACATTACCCTGAGAACAGGCTGCTATATTGAGATACCAAAATTTCGTATATTTTCCTATTTAATTTTGCAATAAAAGAGTTTAAAAATATAAACAGTATTATGCTAAATTATTGATATTGTAAAATCTAAAATAACAGACGTGCCCCAGTTGTGGGAGACCATGACTGGTGCGCCAGTTGTGGGAGACCATGACTGGTGCCCCAGTTGTGGGAGACCATGACTGGTGTCCCAGTTATGGGAGACCATGACTGGTGTCCCAGTTGTGGGAGACCATGACTGGTGCCCCAGTTGTGGGAGACCATGACTGGTGCCCCAGTTGTGGGAGACCATGACTGGTGTCCCAGTTATGGGAGACCATGACTGGTGTCCCAGTTGTGGGAGACCATGACTGGTGCCCCAGTTGTGGGAGACCATGACTGGTGCCCCAGTTACACACATACACATACACAATAACTTGCCACATACAATAACTTGCCACATACAATAACTTGCCACATACACAATAACTTGCTACATACATAATAACTTGCTACATACATAATAACTTGCTACATACACAATAACTTGCTACATACATAATAACTTGCCACATACAATAACTTGCCACATACAATAACTTGCCACATACACAATAACTTGCTACATACATAATAACTTGCTACATACATAATAACTTGCTACATACACAATAACTTGCTACATACACAATAACTTGCTACATACATAATAACTTGCTACATACACAATAACTTGCCACATACAATAACTTGCCACATACAATAACTTGCCACATACAATAACTTGCCACATACAATAACTTGCCACATACAATAACTTGCCACATACATAATAACTTGCCACATACATAATAACTTGCCACATACACACTAACATGTCACATCCATTAAGATTTCAACAGAGCTGAAGAAGTTGTTAAACACATGGGACAAAATCCTACTGAAGCGACCATATGAGTCATAAATACTCATACTCCACCCAAGTAAAACAGAAATAAACAACACTTAGTGGGCCAGCCAGAGGCTTAAGGTCCGCGCAGGAATATCCCTACAAAAAAAAAGTGTCACGAGCACAATAACTTGCCACATGCAGCAGCACAATAACTTACCACATGTACATTAACTCACCACAAGGCACGCCAAGGTTGATTATCATACTCATGATTCCCCGCACTTCCATGTCAGCCATTTCAATGCCATAAGCGATGACCGTGACAGAGAAACCTCCAATGGCCACTCCGGTCAGCGCTCTAGATCAGCACGCAATATAAAGTTCATTTTAATAACAAGGGTTGTAAAGTATAATTTTCTAATATCATGTTTCACACGTTTATACAAAGGATGGTTTGCCTTACCATTGGTACATAGCATGTTGAACTGTGTTCTTATCTTTTATTGGGAGACTTCCAGTTATTCACATGTGGCCCATCTGTGCTCATAAGTAAGCTAATGAAGGAGCGTTTGTATATCTAACTAAACTTATAATTAAATTTAAGATATACCCGATTTCACTAATGGCTACTGTTCCTAGTAGCCATTCTGCCTTTCCATTGGAGACTTTCGGCGCCGTGGAGAGGGGGAGACCTGCTGCTTGGGTAACAGCTTCTCCGTATCAATCTACTCTGGCTTTGCACCCTGGAGAGGCCACTCCAGACCGACAACCAGAGCGCAACTCCATAGTCTCCTGAGACTGATGGATGCCTACTACTACTACTATTCCTAGTGACCGTGGCTGAATAGAAAAAATGGAAGTTTGTAGTAAGTGCCACCATTTTTCCAGCTGTATTTCGAACTGTAGCGCTCTCTCGAGGCTTATAAGATTAACACAGAAGCCTCATAAGTCACGTTGGACATACTGATGACTTGGTCTCATTATTTTATATAAATATAATACTAATGAATGTAGCAATTCTTTCCGTCAATTGGAAATCTCCTCTTTTCAAATTTAACATTTATAAGATAAATTTTAAATATAAGTAACTAAAAATGGCAATTTTAAGGAACTAATAAGGACTAGGAAAGACTGTTGACCGATAGAAGAAAGTTAGGACAGAATATTTATTCTCATCTATCAACTAGGACATTATTTATGCTGTTGCTAGGACATTATTTATACGTTGTTGCTAGGCCATATAAATTATGTTGCTGCTAGGATATATTAATCATGTTGCGGTTAAGGCACATTATTTATGAAGCCGCTTGAATATACTATTATCTAGCGAGGGTTAGGACATTACTTTTCAAGCCGTTAAGTTCATCTATCTTTTCCTAGGGTGGATTACTTATCAAGCAGCTAGGGGTAACACTGCTAGGACACTATATACACACCTCCCTACTATGATCCCAGCAAAGTTTGGAAGGAGAGCAACTCCTAGCCATCCCAGGAATGCTATGATCCCAGCAATAATCATAGCAAGACGGCGTCCTAGCCTCATCATCAGAGAAGCAAAGATCCATGCACCCAGGAGCGATCCTAGAGACACCACACTACCTGTAGGGGAAAATCATGTAATAAATAATGGTTATCCCAGCAAGAATTTACCTGAAGCCCACCTTTTCTAGTGGCCTCGGCGGGAGCGGAAAGCCGGCGGTTTGACAAAGAGACATTATTTCTGAAGATACATTCCAGCCTAGTGGAGACTTCACTCCACTAGGCTCCTACGTGCCACACTCGGTGTGGCACGTAGGGTAACTAAGATCACTGCTGCTAGTAAATTACTAGAGGATCATATGTTCCCTGACACATGTCTTAACAGTACTATAGGATTATTACATGGTATTTTTAATGTTTGCTTCTATTGAGGATCCAGTATAACTAGTCTCTGATAAATCAATAGAGGAAGCTACTAGGTGTTTCTAGCACTACTAAGATCACTGTTTTATCAAGGGTAGCTCATGGATACTAGTAGCATTATAATCAATATTTGCGAATATCGGTAAGGTCCTGCTTAGTGTAATGATCAGTGATCATTACTAAGCACTAGGATTACTGCTTGGGATTGTGGATCAATAGGAATAGCGCCAGCTAGGTAAATCCTTAGCAGTACCAGGCTAACTGTTGTATTCTAGAAGTACCTTCCGAGCACTAAAGTAATACTAGGCTACATGTGGGTAACATATGTCAATATGTCATAGACAGGACTTGCCACAAACACTTTATGTGTTAGTGGTTTTGCCAGGATGTACCACTAAATTACCAGCAACTGTATAATGTGCTTTCACAACCCATTGACCCTAACCTAACCTCCTAACCTTTCACAACCCATTGACCCTAACCTAACCTAACCTCCTAACCTTTCACAACCCATTGACCCTAACCTAACCTAACCTCCTAACCTTTCACAACCCATTGACCCTAACCTAACCTAGGCTATTAATTTGCTCTCCCCCTCTCGCACATTCCTATCCAGATACTAGCTAGACACACTGGTGCTTAACACCCCACATAAATGATAATAAAAGCATGAGGATGGCCGTACCCATCATATCCATTTGTGTGGGGGTGAGAGCGAGGGTGTTGCCATAGAGGGTGGTGTTGTGCCGGGAGAGGTCCTCGGCTACCACAGACGGGAACACGAACACCGACCCCATGAACCACATTGCCAAGCTCACCGTGAAGATCTTGAACCCCTGCCATTAACAACATAAAAATATTAATATTAATAATACTTTTACGGGCTCACAATAGCCCGTGCTACTTGGAACTTTGTTCTAAGTAGCAAATCTTTAACAACAACAACAATAATACTCAGTGACGGCTCGCCCATAGGAGCTGCTGAGGTGCAGTCCTCCCTGACATTGCCAGGTGTATGACGCCATTAACCTCACTAGATTAATAAGCAACTAACAAATGTGTCATAACATGAAGTCTTGATATGTTAATTACAATATATTTGTAAGAGAATTTTGAAATTTTTCATGAAACGAGACAAAAATAGAGGTTTCATGCTGCACGATAGTGAAGGTTGTATGGTCGGTATATCTAGCAACGTTGAGCTTAATGTTGACGTTGAATGACGATGGTGTTGCTGGTGGTACTTAACTTGCTTTGAATACTTTATAATATTAATTACCCTTTGACAAACAATGGTAATGGAAAGTAAAGTGAAGTATTTACAAAGTATCCACTTATTGCAGCTGACATTAACTGAAAAGATCGAAATAAAAGCAAAAGGAAGGCATATGCCAGTTTTATGCATTCTATTCAACAGGGACAATATCCAACTCTGGCCCCAGACATCACTCAGTACCCCTACTCAAATCTCTGAATATGTTAGATATTAAGTCCTTGCACATCCTCTCATGTGTATTTTATATTTATAAAACACTGAACTGTAATGCCAATCCTGACCTTAAAAGCTTCCTTGAAGGTTGTAACAGAACCCATGAGCACCACACCAGAAACAAATACCTTTTTGATATTCCAAGAGTACAACTTAATCAGACTAGAAATGTTCTACAAATCAAGGGACCCAGAATGTGGAATGACCTTCTCAATCATGTTAAAGACTGTACCTCTCCCAACCAGTTTAAGATAAAAACTGAGCACTACCTAATTAACTCCCTGTAACCTACCTTACCCCTAAAATGTCAACCTATGTCTACTATTTTTAAACAATACTGTTTGTCAACCAAATTGTATTTTTGCTATTTTTCTGCCATGCTTCCCTTATTTTATTTTTATATTTTCTCAACACATTTTATACTTTAATCTCAATTAGTATTAAGTTTTAGTCTTCAGTGTTTTTCCTGCCCGAAACGCTTTGCGTAATAGTGGCTTTAGGCATTGTATGTACTAGCTTTATCTATAAATCCATCAATGTTTTTATCGCATCTTGTATGTATGTACTTTACCTGAATAAACATTTGAATTTGAAAAGTACTCAACCATTTTGCTACTTGAAGAGTCGACGTGCTGATTTTCTCTTCACGTATTAGCCTCACCACCTCAGCCACCCCAAGACAACCACTTCGACCCTTCAGTACGTATAGTGTTTATTAATCTTTCCTTTAAGTATTTATTTCATTAATTATTTTAATTTTAATTATTTCTTTGAATCATTATACTGTTGTGTGAAGCTTACAGTGACGCAATCCCTCCATTCTATTTTCCCACGAGCCACCACTGATAATAATAATAATAATAATAATAATAATAATAATAAATAATAATAATAATAATAATAATAATAATAATAATTACTTTAAGTGAGGAGCTGTATCTTAGAGGGCCAAGAAAGTACCCCCAATTCACACTCTTAAGAAAGAATGACTTAACCTTTCACAAGCCTATCCCCATCTCGACCACTGGAACTAATGACCAACAATTGAGTAACTAACAAGTTACTGGTTCAGTTTGGTATTGAGTATAGAGGCCTATCAACAGCGGGAGGATTATGATATTAAGGTCACCATAATAACTTACGAGCCAGCCAACTCTTAAGTATACTTTAAGCCTGAGTTAATGAATGACTAAGATAAACTCTTGTGTGATACACCGAGCAGCTTGGGTACACTTCTCCGTGTGTAAATTCCTTGTGGATAACACTATATGTAACCGATCTCTGTTTAGAATTTATTATGCACCCATACCCATCCTGTGGGCGGTAGTGGAGACGGTTACAGAGACACATAATGGGCTTAAAAACTGAACGTCAAAATTTGTTTAGTTAAGCTAGTTACACAAAGTTTGCTAAGTTACCTGTAAGAAGAGCCGTCTTCTTCTGGTCCTTTTGTCTTCGACTGCGCCTCCAGCCGGCAGATGGTTCTGAGTGCTGCATTCATCCGACAATTCCTTGCTTTCCATCATTCCTTCACTAAATGATGGAAACACCGAAAGCTCCGGACCCAAATAATTCTCAACAGGAAGCAGAAGTACTGCAACCAAATCTACAGAAAGAGCAGCCAGTAATTAATCAGCTTCCATCATGAGTACTAGCAGTACAAAAAGGACTGGATGAAGAAAGATGGGACAGAATTAGAACAGCATGTGCAGAAGCCGCTGACACTGATACATACCCCTTTCACAGTGGATAAACTCAGTCGGGCTGAGAAAAACTCCAGACATTTGTAGTATGCGGGTGAAGCATTTCAACCTCGCCCAGACGAGGTGTCGCAGCACCGCTCCTGTGCCAAGGTCAAAGTCCACTACGGGCTCACCATAGCCCATTGCTACTTGGAACTTGTTCCAAATATAGCTAATATTATCTATACCATATTGTACACATTTAGGCACAGTTAGGTTACCAGGTTTGTTGGCCATTTGTAGCCCGAATGAAGCATTTCAACCCGTCCTCGACTCCATTACATCCAGCGGTCGACCCCACAGACGCATTCATAAACTTTTACATGCTGTTCATTCAAAACAAGAATTTTCTCAAATATAAATTAGTATTATAATATATTAGCATATTGTGCATATATAGGCATAGGTTAGGTTAAATGTTTAGGTTCGGTTGGCGATTATTTATATTTGTAGTACGTGGGTGAAGCATTTACAGGGTTGTAGTTCGAACAAAAGTCGTCAGTGAAGCACGTGATCCGGAAGTGTTCGAACGAAATCAGTTATGAGTCGTGTGTAAACCGTTTTTCATTCATAAACAGGGGATATGGCGGGTGTATGGAATCACTTTTGAATCTTTGTTTGGAGGACGGGCTGCCAAATAGGCCTACAGCTTGGAAAAGAACAAGCATAGTGACGATTCCAAAGTCCAAACATTCAGGTAATCTCATTCAGCCCAGCTCTCTCCAAAGATGTGCAGTCACGACGGCTGACAGAATGGCACTCAACAGTGTCGAAACGAAAATGCCTAAACTGCCCCTTGACATGTAAGCTTACAGAAAATAGGTTGGTACAGTGGGATGTAACGCCACTCTGTTAGCCCACCTGAACGACAGACCAGGAATAACGATCATCCTGGACATGTAGAAAGCCTTAGAACTGGCCAGAGCTTCACCTTAACTCTGCCTCATCGACAAAGAGGTTAAAGGCAACCTGCTGTCCTGGACCAAAAACTGCCTCACCAGTAGAGAAGCAAGAGTACATGACACACTCTGAATGCAAGACATGAAAACGGAACACCACAAGGAGACGTTCTCAGTCTCTCCTATTCAGCTGTCTATTGGAAAGAATAATTTTATTTATTTATTTATTTATTTATTTATTTATTTATTTATTTATTTATTTATTTATTTATTTATTTATTTATTTATACAAGAGTTCCTACATTCTTGTAGTCACTAGCACGCATAGTGTTTCGGGCAAGTCCTTAATCCTATGTTCCCTGGAATATGACCCCGACAAATTGTTTACCAACCAGGTACCTATTTTACTATTGGGTAAACAGAGGCTACAGTTAAGGATTGATACCCAGTAAATCCTCCCCGGCCGGGATGCGAACCAGGACAAAGCGCTCTCGATGCGCCAGGTGAGTGTCTTACCAGTACACCACGGGGACTGGTAAACTATGAAATAATGAAACTAAAACTCCCACAACACTGCAGGCTACTGAACTTTGCGGATGATTTTGTCATCATCGTCAAAGGAAGGGATGCGGCGCGCCTTGCACCAAAATGCCTAGACTGCATCAATAGTGAAGAGACACAGCAAATAGGAATAAAACTCAACCCCACCAAGACACAAGTCACGCCCATCAAAATAGTCAAGCCCGACAACCGCACCAGTACAGGCTCAGCCAATAATATGAGTGGACATTTATCAGTATCTAGGAACAATCCTGGACACGCAGGAGAAATTTTAATGCTGAGGTCATTTACTTGAGAGAAAATTGCGGCCAGGACGGCAATCCTCAGGTCACTAACCTACTTACCTCTCTCTCTCTCTCTCTCTCTCTCTCTCTCTCTCTCTCTCTCTCTCTCTCTCTCTCTCTCTCTCTCTCTCTCTCTCTCTCTCTCTCTCTCTCTCTCTCTCTCTCAAAGTAAATCATACCACTTGGTCTGAAGTTAATAATAATAATAATAATTCAAGACTCATTTAATGAAGTGTTCGTATCTCCGAGACGTAAAGATCACGCCCAGAATTATCAACACATAATCAATAATATCTCTCAGTGCTAATCGTATCGGACAAGTTGAACAGATAAAAGACATTTGATGCAACAAATAGAAAATATTGTATCTCCACAAGGCTTCTTGGGTATATTAATATTCAGTGGATACAACATTGCTACGTGTATTATTATAGAGATATGTTAGAATTCCCAATCTTGTGACGATTTATCAGTTGTCTGTCACAACTTGCACCACAACCACCATTGTCAGTCACAACTAGCACCACAACCACCATTGTCTGTCACAACTAACACCACAACCACCAATGTCAGTCACAACTAGCACCACAACCACCATTGTCTGTCACAACTAACACCACAACCACCATTGTCAGTCACAACTAGCACCACAACCACCATTGTCAGTCACAACTAGCACCACAACCATTGTCAGTCATAACTAACACCACAACCACCACTGTTAGTCTTAAGTAGCTCCACAACCTCTTCCACTACTAATCACAATTACCACAACATTACATTATCACCACAACAACAATTATATTATCAGCTATAAACAACCATAGCTCCTAATAGCAACCATTACTACGAGTCACAATCAATCACAACAATCACCATATATTACTAGCGGTCAGAAACAACCACAATCAATTAAACATACCCACAACACAACAATCACCACAAGGTAATGTTATAATAGATCCACTTACCTCACCAACTAAAGCCTAACTGCCTCAGCCAATCTTCTTGCTCGCATGTAAATGATATCTCAAAGGACTGTGACTGGTGTTTAAGAGATAATAACTAGTTATCACCACTTGGTGTCATATCAATAACTGAAGTACTGCTCATGACCATGTATTTTAGCCAATATATTCAAGATTTCTTTATCATCTGAAATACTCTTATTATAAAGTTTATTGGTAATTTAAGATTTATTATCAATAATATCAAATTTTAGTTTTAATATTTGAGTTATCGTAAGTTTAATAAGTTAAAGCCTATCGAAAGTTGGAGGGTTATTAGGCTGTGATTCCAGTTTACTGAGTTTACTGACCAACCAGAAAGTATACTTTACTCCTGAACATATTCCAGGACTAGAGTTCAGAAGTAAATTCTGCATATACTTTTATTTTTTTTTTTTTTTTTTTTTTTTGAGATATATACAAGAGTTGTTACATTCTTGTACAGCCTCTAGTACGCGTAGCGTTTCGGGCAAGTCCTTAATCCTATGGTCCCTGGAATACGATCCCCTGCCGCGAAGAATCGTTTAAACTTATAAAACTAAGTTTAAACTTATAAACTTCTAAGAAGCTGCAGATTATATACACAGAATGCAGGTATTCAATGCAATGCACTGCAATGCAGGTATTCGTTTGGTGACCTTATAATGTTGTACACTGTATATTTAATGTAATTTAATTACGGTATATTTTTATATTATTATTATACACAGAAAAATCACATTAAAGTGGTATATCAAAGAGCAAATTGACAGGAGCCTTGATGAGTGTTCTCAGAAGCACTCTAGACAACTGTACCATGACATGGTATAGCCAAGAAGCCAATGAAGCCAAGTTAGGCTTGAGTGGAAGCCTCGGGATCGGGTCCGTCTAATTACCCAAAGCTACCCAAACTAATTCAAAGCTACACAACGCTTCCTAGCATTGCGTCAGTAATGAATAAATATAATATATCTAATCATTATAATGTTAGTGCTGAATGTAGAACATGAAAAACATCTTTTTACTCTGAAAAGTATCATTTTATAACGAAATTTGACGAAAATAAGAAGCTGGTGACGCCAAAGCAAGTCGACGGTTCAAGCGACAATGTTTGCTAGCATATGAGCCTCCTATACCTACCTAACCTAACCTAACCAAACAAAACCTAACCTAACTAAATCTAACCTATTCAAACATAACTAAATATACCCTCTAGGCAACAATATATCTTGAATAATTTGTTTATCTTGGATAAGTTTCTTATACCACGTCGTGGTACAGTTGACCAGAACGCGTCAGGGAACAATATGCGCATAGGTTCGAACCCTCATCAAGACTCCTGTGGATTTCTTCATTTTTATTATTATTATTATTATTATTATTATTATTATTATTATTTATTATTATTATTATTATTATTATTATTATTATTATTATTATTATTATTATTGGTGTTTAAGTAGTATATTCTCACAATTATTGGTGTTTAAGTAGTATATTCTCACAAAGCCATTTTGCTCAAAATATTATGCAAACACACATAGCATTTTGAGCAGAAATATGAACTGTTACACAAAAGTAATAGTCCCATTTGTTGTACTAATGAAAATTGCATGGAAAGGAATACGAACAAGTAACCTAACCAACCTTAACCTAAGTTATCCTAAATTATCCTTCCCTAGCCTAATGTAATCTAGCCTAGTTGGACCTAACTGAAAGTATTCTAGTATAACAACTTGTTTCTTTATATCAAGGACTCTGAGGACAGTTTTTTATCTTGTGTTATCTGCGGTGTTGTTCATATTTGTCAATCGCTTCCTCATTCATTATCTCCATGATATATTCACCCAAAACCGAAGTCAGTAAAACCCAAGTCGGTTATGTCCAGATAAACAATGTAAGCCACCACACAGAACTTTGAGAGTCACTACAGCTATCTGCCCCTAGAGATCACACAACATCTTAGTACACGAAATAAGTCACCTCTCATGTTCAACTCACCAAGTGTCTGCCTATAGCTGGATAGAGATGGGGGGGGGGGGAGAGAGAGGGTCTGCAATGGACAGAGACGGGCCAGCCCCGTCCGGCTGACAGCCTATTTCAGCTGCTGTCTTCTGCTCTGCTCAGCTGTGCTGTCTCTGTTGTCCACTTCCTTATTCCTCTCGAATCTACAGCTCCCCGAGTATTTATTTGGGGACCAACTAGCTAACTTCGCCCACAAATAGATAGCCCCAGGCCCTCTACCAAGCCACTCCTTAAACATCGGCTTGTTTGACGGACCTACCCGGCTATCAGGCTACAATTATCAGATTAGCAGAAGCAAGGTGAAATTCGCACGAGCTGACCTCAGGTCGACTTGAGGTCATTAACGCTCTAAAAGTGTGACTTTCAGGCCGACAGAATGGCGCCTCTCAAATCTTGTCTGGCTTGACTCATGTATATATTAAATAAAACTAAACAAAACACCTTTACGGTGTTACAAAGCCACTAATTGCAACCCGGTGGAGCACCGTTGGTTGATAATGGTCGACGTAACATGCTCTTAAGTATGTAACATTTGACGTTATCAGCCAGCAGTTCTCACTGGGAAGGGATAGAAATGGTTGGGCATGTTTCCTTTCACCTAATGCACTTCTTCACGTTGCGGTAAAAATTGGTACCCGGGAGTTAAGCAACTGTTCTGGGGATGCATCCTGGGGACCTCGATACAAATCTAAGTAGTCTTCCTGTCCCCGACGACGGTTGAGGGCCACCGGGCTAACAACACTTCTAAACACAAACAAGGAGCAACGGTTTCAAGCTCAAGAAGCCAAAATTTTACGAAAATAAGTAAACAAGTAAAATATATTTTTACAACAAAGTACTTACTAATTTTCTTTTTTTTTTTTTACAATGTACCTGTAAACTTTTTTCAATTTTGCTACAAAATACCTAATTAAAATTATGTGTCAGATTAAGGACCTGCCCGAAACGCTATGCGTGTTAGTGGCTTTACAAGAATGTACAAACATCAATGTTATGTACTCTCATAAACCCATTATACCTTCTTGTATAAATAAATAAATAAATAAACAATGCAGAACGGAAAACAGGAGGTGTTTTTCACCCGTAGGGTTATGTAATTGTATTTGTGCTGTTTTTTCAACAATGTTCCCCCTCTTTTACCTCTATTTTTATTTGTACTCAACGCATTTTTTTCTTTTTACCCATTAGTTTTAAGCTTTAGTCAGTTGTGTTTTTTCCTGCCCGAAACGCTTTGCGTAATAGTGGCTTTAGGCATTGTATGTACTAGCTCTTATCTATAAAGCCAACAAACTTTGTAAAATCTCTTTATGTATGTACCTTTGCCTAAATAAAAATTATTATTATTATTATTATTATTATTATTATTATTATTATTATTATTATTATTATTATTATTATTATTATTATTATTATTATTATTATTATTATTATTATTATTATTATTATTATAACCCATGGAACCGCCTACCCGCCGAATATAAATGCCAAAAAACTGCTGTAATTTAAAATCTAAATAGATAAAATTATCAGGACAAAGGAGGAACCTTTCACAATCTGGCGGCTTCCTGTCCTCGTGGAGACTACTAGAGAGATAGTGGCCCTCAGGCAAAATCAAATTCCTAATTCATAAGAAATATAATAGTTTACCCTCTAACAATATTACAATTTTCGTTTTCTACTACCATCATGCTTGTGTTTATTAAAGAAAACGTTATCTAGGCTATGAATACCATGTCTACTGGAACCCTTTCGTCTGAATGGCTAGTTATCTCTTCCAAAAATGTAAGCCGATTAGATAAGGCAAGATTTATTTTTAAAAAACTATATTGTGCTGATATTATTAAATTGTGTACTGTGAGATGGTGAATGAACCCTTGAGTCTCTGTGAGTTGGCAAATATATGTGAAGTTGGCTCATTGCCAGACGTTTCCTGCTGAGATCTTTCTAGCGTTTTTGATGATTTGGGATGATATTGGCCATAGAGTCTTTTTCATAGTTTTAATTCTTATATAGGTATAAATAGAGTTGAATTTTTATTCTTTTTATTTTCTTTGGATTGGTCTGATTTCCTAGTTACCTGAATTTAACTCCCTTTATGTATTTTGGTTTGCGGGTGAAACAAAACAGCACAGGCGATAATTTTGTTATTAATATAATTAATAAAAATATTTGCAACTGAAAATTGCAAAAGTGAGTTGCTGCGTACGTGTTGCATGTGCCGGATTACATGCATCCCTATTATGTAAGAGTAATAGGTATGCCTGAGCCCATTATATGCTCAGGGACAAAGCATACTTTATTTATTTATTTATTTATTTATTTATTTATTTATGCATATACAAGAATGTACATAAGGAATATGAGGATACAAATATGGTAATTACAGTCTTGTAAAGCCACTAGCACGCGCAGCGTTTCGGGCAGACCTATTACTACTATAATACAAATGCTAAAAGACGAACTTTTTTTTTTACTAATGTCTTACTTAGCTAATTTTTTAAATTGAGCTAAATGAATTAGCCACAATTCATTTTAGCAATGAATTAGATTAGATATAGAACTAAATGAATTAGCCTATTACTAATAAGAAAAAATATGAATTAGCCACAATTCACTTAGCTTAGCTTACAATCTTGATGAGCTAGTTACAAAATTCACTATATCATCATCGAACAAAAATTCGTTGCATAAAAACATACTTACAAAATGTAAGTATGTTACATTGATGATACAATGATACATTGATTACAGTACGTTACATCATGGTAGTATGTATAGATTTACATGGTAGCATGTATTTACATACATACATACATAAAAGCATAAATACATACATAAAAGTATGTAACATCTTTATTTATTAAAAATAAGTTAAAAACAATTGCAAAATGATCGGATGTTGCTGCTACACATACTGACAGCTGTGGGGTTCCCAAGCCCCTACACACTGGGCACCCAGTTCTCCCGACCCACAGAGTAACTGGGTCCCGAAGTGGAGCATTTCCAGTTCCCTGCCGTCTCTAGACCAGGGCAACTGTAGGGTCTCCAACCCTCGGAGTATTTCC